GCGTTCTTTAGCCTTCAGGAGCCAAAGGTCCGTGAAGACATGTAAAGATCCTCGAAAGCCGAGGAGGGTCTTCCGACCTCTGACTTCCGACTTCAGACTTCCGACTTTAGCCTTCAGACTTAAGACTTCATACTTCAAACTTCAAACTTCAGACTTGACAAAGTTCGAACTTCCGATTTCTGACCGTTGAAACTCAATGCTGCATGGTTAGACTTCTGACCTCCCAATTCCCACTTCCCACTTTCCACTTCCCACTTCCCACTTCTCACTTCCGACTTCCGATTTAAGACTTCGATTTCCAACTTCCGACTTCCCACTTCTAACTTCCGACTTCCCACCTGACTCCTCTGTCAGGCTCCATTGCCGCTCGATCCGCCACGCGGGTATTAATGCTCAAGGTCAAGGCTCAGTAGAAAGAACGGTTGTACCGTTCTAGCCAACAAAAGAAAACAACTTAAGTTGCTCGTAAAAGCAACTAAGTACAAAGTCAATCAGGCAACTGATGAGGTTCGCTTGGGGAACCGAAACCATGGTCTTGCCCCGGCGGGTGTACTCCCTTATAAGGGCTTAATGGGAACGTGCGGCCAGCCAGGGTATGTTTTTCAGGATTTTTGTCTTAAACAGGGTATCGAATTTATCATTTTTTACCTTAATCAGGGTATCGATTTATCAATTTTTGTCTTAAACAGGATAAATGTCTTAAACAGGGTATCAAAAATCGGAATTCTGTCTTAAACAGGGTAGGAAAATCAGCGATATTTGTCTTAAACAGGGTCAGGGTATGAGGGGCCGCGCCGCACCTCCCCACACAGGGATATATCGAGTACCCCCCCCCCCCCGGGGTCTTGCCTGATCACAAAGTGGCAACAGTGATAAAAAAACAGTCCAAACACTGTTAAGCATATTAAAAACCTACAACCAAAGAAGGAAATACGCGCTCCAGTCAAAAGACTCACATTAACTTTGGAAAAACACTAAGCTGGAATCTACTGAGTCACAATGCCTTCTCCATAGTTGTTGCAGCTTCATTTTAAGCTGCACTTCATTCTTGTCACTTTGGATCTCCAAATCACTATCCGTGATAATTTAACATCCTGGAAAGAAAACTAACGAGCTGGGCCCAGCGTGATACAGCATTGCATACTCACGGACTAAAAACAGTCACATAGTTATTCAGGTCCAGAAGGCACTTTAAAGAAAATTAGAGCCCTTACTCGGCCGTAATAAACAGCTTTAAAGAATATGCTCTTGCATCAGAGGGCAAATCTTGCCGACCAGAAACAAAAACCACAGTAAATCGATATGTGTGCCATGACCTCTCAATGTGAAATAGGCGGCTTAGCCAGAACCTTCTGTAGCATAATCTACCCAGCAGAAGGGCAAAAAACGTTTTTGGAACGAGCAGCATTTTAGCATAAGGTTAAAGTCGTGTAGGCCTATCACCGCCTTTCATTGCTACGGAAGTTGGAAGTCGGAAGTCGGAAATCAGAAGTCGGAAGTTGGAAGTCCGAAGTTGGAAGTCGGAAGACCCTCCTCGGAAGTCGGAGGACCCTCCTCCGCTTTCGTAAAAGATCAGTAGTTTGAAACGTATTGACGGTTGATAAAATCTACATCTTCCACGGTTTACGTTTTACGACGGCTAACGGTTAACCCGATTGAGACCCTCGCGTATAGCTGGGTTGCAGTGCGGTAACGCAATCATGATTGTATTTTAGACTTTCAATGACAAAGTATTTATTACAAACTTACACCATTTCCTCGTAACGCGAATGATGATAGTTACGTTTTATTGAGCAGTGTCGTTGCGCAATTCAGCAACTAATTATTATGCAAGGCGAGTAAGTAAATCCCAGTCTATCTGTCTATCCCAAGTCTAAAGTTGGCTTTAATTAGGCTTTTGTACATTATGCTTTTGTTTCCCCACTAAAATGCTCCACCTTAATGCTCCATTTTTCCCACTAAAATGCTCGGTCTCCCCCAAAGAAGTCACTAAAATGCTCGGATAATGCTCATTATACAAACGTTTTTTTATTATTAATTTACTCTTGAGTCTTGAAAGGTAAAACCGCTGACTTGTCCTCAGTCTCCACTCAGCTGTATTAGGTTTTTTCGTGAATTTTGAGTTTTAGTCTTCATTTTCATGACCTTTCACTAAAAAAAACGAAGGAGCCCATGGCCATGGGCTCCTGAAAAAAGTTCATTTCTATTTTATTTTCTCGCAAAAAATTAATTTTCCGGGAAAATGCCACTAAAATGCTCGAATAATGCTCAATGCTTTTGCCTCACTAAAATGCTCGAAAAAATGCTAGCATAATGTACAAAAGCCTCGCTTTAATCTCCTCCACAATGCATGCACATCCGACCGACAGACCCTAACTGGGGGTGACGTCAACATTGCGTGACGACTGCGTGCGTAAGCGTCTAAACTGTCAAGCCTCTTGTTGATGTCAATCCACGAAAAGAGAATTCAACGTTGTCGAATTTGACTATTCTGATCTGTTAAGCGAATGGAGGTAGTGCTCTGCTCTCTGTGTCAGGGGCCTGTTTCCTCGGATTGGTTGAGATTTGCCGTGATTTCTAACGCTTTGTTTTTGATGTGAACTGGTACGGTCCGGTACGTGTACAAGATCCTTAGTGAATTTAGTATTTACACTGGCAGACAAAGAAGAAGATAATTTGATACAGAAATCCTACAAAGCTTCAGGTAATTTTACATTGATTTCCTAAGTTGCTGACAGTTTTGTAAGAATTTGTTACATTCATTTGTTCGATTCTCTTCTACTTTCAGCAGGTAAAAAATGGCAGCAGTTCCAATAAGTGCAGCATATGTACAAAGGCTCCGAAACGCAAGAGACCACAATAAAAGCTATGTAAACATTGAAACGGAAAGTAATGAAAAGGTAAAAGAGTCAAAAGAACAGCAAAGATTGCCAACATTTGGGGCATTTATAAGCAAGATTTCTGCTTCGTGTCAAGAACAAGCATTGCGGATCTACATTGAAAAACAAGACCCTTCTCGATCTTGATGGAACGTCAAGAACTCAAACAAAGTACAAACGGCGCTTGCTTCATTATTTATTTTCTAAATATATCTCAGTGCTTTAGGATGTGGTGGCGTACATGTATGGAGTATTTTGCTACCATTTCAATCGCATTTTGAGAAAGAAAAAAGCGAATTCATGACAATGTGGACAGGTTTGTCGAGGAGTATAATTGTTGCATTAGCATAAATTTCGTCAGTACGTATGAACACGGACGTGACAACGAGCATGTGCGTTGTATTTTAAAGTTGATAAAAAGTTTCAGACCGAAGTTTTATAATCTGAATTCACCCACGCAATTTCTTTCGACTGGGGCTCAGTCAAGCAATACCAGGATCTTTGTCTATTTCCACGGTTTATATAAACAATTAGTCAGCTCTCAGGTCAGCATATCACGCAACTCGTACAAACTGACCTTGCTACACTATTTCTCCAAGCGTTTTTAAGTCTCGAAGCGACACATTTTTCTACTTGTCTTATTGTTGTCTTTGCGAAAAGGCAAAAAATGAAACAGAAACGTAGATATTCGAATTTTAACAGTATTTCGTGTCTGTGACATAAACCGCAAATATGCATAAAAGTACATGATTTTAGCGTACGTGATCTGAAAAACCTACGAACATGCAGTTTTGCATGTATACCTCCTGGGGGACTCCCAGAAAAAAGGACGGGTCTGAAAATAAGAACTAATTAAAACCTCGATTAAAAGGCGAAATGGGGAACATCCCACTAGAAAGTGACTAGACTAGCGGCGTTGGGTTGTATGCTGTAGTTAATTTTTTTCCTCAGGTAATATTTATTTTTCCTTTGTTTCAACTTCGTGAGCACACATTATCATTCCCAAGAACAAAAGAAAAACAAAAATTACCTGAGATAAAAAATCAACCACAACATATACACAACCAGAACCGATATGGTTAGATTTGGGCAACATCCCAAAGTGAAACCACAAATTTAGTGCCATTAGCACCTCTAAGCGAAACAATGGGCATTTTTTGTGGGAGTCCCACTTTAAATATACACTTTAATTCTATTCTCTGTTTTTTCACACAACACAGTCAGAATTACTATGTAAAGATTTAAATGGAAGCTGATATAATTAAATGTTCATATTTTGTTTGAAATTTTGCTTTTTCAATATCAAGAAAAACTTGCCTGCTTTTGTTAAGCAGATGACTTAGCCAAGATATTAATACAGGCTTCACTGAAATAAGATCTAGACAGTTTTTCAACCACACAAGATGTCACGACCGCGACGGAAACGAAAACGTAAAAAAGGTTTCGTAGGCAAAACATGTCTCGCTCTTTTTGGTACGTTTCTTTCACGTCACTGTTCGACTTCGACGTGAAATTGCCTAGTTTCCCGTTTTGTTTCTGTGGAGAACATGAATATACGACGACGAATTTTTAAATTTCTAAATTGGATTTGGTTCTTATAGGAATTAAACTCCAGGAGAATTGAAATAAGAAAGGCACTGAAGTTTCAAAGAATGCAAAGTCATTTTTAGGTGACTTTCCCACCGTCGTAGCCTGTTTCAGGCGTTCAAATTGTAGGGAAGGCGTAAAGAGGTGTGAGCAGGAAGAGGAGGCAGCGAGGGGGTGGGGTAGGGGGTGTGAACGCCTGTAACAGGCTAAAGCTGGCGTGGTATCTTGAACTCCCTGATATAAGTTACTAGTTTCAGGCGTTCGGACAGTGGAGAGTGGCGCGAAATGGAGAGCGGAGCACCTCCTCGCTGTGTTTCTCTACTCACTATTGTTTGCACCATCCCCACTATCTTGGAGCAGGTCCCCGGCCCCATGGCAGATGAAGCGCAATCTCTGAATCAGTTGAGACAAGATCGTTTGTGTACGTTTATTTCAAAGATCATTCCCCAAGTTTGGTTTATAATGATCTCGTCCTGAGAGTACACAACAGAACATATTGCTGCAAAGACCTTTTTCTCTGTAACAAGTAGTAACGTGAGTGATTCCCGTTTTTTGTCGTGTACTGAATTCTGTGAGAAATTGTTGGGCATGAGCTAAGATATATCGAAGAACAAACGCAGCGCAGGAAAAGAGGTTTGATTCCTTCTGGGGTCGTCAGCACGACGCATAATTTTTAAAATGTTGAAGAGTCTTATTCCAGATTGAACGAGAGCCTGTCTCGAAAAAGGTTTTTGTGCAGCGGTTTGTTGACGTGATGAGATATGCCAGAAATGCAGAAACATCCCCTAGCAGTTACGATGAAGCTGTTGAATCCTGTAGGGCTATTTCGTATAGTGTATTTTAATTCTTGGTATTGTATCCGTAAAAAGCCGGACCCATTCCATAGGTAATCTTGTTCCTTAAATTAAAAGGGGAAGCAAGGTTGACATTTTAAAATTCGAGTATTTTGTTAAACGTTAATCGTTGTTTACCACATCAGATCACGTTCACTAAAATGGTTATAGAACTGCACCAACATGAAGAGGTCTGTTGTGCAGTGTCACGCCGTCACGCCGGTCACAGAAGAAGTCTTGCGTTCTCTTTAAGATACCGTTTAAGATACCGTCCCACCTTCTGAACGTCACCTACTACAGTTCGATCACTTTAAACCTTACGTTTGACAACTTTAGTGGCTTCGCAGGGTTTTGGGTTAAAAAGGTGTTGACTAATCACTGAGCAATCCTGGCTATCGTTCAAATGCCATGTCACGCCTTCCCACCAATGGCCATGCACTTCCTGTCCCAGTCACTCCTTTGGAGTGACGATAACATGTAATTTGCAACATCGGCTCGTGGTATGAACATTGGAGCTTTGGGAACAAACTGACCCTCTACCACTGTGTAGTCGCCTTTACCTGTATCTGCATGATAGAAACCACAATACATGAATAGGGTGCAAATTCAGTGTTAAAGAGATCGACAAACCTTACGATAAGAATGGGAAAGTATATTACTACTGTATGAAGCAACTAGGAATACTTCTTATTTATGAAAAAAGAGAAAAAGCCAAAATAGTTTAATGTGTTTAAACGCGTACACGTAGATCCCGTCGATGAAAATAAGTTATAAGCAAACTCAATAAATTATGAAGACTGGGTCGATGGTTACCAACTATTTTCAGCGTTGGCGTTCTCGGCTTAGCAAACCTGGAGCGTACCGTGAGTGGTTCAGTTACAGAGAGCTAGAGGTCAGACTTAGCGCGGAGAAGGCAACAAGACTGCGCAACTCCGACAATCCAGTTGACTATAGGAACTAAGCTACCTAGCTATATGCGGCGTCGGTTATTTGATTCTCTAGCCTGCGTGGCAAGCGTTTCCAATCGAGTTATTGCGCGAAAGTTAGAGCGTCATTCATTTTTTTTTTGGTCTTGTCCCAGCTTTCTAGACGAACCTCGCGAGGAAACGCTTCCTACGCAGGCTATTGATTCTCTAACTCCGAGTCTGACTCTGTCTTTAGTGAAACCCGGCCTTGCAAGTCTTCGTATGATATTAACATAAAGACGCCTCAAAAACTTCCCCTGCTTACTATTGTTCAGTCCTGGTGGACGCACCACGGTGTAGCACAGGCCTGACTCCATAAGTATGCTTTCCATCAAAGCCATATCATGAATGAACCCAGCCATCGCAACAGGCTTTAAAAGCCACTCCACAGTTTTGGGATTTCCTGCTTCCTTCCTGGTGCACCACGAAGTGACACACACTATTCTCTGAAGTTTACTCCTGTTAAATAAACACAGTCTTAGCCAACAGGGTACGCTGTAATTTCGATTGCAAATTAAGTAAACCTACGATGGAGGTAATAAGTGTTGAGACCTTGCCTGTGACATTAGTAAAACTGTCGACCTCCCCCCTCCCATCCCTGCAAGGTTGAATTTTAAGCAAAAATGGGTGGAAATGAGTCCTTCAGTGGGCGCACCATTCTATAGGGGGACAGGGGGTTCATTAAGGGCCGGGCACCGGGCAAATTGACCGGCTGAGAACACGACTTTGCCCGGCTGCTTTACATCTCAAAGAACTTCTTTTTACTACAAGGAACGATCAAAAACAGTTTAAGTTACAATCTCGCCCTTTTCTTGATAAGTCTTATCGAGACACACGGCATGAAATCCCCTCGTTCATTATGTGTTAAAAATAAGAATCGCCCCATAACACATTGCGAAAAGAACTGTGCTTCATAAACGACCACCTGAAATGTATCAGTGTTGCGAGCACGTGAGCATGGCGGCCCAGAAAAGAACGCGTTCGATAGCAGATTATTTTTCGGCTTCAGCCAAAGGGCTTCAGGTAGAGGAAAGGCCAAGAGGTGAATAGACTTCTTTGTGATTTGACCTTTTACTTGCCTGTATATATTTAATGGCCTAATCATCGTGTTCAACGAAGCGAAGCGTTATTTTTTATTCGTCTTATGGTTTACGCCAATGAATTGAAAGTCATGGTCTGCAGCCTCAAAATGCAGGAAAACACATCCCTGCGAATATAGAATTTCAAAATTTTCCGGGGGAGCATGCCCCCGGAACCCACTAGGGGACAAGGCCCTCCCGGCCTTGCCAATTCTTTACCCGGGTGTCAAACTCAGTTGCCCTCCTGTTCAAAACCTTAATGAACCCCCTGGGGGGAGTGGGAGGGAAGAAGGAAAGAACACAAGACTGATTAAAGAATTGTCACTAGGAGCAGAGTTCTATGTAACAATTGCTTGGAAGAATTTTACCACCTTTCACAAGTTCTTTGACCTCCATTGTAACTTAATTTAACATCTGGTGTTCGAGTTTAGTATTATACATCACCTCTTCTCAAGCGGTAACCCTGCAAGGCGGCTTTACTCCTCTTTAAGGTGGAATGAATTGGATGGTTGATTAAATTGGGTGTCACTCAGCACTCTTAAATTCACTTTTCTAAGCGGCTCTGTGTTACTGTTTGGGTTTCTCCAAAATACTGTCTATCATTACGCTCCACGTAATATAAATCAGACATAGTAGGTCGACACATGGTTCGAGACAAATGCTCGTCAGTTAGCCTTTAAAGCTCTTTATGGATTTAAAGCTCTATATCCTTAGGAACCAGCTGAAGCTGGTACAGGGGGTGGTGGGTTAAAGTTAGGAAAGTTCTGAACTAAAAATGTATGTAGAAGGAAGATGCAATAAAATGTCAACTTATTTTCTTCCCTTAAGAACCAAATTTTGATGATTAATTGTTGTTAACGTTATTATATTGAGTTTAAAATAGTTATGTTCAGCATTAGCAAATCTAAAAAGGGATTCTTTATCTCCCCCTGATCAAACTGGAATTTGAAAATCTCAGAGTTAATTAAGGTAAGAGTTAGTTTCGGTAGAGGGGTAAGCTAGAATACCCAAAGAAAAACCTCTTGGGGTAAGGAGGAGAACCACGAGCAAAGTTAACCTACATATGGGCAGAGTCACCTCCAGGACCATCATAACAACCCTTACTCTGTAAAGAGAAGAAAGCAGCAGTGTTACAAGAGAGCACTAGACAAGACACTTACTTTTCCATTGCAGACATTATTGACTTCATTGACTCTGAGTATAATGTTGTGTGTCGAAAGACACTTGTTCCATGGGCACCAAGGCATGATAACACAGCATCTTTGCCTTCAAGGACAGGAACCAAGGACTCTGAGTTGAATATATCCCCTTTGATTATATCCAGCTTTTCATGTCTAAAAATGCAAAAAAGAAAGAGAAAATAAATGGAAAGTCTCTGATGAAAGAGCAAATTTCCTGCGCTGCTATGTGAAGTGTCTGTTTCACTGACATGTTTTTATTGTTCATCAACTAATATAAAGAGTTGACAACCACAAAAAGAGTCTACTTTTCTACATAAAATGTGTGTTAAACTGTGGTCCAAGTTTGACTTCGTTTCAGTAACCAGCTTGTTAAGTTTCAACGACATTCACTCCAAGTTTGTGACAGCTGAAAATAGGGCATGTGCCTTTTCATACTTTGCGTGACTTTCAAGAGTGTGTTATTGCAGGTGTTACGCAAACCAAAACAGAATTATGCAAATTCAACTAGACGAGGCAAAAAATGCAGTCGACATGTATCTTAGTTTTTTCTGAAGAAGAATCGACAATAAAGCAGAAGCAAGCCAGAATTATTAGATAAAAACATTTAGAGCAGTTTCAAAATAACTAGCTAGCAAAATGGTCTCTGACCTTTACTTTTAATAGAACATTGGGAAGAAAAAGTGTACGTAATTTACCAAAGCTTCTATTAACACTGATGAGTTATACACAAGCCCACAAAAGTAAAATCCTTCGTCTTTGATAAACAAGTAAGCTTTTACGATATTTTATCATACATATCTCTTAACCTACTCGAGAGGTTAAAACGAAAAAAAAGTATGGTGCAACATCTGTGGTCATCAGTGCAATTGCTAGCACAAATGAACATATGAATTGGAACGACATACGTACAAACACAAACGTACTTGATGTCGAATTTCTCTGGACTTCTAACAACAGCAGTTACAAGATGACCTTTTTGTAGCGCCTGTTGTACCAGAAGACGCCCCATAGGACCTGAAGCGCCAAAAACAACCAAGCTAGGATAAAGCAATTCAGCTGCCTGGGCCATGAGCACGCTCACGTCTTTCATCCTCAATTTACGTCATGTACGAATGACCTAAGTGTATCTATTGATTTTTGGTCAATTGATTTGTTCGAGTCCAAAAAAATATGGCAGAAGCTCGATTGCTTTATCCAAAGCTGGTAGTTTTCGGAGCCTCGGGACCGACTGGACAGGAGGTTGTTAAACAGGCTTTAGCAAAAGGTCATTCAGTGACAGCAGTCGTAAGAAGCCCGGATAAATTCACGCTCAGGTATTTTAGATTGGGTCTTCGGGAACACCTTGATATTGCAATAACCGCTTATGTTAGCCTTTAAAGCTCTTTATGGATTTAAAGCTCTATACCCTTAGGAACCAGCTAAAGCTGGTACAGGGGGTGGTGGGTTAGAGTTAGGAGAGTTCTAAACTAAAAATGTCTGTAGAAGGAAGACGTAATAAAATGTCAACTGATTTTGATGATAAATTGCTGTTAACGTTATTATAATGAGTTTAAAATAGTTATGTTCAGCATTAGCAAATCCAAAAAAAGGATTCTTTATCTCCCCCTGATTAAACTGGAATTTGAAAATCTCAGAGTTAATTAAGGTAAGAGTTAGTTTGGGGTAGAGGGGTCATTCAGGGCGGACAGCAGTCGTAAGAAGCCCAGATAAATTCACCCTGAGGTAATTTAGGTTGGGTCTTCGGGAACACCTTGATATTGAAATAACCGCCCATGCATAATAGAGGGTTCTGCTGATCGACTCGCGATAGCTCAACAAACGTACATTGAGTTGAAGTAAGACTTATCACGAGTTTCACATGAAATACAAATGAATGGTGATAAGCTCCTTGTGATACAACGGATGGATGGTTGAAACGTCTGGGTATTCCTTTATGCATGAACAGGGCGAGTGTATTATAGTTGGTTTGTTTGCTTTAAAAGTTGGTCCGAATATTGCAATTCTTATTTTGATTTTTTTCTCTAGGGTCGTCTTTTCTCCATCTTAATCCATTAGTAAATTAGTAGCACCTGTTTTCTTTGTCTCTGAAAAAAAAATATGCAATTCTGTTTTGAGTAATGTTTTCAACGGATGATCCTTTAAGAAGAATTGTCACCTTTATTAGTCTCGCTTGCTTTTTTAGCCGTTTTGGTTTGAAATAGAGTATCAATTTCGACCATTTTGGTCCGAAACAGGGTATAGTTTGTGCCTTCTAGTCTTGAATTGGGTATATTTTTTTAGAAGAATTAGCTACTTCTTCATCATTTGGCGATAAGACCATTTCCCTTTTAATGTTTAGGCCAACTACTGTGTACATGCCGTAACAGCTTGTCATGCGCTCCGGTCACGCGCCGGGCCCCAGGGCTTAAGGTCTGAAATAGGGTATCAAATTTTTGATCAGGTCTGAAATAGGGCAGGGAAAATCACAGATTCTGCTCTGAAATAGGGTAAGGGTTTCAGGAAGCGTGCTGCACACCCCACCCAATTTTTCTGGAAGTACCCCCCCGGAATTTCTTATCCGTTTTGGTGGTCACAAAAAGCAGGTCATTGTGCCAGGCCTTCCTTGTGGAGACCGTGGAAACTGGGACTAAGAATCGTTGCGTGATTGAAGCCACGCATGTTTTGCAAAGAAAGCTTAGGAAAGATGAAATTAGGAGCTTTTCCGAAACGCGTCGGTCCACGAATTCTATCGCTTGAAAGCGTTGATTACTTTGGAGCAAGTGAACACTACTGAGTGGTCGAAAAAAAATAAGAATCTTAATTAGCAAAATTGCGATGATCAGGTGTTGTAAACTTTCACTGTATGTAAATAAGTCTCGTGATGAGCTTGCGATTTATTTTCGGCGATTGAAATGACGTCCCATGTAAATCTGGCAATGATGTAATTTCTCTGGAATCGAGGTCCTTGAATTTTCGTGTATTTATACACGCGTATAGCCTGCTACCGGAGAGGTATTTTTGATCGTCGCTAACACGCGTACTAAATCAATTCAGAAACAAATAACAAGTATCGATGTCGATAAAGTAGAAAGTAAAAAACCTTTAGAGAGTAAATCAGTCTCCCCAATTAGTAAGGCACTGTGCCTGAGCTATAAGACATGAGACTATTAGAACTGCTATAAAGTAAAAAAATGATCATGCTTATAAAATCGCTTATTTGAAATGTACTCTTAACCTAACTCAAAATCCAAAAATAAAGCATTTTCGTTAGATATAAGCCGAGAAAACGAAGGCCAAAGTTGGTATCTAAGAGCGCTTTTTTGGAAATATTTATAATCACAGGGCTGAAATCCGACGCGATACTTTCCGTTGTTGACAACGCGTTGAGAACGTGTTCTGAGTTTCAAGTAAGCCAGGCCAAATTATAGCAAAATTCGCTTACATTCTGCTTCCCCAAATTAAGTATGATTGTTTTGATATTTCTAAATCATTTCTATGGCGGTAAAAAGCCTTCTACAGACACATCAGATATATGATCCTTGTAAGGACGATGACAGATAAGGCCACAGTTTAATGATCTCATGAGGACCCGCAAGACTTAGAGATCGGCGAAGTCGGTCATCTGAAATGACCGATTGCGCAATGTAAAACAAAAGACGTGTTGACAACTCATAGAATACGATCCTCTCTAAATCATCACGACTGAATGTTTCATTTTTGAGCTATTTTGAAAAAATAGCTCATGTGTCAGTGGTGTGAGCGTATGTATCTTTGTGGCTTTGTATCTTTGTAACTTTGTGTCTTTGTATCTTTGTATCTTTGTAACTTTGTATGTTCGGATGTTTGTTGCAAGAGCCAATAAGGTTGAAGGTACTATGAGTTGATGCTAAGGAACCAATGAGATCTTGGCATCTACTTAAAAATCACATTGCTAAAGGTCGAACAAGGGCACTTTAAGACCGCCATCTTGATTCTTTACAATTTGTTCGTCTTTTATGACGGCTACAGGTGTTTGGAAACATTATATTAAATATCTTCATGATTCAAACGCTGTGTACAGTGATGCAGCTGTTTAAGGGTTCATATTTTAGTGTGGATGCTACTTCAAGACATTTCTGACCGAATTCGGCTATCGCGAACGGTACCACGCACGTATTTATGAGTTGTGTTTCACCTGCTTCAAGGTAGAGTATAAACGATCATATATTTTCAAAGCTCTTCCAGTGAAGCAATAATTGATATTTAGATATGGACTTTAATTCGAAAGTATGCGGCCTATAAAATGTGGTTTACAAGTTTGAAAAGCAGCTTATTTTTTTTAAAGCTGTACCGAGCATTGTTAATCCTGTAAACAAGCTGTAGGAATATTATTCTCTCGCTCACAAAGTTCAACAGACCTTTTTCGTTCCGCAAAACAACAACAAAAAGGAATAATAAGTGAACAACATGATACATCCTTCCTGCATACTAAGCATTATAGTTATTGAAACGTATTTTATTTAGTAAAGATGCGTATAAACTTAAGTAGAAACGGTAGCGTTAGGGAATAAAATTGGAAGAAGCTAGTTGACACAATAATTAGGTACTGCTTTATTGAATGGAGTAACATGATATGAGCAGAAATATATTTCGGCAGTTTGTTAATTTTCTTGGAAGTTAATAATTGTTAGGCTATCAACCTTGACGTTGCATGAAACATAATTTAATTGCAGCTGTTGTAATGAAGCCAAGGTGATTTCTTAAAATCGTTTGAGGAAATTTTGTAGTAAAGAATTTGCGTTTTTTTAAGTACGAATTGTAAAAGGGTCAAAGACCAACATCTTCACGTGCAAATTGTGTGCATGAGTTATTTTTATAATTCTGTTTACTCGATTACTGTGTTACTCGAATTCCCTCACGTACGAACCACGAAAGGGAGCAAAGTCGAACACTTTCACGTGCCAGTTGTGTGACTGTACATCTCATGCACATTGGCTTTTCACAATAGTAATAGTGACTTGAACGTATGAAGACCTGTTTTGTTTTGTAACCAATGCCTTAAAAAAGGCTCTTGTCTGTTAAGAAGCAATAGCTGTTAAAACATGAAGAAATAAGTTGTCAGAGTTAAACACTGTTTCACTGAGTAGAATCGCACGTGAAAACCTCGTGAATTGTGATGATGCAACCATATACCACAATGATAAAAATCCTGGTATTTCGTAACTACTCGAATTCGATGAGTTACATTTCGGCTTAAGAAACTCCGAGGAAACCTTAGAGTTTTCCCTCTAATCAACGTTAACTTATTTCTTCATGTTTTAAAAGCTATTGCTTCTTAAAAGACAAGAGCCTTTTTTAAGGCATTGGTTACAAAACAAAACAGGTCTTCATAGGTTCAAGTCACTATTACTATTGTGAAAAGCCAATGTGCATGAGATGTACAGTCACACAACTGGCACGTGAAAGTGTTCGACTTTGCCCCCTTTCGTGGTTCGTACGTGAGGGAATTCGAGTAACACAGTAATCGAGTAAACAGAATTATAAAAATAACTCATGCACACAATTTGCACGTGAAGATGTTGGTCTTTGACCCTCTTACAATTCGTACTTAAAAAAACGCAAATTGTTTACTACAAAATTTCCTCAAACGATTTTAAGAAATCACCTTGGCTTCATTACAACAGCTGCAATTAAATTATGTTTCATGCAACGTCAAGGTTGATAGCCTAACAATTATTAACTTCCAAGAAAATTAACAAACTGCCGAAATATATTTCTGCTCATATCATGTTACTCCATTCAATAAAGCAGTACCTAATTATTGTGTCAACTAGCTTCTTCCAATTTTATTCCCTAACGCTACTGTTTCTACTTAAGTTTATACGCATCTTTACTAAATAAAATACGTTTCAATAACTATAATGCTTAGTATGCAGGAAGGATGTATCATGTTGTTCACTTATTATTCCTTTTTGTTGTTGTTTTGCCGGAACGAAAAAGGTCTGTTGAACTTTGTGAGCGAGAGAATAATATTTCTACAGCTTGTTTACAGGATTAACAATGCTCGGTACAGCTTTAAAAAAAATAAGCTGCTTTTCAAACTTGTAAACCACATTTTATAGGCCGCATACTTTCGAATTAAAGTCCATATCTAAATATCAATTATTGCTTCACTGGAAGAGCTTTGAAAATATATGATCGTTTATACTCTACCTTGAAGCAGGTGAAACACAACTCATAAATACGTGCGTGGTACCGTTCGCGATAGCCGAATTCGGTCAGAAATGTCTTGAAGTAGCATCCACACTAAAATATGAACCCTTAAACAGCTGCATCACTGTACACAGCGTTTGAATCATGAAGATATTTAATATAATGTTTCCAAACACCTGTAGCCGTCATAAAAGACGAACAAATTGTAAAGAATCAAGATGGCGGTCTTAAAGTGCCCTTGTTCGACCTTTAGCAATGTGATTTTTAAGTAGATGCCAAGATCTCATTGGTTCCTTAGCATCAACTCATAGTACCTTCAACCTTATTGGCTCTTGCAACAAACATCCGAACATACAAAGTTACAAAGATACAAAGATACAAAGTTACAAAGATACAAAGCCACAAAGATGCATACGCTCACACCACTGACATATGAGCTATTTTTTCAAAATAGCTTAAAAAATGGATACGTGTTTTTGCGGTTTTTCATCTTAATAGACTGATCATGATCACGAGCATGTTCTTGGGCCGTATCATTGACCGAGAGTATATTTTTTTTGTTTAGTTGATCTAATCTAAAACATCCAATGTCTAACCCGTGGCGGTTAAAGACGTTTGCGGCTATTTACTTGTCAAAAACATAGGCACGTTAAACGTGCATGAGCTATTTTGAATGCTTCAGTGTAACTTTAATGCTTCGGTGTAACCTTACCAAGAGTGATGAATCTACCTCTTTCATCCTAAATGTAGATTGGGTTTTGTGCCAAATTGCATATTGCGGTACATAAATGAAAACGTGAAACGCTCAGCTGAGTCGATCCTCAAGCTATATATTCACTTTCCTCTGTCTTTCCCTGTTACATCTGGTGCAAGTTAAACAAATCGTTAAAGTGAAATAAATTTCTACTCACCAAACGTTGATTAGAAGGAAAACTCTAAGGTTTCCTCGGAGTTTCTTAAGCCAAAATGTGACTCATCGAATACTGAATAGTTACGAAATACCAGGATTTTTATCATTGTGGTAGATGGTTGCATTATCATAATTCACGAGGTTTTCACGTGCGATTCTATTCAGTGAAACAGTCTTTAACTCCGACAACTTATTTGTTCATGTTTTAAAAGCTATTGCTTCTTAAAAGACAAGAGCCTTTTTTAAGGCATTGGTTACTAAACGAAACAGGTCTTCATACGTCCAAGTTACTATTTAACATTGTGAAAAGCCAATCTGCATGAGATGTACAGTCACACAGCTGGCACGTGAAAGTGTTGGACTTTGCCCCCTTTCGTCGTTCGTACGTGAGGGAATTCGAGTTATCACACAGTAAACTAGTAAACAGAATTATAAAAATAACACATGCACACAATTTGCACGTGAAGATGTTGGTTTTTCGCCCTTTTACAATTCGTACGTTAAAAAAAGGCAAATTCTTTACTACAAAATTTTCACAAAAGATTTTAAGAAATCACCTCGGCTTCATTATAACATCTGCAATTAAATTATGTTTCATGCAACGTCAAGATTGATAACCTAACATTTATTAACATTTGTGAAACAGTCTTTAACTCCGACAACTTATTTCGTCATGTTTTAAAAGCCATTGCCTCTTAAAAGACAAGAGCCTTTTTTAAGGCATTGGTTACTAAACAAAACAGGTCTTCATACCTCCAAGTTACCATTATTATTGTGAAAAGCCAATCTGCATGAGATGTACAGTCACACAGCTGGCACGTGAAAGTGTTGGACTTTGCCCCCTTTCGTGGTTCGTACGTGAGGGAATTCGAGTTATCACACAGTAATCTAGTAAACAGAATTATAAAAATAACTCATGCACACAATTTGCATGTGAAGATGTTGGTCTTTGGCCCTTTCACAATTCGTACGTAAAAAAGAGGCAAATTGTTTTACTACAAAATTTTCTCAAACGATTTTAAGAAATCACCTCGGCTTTGTTACAACATCTGCAATTAAATTATGTTTCATGCAACGTCAAGGCTGATAGCCTAACATTTTTAACTTTCAAGAAAATTATCAAACTGCCGAAATATATTTCTACTTATATCATGTTACTCCACTCAATATAACAGTATCTAATTATTGTGTCGACTAGCTTCTTCCAATTTTATTCCCTAACGCTACTGTTTCTATACTTAAGTTACGCATCTTTACTAAATAGAACGAAAAAGGTCGGTTGAACTTTGTAAGCGAGAGAATAATATTTTTAATGCTTGTTTACAGGATTAACAATACTCGATACAGCTTTCAAAAAAATAAGCTGCCTTTTAAACTTCTAAAACCACATTTTATAGGGCGCATACTTTCGAATTAAAGTCTATATCTAAATATCAATTATTGCTTCATTGGAAGAGATTTGAAAATATATGATCTTTTATACTCTACCCAGTTGTAGCAGGCGAAACTGACGTGCGTTGTACCGATAGCCGAATTAGGTCAGAAATGCCTCGAAGCAGCATCCACACTTAAATATGAACCATTAAACAGCTGCATCACTGTTTACAGTGTTTGAATCATGAAGATATTTTATGTAATGCTTCCAAACGCCTGCACCCGTAATAAAAGACGAAAAAATTGTGAAGGATCAAGATGGCGGTCTCAAAGTGCCCTTGTTCGACCTTTAGCAATGTCATGTTTAAGTAGACGCCAAGATCTCATTGGTTCCTAAGCATCAACTAATAGTACCTTCAACCTTATTGGCTCTTGCAACAAACATCCGAACATACAAAGTTACAAAGATACAAAGATACAAAGTTACAAAGATACAAAGCCACAAAGATACATACGCTCACACCACTGACATATGAGCTATTTTTTCAAAATAGCTCAAAAAATGGATACGTGTTTTTGCGGTTTTTCATCTTAATAGACTGATCATGATCACGTGCATGTTCTTGGGCCGTATCATTGACCGAGAGTATATTTTTTTTTGTTTAGTTGATCTAATCTAAAACATCCAATGTCTGGTGTTGGCCTTATTCTGCGGTGTAAAGGCAAGGGCCGTCAGGCTGATTTTTTCTAATGCATGGTTCTCATCTGCGGCGAAACTACCTGAGCCATCCCTTCCACCTGGAATACTGTTCCGACAAATGAGAAGATACACCACTCTGAACAACAAACGACTGGAATGGCCTGTAATACAGCGACTCCTGACTGTATTATCGCGAGAGAACGCGCGAGCGAGCGGCGAAGGTTCTCACCCCGTATCCTTTCGCTTGCCCCTCACATTTGACTTGAGAGGCTACAGTTATTTATAAAGCAACTAAGATAGTACGCGCGCTCGGATTGGCCGAGAGGCGTGTTTGCATGAGAGTTTGTAAACATGGTTGTGACTTCAAGATGTTTTTCTTTTCGTGCGCTAATCGCGCAAGCACGAATTTGAAAAAGTTTTCGAGTTCAAAACTCGACAAGTTTACTTTATTTACCCATTCCTCCGTCGGCTGAAACTTGGAAAATTGTTACAAACAAGGTGTGTCATTTTTTTTTTCGCTGACATTTGAAGCGAGAAAAATCCGTATTTTGGAAAGGATCTTTTGGCAAAACAAGAACTGATTACGTGTGCAAGGTTTCATGTACAAGACTTTCTCTTTTAATCAGTGCCTTAACAAAACGTTTTGCGTTTTTTCTCGGAAAAGTTATTTTATAAAAGCAATAGAAAACTTTTTTCCTGTGTTTGCATAGCCTGAGATAAACACTCGAGGGGTTGGGAGAATTCTCGACATTTATGCAAACCCGAGACGAAGTCTCCGGTTTGCATAACAGTCTCAAATTCTCCCAACTCCTGTCGTATTTATATCGGGCTATGCAAACACTGAAAACGTTTTCTATTGCTTAAATCCCAGTGGAAACCAATGTTAACTGAGTGACATTATTAAATTTGCAGTCATGACAACCTAGAGGTTGTTAAGGGCGATGTGTTCCAAGCAGATTCCCTTATTCCTATTCTTGAGGGCAAGAATGCTGTGACGTCATGCCTTGGATTTCATAGCGGAACTTTTTTCAACCCAACAACATTGTTCTCCAAGTCCATAACAGAAATAATCACAGCCATGGAAAGGTACTAACTATTTAATTATCAGTGAAATGTGTCAGTGAAATAACCTGCGTATCACAACCCCCCTTTCGGTACTCAAATGACATACTGAGTTCATTTTAATTTTTTGCAGCCATTTAATTGTAAAACAATTCTCTCAGTGGACAATTATATTTTTACTATTTTTATCGGTTGCTGTTATTGTTGTTATTGTTGTTATTATAACTTTATAGGGTAAGTTTATAAAAAATTCAAACTTCAAATAGATTGTAGGGTATATTTGTCGGTTAGTATGGGCAGAATCAGTCTCTCTTTCAGTTAGCACTGTACAATGTAGTACAACAAAATTTAAATTTTCGCATTTCTCGCCCTAAACATTTCATGGCGATTATTTCAACTCACTAAACTGGTCGCCATCGTAGTTTCTTGAAACTCTCTATTGATAAATCATATCCCACATGTGACCCTGCAGGGGCACCCAACGATAGTTTTCTCCTAAATGCATTGAAAACACTTTTTGGAATATCCAGAGTACTTTTAGGTCGGAAGGAATACATTTCAAGTGGCACTACGAAATATTCATCTGTTCGGTCGTCCTAAGACAACTTGACCTTTACCGATAATTAGATCATTATTCATTTTGTCGAAAATTTTAGATGCTATCTTAAGTTTTATGAAGGTGAGAATTTTTCCGATTTATTCATATTTCCATTATACTTTCGAATCCGAATAGGTTTTTTTCCTTTCCTGCGAACGTGAAAACGTGAATCAAGCTTCAGAAAATTGTAGGGTATAGTTATTATATATAGGTTCAAATGTCTGGAACAGACATCTTGAAAGCCGTTTGTTTTCCTTGACCTTGGTTCCATAAAGGACAAAACCTTTCTCCGCTCCAAACAGTCTACACTCAATCTGCACTCAATTCCAGACCAAAAAGGATACTTCTGTAAAAGGCGGGAAATTTGTCGCGAAACTCACGCACCACTGTGGCTTTTGATTGGACGTGTCATTTTTCTCACACGTGAAAAATCATCGTTCGCGTTTCTGATTGGACGTATCATTTTTTTTCACGCGTGAAGAATATCGTTGGCTTCTCTGATTGGCTAGAACGTATTTGCCTATGAAAATTTACGACATAGCATTTTGGTGAGCGTGGTAATAATAGATAGCTTTCTAGGGGATGCTCCGAGGAGTAGCTCTCTTGCGTATCTCAAGTACTTTCTAACACTCTTAAGTGTTATTTACAGGAATGGAATTGAGAGACTGGTCTGTATTTCTGGAATTTACGCTCAGAACGACCCAGGCAATCCCAGATGGATTACGATGCTTAGACCGTTTATGAGAGCCTTTATTAACGACGTGGTTTTGATGGAGAACACTGTTATGCAGTCGAATCTCATCTACACTATTATGAGGCCTCCGTTTTTAACCAATGGTAAGTTCCTCTTTGACAAGCCTCCCATGCAGACGTTCTTGGTCTTGGTCACGCGTTCTTTCCAACGAACATTTGTTGGGGAGAATTGCGTGACGTCTGCGTGGGAGGCTACCCTTTGACGTGATGTTTGTTTTTATTTGCGATATGTCTTCTTTAATGAATATTTAAAGAGGCTGTGTCACGGCTGTCGTGTTCATTTTGTTGATATTGCCGATGACGATTACTCGCTATGTGGAACTTAGCGTTAGCGAAGAAATTACTTGTAAATGAGAAAATCACAACTTCGCGTCAAAGAAATATGTCTCCCAAACATCATATCAAGCGTTGCAAACAACAAAAATGAACTTTGAAAAACTGTTAAACCAACAATTTTTTAAAAATCACATTGCAATCAAGTTGTCATCTGTGCCTTTTTGTGTATTTGCTGTGTTACTTATACCATCTTGTAAAGTTTTGAGCGGCTTTTTTCATGTTTCACTCAATTTGGTGATATTTTTTATCGTTTGAATTTTAAGAACTGACTTTTGTGACGCAGCTCCTTTAAATAAATTAAGATAGAGAATTATTTATAGAATCGCATAATTGCGTAAAATCTCGCATTCTGATTGGTTAACGAAGCGCGGTATTTAGTGTGGAACTGCGAGTTGAAAACGAGGCTAAGCGATATTGTTTCGCATCTACGTAACAACTATCGTCAAATTCTAACACAACAACTGCAAAAAAGGTTTTCTACAAATTCATTTTAAAATGTTTTCAAAATCATTGTCACCTTTTGAAGAGTTAAAAACAAACAAAAGCGTTTTTAAAAGTGATCCGGAGATTCTTTCTTGTTTTGAACTAAACTACAAATTCTTGGAGAGGCATGAAAAACCTCTTTCGCTAGCGACAACGAGAAAACAAGAAAATCCTGTGAACACGGCCCAGAAAATGGCAAGCCAAAGTTCAACCAAACAAAACGGAGAAACGACAACGGAGGGAGTGCCAGGGTCGATTGTCACATACACAGAAAAAGAAATTAATACCTTCAAAGGGGACATGGCCCCTGAAAACACGAAAAAGAGTACGCCGCTTGCAATCGTCCTGAACCGTGGTACTTAGAAAAGTACAAAACAGAGCTGAAGTTGAACAACATTTCTAAAACATTTCAAGGTACTTAGCTTATATTAATCGCGACGTTAAACTTTCAGTGCTTTCCTTTGGACACTTCATTTCTTTCAGTTTTGCCGCCGAAGAGGTAAAAGGTGTAAATTATTTTCCGTCTCGAGCAAATGATCAATTTGAAAAAAGATGTTGTAGATAAACGGCTTGTAAATTCAGTGAAATACCTCTATTTATCCTTACGATTAGTGTGAAGCTTGTTTACATGTAAAAAAGTTTGAAAACAAATGTAAAAACAAGCACAAAAAAGGTTGTCGAAGGCTCAAACGTGTACGACCTTGCTTCCTATTCGCTAACGCACTGACAGTTCTGACAGTTGACTTTGAAATGGCTTTCTGGAGCGCGCGCTCAGGATAAAAACAAACAATATTATTGCTGTTTTCTTTTTTTTCTGAATTTTATTCGATTATGCGATTCAAGGAAAATCCATTACCTGACTCGTGAATTCCACGTTAAATTGCACTTGAAAACCGATATTGGTTTTTGCGTGCAATTTAACGTGGAATTCCCTCGTCAGGTAATGAATTTTCCTATAAAATGGGTATATAACAATCTCATTCATTGGCCCTGGCTACCATAAAATATAGCTTCTTGGCACTGAATTTCTCGGTAACTGATACGCTACCTTAGCATCAGCAAAAGGTGCTTTTGTAAGAATTTCAACTTGGAACACCTAAAAGTTAACGATAAGAGTTAACGCAACGTTTCGATGTCGCCGCGACAATTAGGCCGTGGTCATTCTAAGGGCTTTCCCAATTGCCGACTGACGCACAGGCCGCCCAAGCTCAGTGTGTGAGTACGCAGTTTCATACTGCGTAATTTAAGATGGCCGTGAATATAAAGGATTTGTATGGGAATTCAGGTAAAAGATTCAAGTAGATAAATAACTTGAAGTCGTTACAGTCAAATGAATGGGACAAGAAGGGCATGGCGATTGCTGGTGGAAAATAAGACGATGTCTGTCAAACGTTTAGATAGTCAGTACTGATGAAAGAGGAAACGGCTAAAAAGGAATTTTAAAAACGTTAATTGTCAAAAACAGCCATAGATTCATTTATTTAACTGCACACGAGGTAGTAAATGATAATTACCTAAATGATAAAAATGTGCCAGTCCGAGTTCCAAAACCCCTTCATGTAGTAGCTTTCAAATAAGGCTAAGTGCAAACCTGTATTTGCGTGAGAATTTGATTAAAAACTTCACTCATGCTATCGCTTTGCGAACGAGTCCTGAGAGCATCTCGGGTAAATGACATATGAACTTGGCAAGACCTGAACATTAACAGAACCGAGTAGCAGCCGTAGACAGCTTTTCGTCGCCATTAGAATCCATCAAAAGTAGTGCATGGCAATATAGTTAGAAATACTGAAAAATGTCCAGTATACTCTTTAGCTTTTACGAGGTTTAAACTTAGAGGACCCTAACCAAACTTGGCCGTGTCACATGTCTTGAATCCTGGTGTTTTGATGACGTCTTGCAAAGTGAATTTAATAGGCCATTTCCGCGTTCCGAAAAGTCTCACTTTCAAACCGAGGCTAAATGCAAAACTTCTCTGGTGAAAATGAGTTTTATTTGCATGAGAACAAAAAATCATTTTCATATCAATGTCTTTGGAAGCCAAGCCTCATTTTGAAACAGAGGCTAGGGGCAACTCGGAAATGGCCTATTAGATGATGATGATGATGATGATGATGATGATTGTTATTACCTAAGGAAAAGACCGCAAACGAAAATGCTGCTCGTATACGTGTAGATCAGCAACCAAAAGATATTACATACTTAAGCAATAAAAAATTTGCCCCCGTAGTTGGTGTATAGGATTAATGGAAACGACAATTTGATAAAAAGGGTGTTTATAACGAAAAGAGCAACCAGTTGTTTATTCGAGCTCCAAACAAGACCTTATACAAGGTACTGACACATTTTAATCGACAAAAAGCTAGTTAAAGGCAGGTTACTTTGCAGCTTTGCCGGGTAAGGAGCATATATAAGAAAAAGACCCGACTAAGGCCTAAATATATTATAAAATTTGTAAATATCTTATTATCCGCTCCCCTCAGGGCTTTTCAGGGATAATTTACAACACTGGTTAGGGGACTTTGCCAGACTGCTTAAGGTGCAGTTTACAAGTAATGAAGGAATGGGTGATGATGCCCCCATACACGAGTGTGAAAGTGAGATAGAACACTACACCGGGCACTACGTGCCCTACTCTTTACGAAGAGTGTGTGGGTTCTTTAACGTCCCACAGATTTATTACATGTGCAGGGGCTTGTGAGACAGGGCTTACGGTTTATCGTCCAGGCCTACGGTTTATCCGTCCTATTATAGCCAGGCTCTTCTGCATTAAAAATAAGAAACACGATGAAATGCTCCAAACTTGCCCAAAATATTGTCCAATGCTTGTCTTTGTTCTCTGTGACGGTGCTGCGCAAATAATATTAGGACGATACAAGTAATATATAACACCCCATGATATTTTAGTAAATATTGGTTATAAATATGTCTAGCACTTATTTTTAGCAGTCATCTTGGTTATCCTACTGTGGTGTTTACCTATGGTAAAATGATTTTTACCAGGGCAATTGATATCCTACGGAGTAGTAAATGGAATTTTGTTTTTTTACCTGATTATTTACCAAAAAAACCCTCAAACTTTAAGGGAGTTGCGGTTGTTAACAGCTAAAATGAGAGCGAAACACATGTATTCTGATGCAACATGGTAACTTAAAACAAAAATCACGACACCTGATGTTGCTGAAGCTGCCTTTTTCTTCTCTGCCTCGTTAGAGGTTGGACAGAATCTGTGCTCGAGAAAAATCCTGCTTACGCCAATGCATTTGAAACATTAACCCCCTTCAAAGTGATTTAAAATTCTCACTATGCGCACAGCACGGAGCTCTTATGAAATTGTTTACTGGACTATGTCGTATTACACTAATACGAAGCACCTTGTGCTTTTTGCGCGATCAAATTTCTACCAAATAAGGAAGATGACGGAAAATTGCCTCTCAGAACTCAACACAAAAACATGATTGCGTGAAGATTGCAGTTTGCAAAGAAAGTGAAAAGCCTCACTGTTGCTACTCGCTGTTGTACTGTAAATCCAGATTATTGTTATCAGGACAAGCCCAGAGGAGGATCATTGTCTTTTTATAATAGTTCATTGAAGCATTTCTTTGGTATTAGTTCATTAAAGTCTTGTTTTAAAGAAAATATGCATTTTTGGAGTTCTTTTCAGGTTCAGTAAAAAAGCAAAAGGTTTCGTGGGCAAAACACGACAACGAATTTTTAAATTTCTAAATTGGATTTGGTTCTTATAGGAATTTAACTGCAGGAGAATTGAAGTAAGAAAGGCGCTGAAGTTTCAAAGAATGTAAAGTCATTTGTAGGTGACTTTTCCGTCGTCGTCGCCTGTCTCAGGCGTTCAAATTGGAGGGAAGGCGCAAAGAGGTGTGGGCAGGAAGAGGAGGCAGCGAGGGGGTGGGGCAGGGGGTGTGAACGCCTGTAACAGGCTAAAGCTGGCGTGGTATCTTGAACTCCCTGATATAAGTTACTAGTTTCAGGCGTTCAGACAGTGGAGAGTGGCGCGAAATGGACAGCAGAGCACCCCCTCGCTGTGTTTCTCTACTCACTTTTCTTTGCGCCATCCCCACTATCTGAACAGATATGAACGCTTGGAGCAGGTGCCCGGGCCCATGGCAGATGCAGCGCAATCTCTGAATCAGTTGAAACAAGATCGTTCGTGTACGTTTATTTCAAAGATCATTCCCCAAGTTTGGTTTATAATGATCTCGTCCTGAGAGTACACAACAGAACATATTGCTGCAAAGATCTTTTTCCCTGTAACAAGTAATTACGTGAGTAGTAACGTGAGTGATTCCCGTTTTTTGTCGTGTACTGAATTCTGTGAGAAATTGTTGGGCATAAGCTAAGATATATTGAAGAACAAAAGCACCGTAAGAGAAGAGGTTTAATTTCTTCAGGGATCGTAAACACGACGCATAATTTTCAAAATGTTGAAGAACATTACTCCAGATTGAACGAGAGCCTGTCTCGAAAAAGGTTTTTGTGCAGCGGTTTGTTGACGGGGTGAGATGATGGCAGAATTGCAGAAAAATCCCCAGGCAGTTTCGATGAAGCTGTCGAATCCTATAGGGCTATTTCGTATACTGTATTTTAATTCTTGGTATTGAATCCGTAAAAAGCCGGACCCAGTTCATAGGTAATCTTGTTCCTTTCAAAAGGGGAAGCAAGGTTGACATTAATTCGAGCATTTTGTTAAACGTTAATCGTTGTTTACCACATCAGATCACGAGCACTAAAATGGTTATAGAAATGCACCAATATGAAGAGGTCTGTTGTGCAGTGTCACGCCGTCACGCTGGTCACAGAAGAAGTCTGGCGTCCTCTTTGAGATACCATCCGACAATCTGAACGTCACCAACTACAGTTCGACTACTTTAAACCTTACGTTTGACAACTTTGGTGGCTTCGCAGGGTTTTTGGGTCAAAAAGGTGTTGACCAATCACTGAGCAATCCTGGCTATCGTTCAAACGCCATGTCACGCTTTCCCGCCAATGGCCATGCACTTCCTGTCCCAGTCATTTCTTTGGAGTGAGGATAACATGTAATTTGCAACATCGGCTCGTGGTATGAACATTGGAGCTTTGGGAACAAACTGACCCTCTACCACTGTGTAGTCGCATTTACCTGTATCTGCATGATAGAAACCACAATACATGAATAGGGTGCAAATTCAGTGTTAAAGAGATCGACAAAACTTATAGCCTCCCACGCAGGCGTTTTTAGGGGAGCTCATATACGAGCTCCCCTAAAAACGCCTGCGTGGGAGGCTACAAACCTTACGATAAGAATGGGAAAGTATATTACTACTGTATGAAGCAACTAGGAATACTTCATATTTGTGAAAAAGAGGAAAAACCAAAATAGTTTAATGTGTTCTCGTCCATGAAAATAAGTTATAACAAACTCAATAAATGATGAAAACCGGGTCGATGGTTGCCTAGTCTGTCCTTAGCGTTGGCGTTCTCGGCTTAGCAAACCTAGAGCGTACCGTGAGTGGTTCAGTTACAGAGAGCTAGAGATCAGACGCGCGGAAAACGCAACAAGACTGCGACTCCGACAATCTAGTTGACTATAGGAACTAAGTGATGTAGCTATATGCGGCGTCGTTAATTTGATTCACTAACTCCCGAGTCTGACTCCGTCGTTAGTGAAAATCTGCATGCCTTGCAATTTTGCGCATAACACTAATATAAAGACGCCCCAACAACTTTCCATGCTTACTGTTGTTCAGTATTGGTGGACGGACAACGGTGTAGCAAAGGCCTGACTCCATAAGTATACTTTCCATCAAAGCCATATCATGAATGAACCCAGCCATCGCAACAGGCTTTAAAAACCACTCAACAGTTTTGGGATTTCCTGCTTCCTTCCTGGTGCACCACGAAGTGACACACACTATTCTCTGAAGTTTACTCCTGTTAAATAAACACAGTCTTAGCCAACAGGCGACGCTGTAATTTCGATTGCAAATTAAGTAAACCCACGATGGAGGTAATAAGTGTTGAGACCTTGCCTGTGATATTAGTAAAACTGTCAACCTCCCCCCTCCCACCCCAGCAATGTTGAATTTTAAGCAAAAATGAGTGGAAATGAGTCCTTCCGTGGGTGCACCATTCTACAGGGGGAGTGGGAGAGAAGAAGGAAAGAACACAAGACTGATTAAATAATTGTCACTAGGAGCAGCGTTCTATGTAACAGTTACTTGGAAGAATTTTACCACCTTTCCCAAGTTCTTTGATCTCCATTGTAGCTTAACTTAACATCTGGTGTTCGCGTTGAGTCCAGTATTTTACCTGTATTATACATCACCTCTTTTCAAGCGGTAACCCTGCAAGGCGGCTTTACACCTCTTTAAGGTGGAATGAAGTGGATGGTTGATTAAATTGGGTGTCACTCACCACCTTTAAATTCACTTTTCTAAGCTTTTTCTAAACTTTTCTTACTGTTTGGGTTTTTCCAAATACTGTCTGCCATTAAGCTCCACATAATATAAGTAAGAAATAGTAGGTCGATGGTTCAAGGGAAATGTTCGTCAGTTAGCCTTTAAAGCTCTTTAAGGATGTAAACCTCCTTACCCTTTGGGACCAGCTAAAGCTGGTACAGGGGGTGGTGGGTTAAAGTTAGGGATGTTCTAAACTAAAAATGTCTGTATAAGGAAGATGCAATAAAATATCATCTTATTTTCATCGCTCAAGAACCAAATTTTGATGAAAAATTGCTGTTAACGTTATTATGCTAAGTTTAAAATAGTTATCTTCAGCATTAGCAAATCTAAAAAGGGATTCTTTATCTCCCTCTGATCAAACTGGAATTTGAAAATCGCACAGTCAATTACGGTAAGAGCTAGTTCAGGTAGAGGGGTAAGCTAGAATACCCCAAGAAAAACCTCTTGGGGTAAGGAGGAGAACCAAGAGCAAACGTAACCTATATATGGGCGGAGTCACCTCCAGGACCATCAGAACAACCAGTTACTCTGTAAAAAGAAGGAAGCAGCAGTGTTACAAGAGAGAACTGGACAAGACATTTACTTTTCCATGGCAGACATTATTGACTTCATTGACTCTGAGTATAATGTTGTGTGTCGAAAGACACTTGTTCCATGGGCACCAAGGCATGATAACACAGCATCTTTGCCTTCAAGGACAGGAACCAAGGACTCTGAGTTGAATATATTCCCTTTGATTATATCCAGCTTTTCATGTCTAAAAATGCAAAAAAGAAAGAGAAAATAAATGGAAAGTCTTCGACGAAAGAGCAAATTTCATGCGCTGCTATGCGAAGTGTCTGTTGTTTCAAATTTTTTTTGTTCATTAACTACATGTAAAGAAATAAAAACGACAAGAAGAGTCTACGTAAAATGTGTGTTTAACTGTGGTCAAGTTTGACTTCGTTTCAATAACCAGCTTTTTAAGTTTTCACGACATTCACATGCATTCACTCCAAGTGCATGACGACTGAAAATAGGGCATGTGCCTTTTCACACTTTGCGTGACTTTCAAGAGTGTGTTATCGCAGGTATTGCGAAAACCAAAAAAGAATTATGCAAATTTAACTAGACGAGCAAAGATGCAGTCGACATGTATGTTCTTTTTTTCTAAAGAAGAATCGAGATTAAAGCAGAAGCATGCCATAATTATTAGGTAAAAACGAAATAAAGCAGTTTCAAAATAATTAGCAAAATCGTCTCTGACCTTTACTTAAGAAAATTGGGAAGAATAAGTGTACGTTATTTACTAAAGCTTAATATGCACGAGCCCACAAAAGTAAACATCACTCGTCCTTCCGTTCTTTTTTTTTAATAACTGAGGTTCGTTCTGGGTGTTTGATAAATAAATAAGCTTTTACAATGTTTTATCGTACATATCTCTTAACCTGCTCAAGAAGTTAAAACAAAAAAAAACAAAACAAAACAAAACAAAACCATGCTGCAACATCTGCGAACATCGGGCAGGAACATATGAATGAAAATAACATTCGTACAAACATAAACATACTTGATGTCGAATTTCTCTGGACTTCTAACAACAGCAGTTACAAGATGACCTTTTTGTAGCGCCTGTTGTACCAGAAGACGCCCCATAGGACCTGAAGCGCCAAAAACAACCAAGCTAGGATAAAGCAATTCAGCTGCCTGTGCCATGATTTCGGCACGTTCACGTCTTTCATCCTCAATTTACGTCATGTACGAATGAACCAAGTGTATCTATTGATTTTGGTCAATTGATTTGTTCGAGTCCAAAAAAACATGGCAGAAGCTGGATTGCTTTATCCAAAGCTGGCAGTTTTCGGAGCCTCGGGACCGAGTGGGCAGGAGGTTGTTAAACAGGCTCTAGCAAAAGGTCATTCAGTGACAGCAGTCGTAAGAAGCCCGGATAAATTCACACTCAGGTATTTTAAATTGAGTCTCTGGTAGCACCTTGATGTTAAAATAAGCGTCCATCCGTGAAGAAAAGGTTCTGCTCGTCTCATGATAGTTCAACAAGCGTACATCGAGTTGAAGTAAGACTTATCACGAGTTTGACATGTACACAAATGAATGATGATAAGCTCCTTGTGATACAACGGCAATAGTGGTTGAAACGTCTTGGTCGTGCAGCAAAGTCCAGCTAAGTTAATTCCTTTATGCATGAACAGGGCTAGAGTATTTTAGTTGGTTTGTTTGCTTTAAAAGCTGGTCAGAATATTGCGTTCCTTATTTTGATTTTTTGTCGAGGGTCTTCTTTTCTCCATCTTAACCCATTAGAAAATTAGTAGCACCTTTTTTCTTTGTCTCTGAAAAAAAAAACCACGCAATTCTGTTTTGAGTAATGTTTTCAACGGGTGATTATGCTTGTCCTCCTTTATTCAAAATTATCAAGACCTGCAACTCGGTACCTCTTGCTTTCCAGCATTTTGCTATAACTGAAATTGAAATTCTGTGGACTTTTTGCTTTAGCCGCTTCTTATAGGAGTAAAGAGGGTGTAAAAGGATAAACATCAATCTCTAGTGGACTGTCGTGACAAAAAGACCAATTTGCATATGGAAGCGTTTAACGAAAGAAATGTAAATAATAATTTACTGTGTAGGGACAGAAGACTCTCTTATAGGATCTGCCTAGACGCTAATGCGCATAATTTACTGATCGTGTAAGGTAGTCCGATTTGTCAGTCGTCTCCACTCCACCCCCTAATCCCTCTAATATAACCCGTGGCGGTTAACGACATTTCCGGCTATGTACTTGTTTTATTAAAAAAAAATGGATACGTGTGTTTGCGGTTTTTCATCTGACTGATAATGATCACGTGCCTGTTCTTGGGCCTTATCAATTTGTTTACCTTTAAAGGTGACCGAAAGGTTATATACTTTTTTATCTAAAACATCCAATGTCTGGTGTTGGCCTTATTCTGCGGTCTAACAGCAAGGGCCGTTTGGCTTGTTTTTTCTAATGTCTGGTTCTCATATGCGGCGAAATTACCTGAGCCATCGCCGCGACAACAGTATCCCAGGTGGAAGTTCCACCTGGGATACTGTTCCGACAAATGAGAAGATACACCACTCAGAACAACAGACGACTGAAATGGCCTGTGCCTGTAATACAGCGACTCCTAGCCGGCTGTATTGGAGTTATATTGCGGGCAGCTCTCCATTTACGGCGATCTAGTGAAGCGGGCCGGGAGAGAACGCGCGAGCTTGGCTTGCCGCTCACGTGCGACTTGAGAGCTTGCTCGTAGGCTACGGTTTTATGGCAGTTTAGGTTCGTTGGTGTGGATAAATCAATGTTAACTGAGTGACATTATTAAATTTACAGTCATGACAACCTAGAGGTTGTTAAGGGCGATGTGTTCCAAGCAGATTCCCTTATTCCTATTCTTGAGGGCAAGAATGCTGTGATGTCATGCCTTGGATTTCATAGGGGAACTTTTTTCACCCCAACAACATTGTACTCCAAGTCCATAACGGAAATAATCACAGCCATGGAAAGGTACTAACTATTTAATTATCAGTGAAATGTGTCAGTGAAATAACCTGCGTATCACAATCCCCCTTTCGGTATTCAAACGATATACAGAGTTCATTTTAATTTTTGTAGGCATTTAACTGTGAAACAATTCTCCCACTGGACAATTATATTTTTACTTTTTTTATTGGTTGCTGATGTTGTTGTTATTGTTGTTGATATAACTTTATAGGGTGAGTTTATAAAAAATTCAGACTTTAAATAGATTGTAGGGTATTTTTGTCGGTCTGTATAGCAAAACCAGTCTCTCTTTCAGTTAGCACTGTACATTGTAGTACAAGAAAAGTTAAATTTTCGCATTTCTTGCCCTAAACATTTCATGGCGATTATTTCAACCCACTAAACTGGTCGCCATCGTAGTTACTTAAAACTCTCTATTGATAAATCATACCCCACATGTGACCCTGCAGGGGCACCCAAGGATAGTTTCCTCCTAAATGCGTTGAAAACACTTTTTGGAATATCCAGAGTACTTTTAGATCGGCAGGAATACATTTTATGTGGCACTACGAAATGTTCATCTGTTCGGTCATCCTAAGACAACTTGACCTTTACCGATGATTAGGAGATCATTATTATTTTGTCGAAAATTTTAGATGCTATCTTAAGTTTTATGAAGGTGAGAATTTTTCCGATTTATTCATTTTTCCATTATACTTTCGAATCCGAAAAGGTTATTTTCCTTTTCCAGCGAACAATAGACTAAACCTGGGGAATAAAATGTGAAAACATGAATCAAGCGTCAGAAAATTGTAGGGATATAGTTATTGTGTATAGGTTCAAATGTCTGGAACAGACATCTTGAAAGCCATATGTTTTCCCTGACCTTGGTTCCATAAAGCACAAAACCTTAGCCTATTTCCGCTCGGAACAGTCTACACTCAATCTGCACTCAATTCCAGACCAAAAAGGGTACTTCTGTAAAAGGCGGGAAATTTGGCGCGAAACTCACGCACCGATGTGGCTTTTGATTGGACGTGTCATTTTTGTCACACGTGAAAAATCATCGTTCGCGTTTCCATTTCCAGGAATGGAATTGAGAGACTGGTCTGTATTACTGGAATTTACACTCAGAACGACCCTGCCAATCCCAGATGGATCACGATGCTTAGACCATTTATGAGATCCTTTATTAACGACATGGTTTTGATGGAAAACACCGTTATGAAGTCGAATCTCATCTACACTATTATGAGGCCTCCGATTTTAACCAAAGGTAAGTGCCTCTTTGACAAGCCTGCCTAGCCTGCGTAGCAAGCGTTTCCTCGCGAGGTTCGTCTAGAAAGCTGGGACAAGAGCAAAAAAACATGAATGACGGCGGAGGGGGAGGGGAACCAACCTTTTTTTTTGCTTCCGCTCTAACTTTCGCGCAATAACTCGATTGGAAACGCTTGCTACGCAGGCTAAAGCCTGCCATGCACACGTTCTTGGTCTTGGTCACGCGTTCTTCGCCAACCAACATTTGTTGGGGAGAATTGCGTGACGTCTGCGTGGGAGGCTACCCTTTGACGTGATGTTTGTTTTTATTTGCGATATCTCTTCTTTAATGAATATTTAAAGAGGCTGTGTCACGGCTGTCGTGTTCATTTTGTTGATATTGCCGATGACGATTACTCGCTATATTGAACTTAGCGTTAGCGAAGAAATTGCTTGTAAATGAGAAAATCATAACTTCGCGTCAAAGAAATATGTCTCCCAAACATCATATCAAGCGTTACAAACAACAAAAATGAACTTTGAAAAACTGTTAGACCAACAAGTTTTCAAAAATCACATTGCAATCAAGTTGTCATCTGTGCCTTTTTGTGTACTTGCTGTGTTATTTATACAGTCTTGTAATTAAAGTTTTGAGCGTCTTTTTTCATGTTTCAGTCAATTTGGTGATATTTTTTATCGTTTAAATTTTAAGAACTGACTTTTGTGACGCAGCTCCTTTAAATAAGTAAAGATATAGATTATTAATAAAATGGGTAGATAACAATCTCATTCTTTAGCCCTGGCTATCATAAAATATAGCGACTTGGCAGTGAATTTCTCGGTAACTGATACGCTACTTTAGCATCAGCAAAAGGTGCTTTTGTATCAATAGAATTTCGGCTTAGTACACCTAAAACGTAACGAAAAGAGTTAACGCAACGTTTCAATGTCGCCACGACATCATTGTAAAAAAAAATAAGCCATGGTTATTCTTTAAAAGGGCTTTCCAATTGCCGAACAGTGGCGGATCCAGAGAAGAACCCCGTGGGGTCCGCGCCCCGTCCCCCTTATTTAAGACCAAACTGATGCCCGAAGGACCGAAAAAATCTTTTTGGGAGACCTGGCCCCCCACTTATCTAAGGGTCTGGATGACCGGGGCCCCCCCTTATCGCAAGGTCTGGATCAGGCACTGCCGAATGACGATATTCGTCAATACGTTGATGATATTAATCCCTCAGAAAGGTCCTGTGATGTATATATGGTAAAATGACGAACCTTAAACCATGCAATAGTTTGTATTTTAAAGTAAAGAAAAGTTTCTTCATTTCTTCAGGAGCTGCAACTGATAATTACATGGTTGCCGAGGGCCAATTCGTACCAAATGCTTCTTCGTCATTGTCGCGAGCAGATTTAGCTCATTTTATGTTGAAGTCGTTACAGTCAAATGAATGGGACAAGAAGGGTATGGCAATTGCTGGTGGGAAATAAGACAATGTGCGTAAAAAGTTTAGATACACTGTAGTATTGATGGAAAGAGGAAATTGCTAAAATGCGTTTTAAAAAAGTTAGTTGTCATAAACAGCCATAGATTCATTTATTTAACAAACGAGGTAGTAAATGATAATATGGGCCATTCCTAGTTCCAAAACCCCTTCATGCAGTGGCTTTCAAATGAGGCTAAATGCAAACCTTTCTTGTAATAATGACTTTTATTTGCGTGAGAATTTGATTAAAAACTTCGCTCATCCTACCCTTTTGCGAACGAGTCCTGAGAGTGTCTCTCGGAAATGGCCAATGAACTTGGCAACACGTGAACATTAACAGAGCCGAGTAGCAGCCGTAGACAGCTTTTCGTCCCCATTAGTATTCATCATAAGTAGTGCAGAGCAAGATAGTTAGAAATACTTAAAGATGTCCAGTACAGTAAAAACCCGCGTATAAGAACCTAACATTTAAGAACCTGTTAGGCTAAAATTTCATTTTTAAGCACCCTTCACATAAGAACCATTTTAGGCTAAAATCCTAAAGCAGGTTCTTATTTATTTATTGTTGTTGTGTATGCAAAATTTATTGACAATTATAGTGAAGATTACAGTACCATAGGTTTGATTGTAACAGAATCAGATTAAAATAGTATAATAACGAAGCCTCCAAGAATACTGTTTTTGGACATTAAACACCAGATTATTCAAAAATTCAGCTTTATTTCTTGAACAACAGTTAAGAACCTAATTAAGAACCTAGTTAGCCTAATTTTACACTAAATACCATTTATATAAGAACCTGTTTAGGCTAACTTGGAAAAACCTAAGTTCTTATACGCGGGTTTTTACTGCATACTCATTAGCTTTTGCGAGGCTTAAACGTACAGGACCCTAGTCAAACTTGGCCGTGTCATATGTCTTGAATCCTGGTGTTTTGATCATACAATGACGTCTTGGAAAGTGAATTTAGTAGGCCATTTCCGCTTTCCAAAAACTCTCGCTTTCAAAACGAGGCTAAGTGCAAAACTTTTCTGGTGAAAATGAGTTTTTTTGCATGAGAATAAACAATCATTTTCATATCAATGGCTTTGCACTTAGCCTCGTTTTGAAACAGAGGCCTGGGGCAACTCGGAAATGGCCTATTAGATGATGATGATTGTGATGATGATGATTGTTATCATACCTAAGAAAAGGACCGCAAACGAAAATACTGCTCGTATAAGTGTAGATCAGCAGCCAAAAGATATTACATACTTCAGCTACAAAAATCCCCCCCCCCCCTGTAGTCGGTGTATGGGATTAATGGAAACGACAATTTAATAAAAAAGATGTTTATAACGAAACAGCAACCAGTTGTTTATTCGAGCCCCAAACAATCAGACCTTATACGAGGTACTGACGCATTTTAATCAACAAAAAGCTAGTTAAAGGAAAGTTACTTTGCGGCATTGCTGGGTAAGGAGCATATATAAGAAAAAGACCTGAATAAGGCCTAAATATATCATAGCCAGGCTCTTCTGCATTAAAAGTAAGAAACACGATGGAATGCTCCAAACGTGCCCAAAATATAGTCCGATGCTCGTCTATGTCCTCTGCGACGGTGCTTTTGCAAATAATACTGGGACGACACAGGTAATATAAAGCACCCCATGATATTTATAATAAGTAAATACTGGTTCTAAATATGTCTAGAACTTATTTTAAGCAGTCATCTTGGTTATCCTGCTGTGGTGTTTACCTCTGGTTAAATAATTTTTACTAAGGCAATTGATATCCCACGGAGTAATAAATATGACATTTTGTTTTCTTACTTGATGATTGACCAAAAAACACTCAAACTTTAAGCGAGTTGCGGTTTTAACAGCTAAAAATGAGAGCGAAACGCATGCATGCTGATGCAACATGGTAACTGAAAAAATTCATGACACCCGATGTTGCTGAAGTCGCCTTTTTTTTTCTCTGCCTCGTTAGAGGTTGGACAGAATCTGTGCTCGAGAAAAATCCAGCTTACGCCAATGCATTTGAAACATTAACCCCCTTCAAAGTGATTTAAAATTCTCACTATGCGCACAGCACGGAGCTCTTATGAAATTGTTTACTGGAGGATGTGGTATTACACAAATACGAAGCCCCTTGTGCTTTTTGCGAGATCAAATTTCTACCAAATAAGGAAGATGACAGAAAATTGCCTTACAGAACTCAACACAAAAACACGATTGCGTGAAAATTGCAGTTTGCAAAGAAAGTGAAAAACCTCACTGTTGCTACTCTCTATTGTACTGTAAATCCAGATTATTGTTATCAGGACAAGCCCGAAGGAGGATCATTGTCTTGTTATAATAGTTCATTAAAGCATTTCTTTTGTGTGAGTTCATTTAAGTGTGGTTTTAAATTAGAAAATATGCATTTTTGGAGTTCTTTTCAGGTTCAGTAACATGTAAATTACTTGGTAGTGAGTTTTGAACATCGAAGCGTCTTATTTGCTGTGTGCGTATTTTCACGTCGAACTTTCTGAGACAAATTAACGAGCCTTATGAAATCTGATTCAAATTAAAACTCTCCGACAGGCATGACTTCCAGCAAGAGGTAAGTTTTAAAATATACGGTTTTCACGTGCTTACATTTTCGTGGGACGCCGTATTCGATCGTGTTTTCCTACTCGTATAAAGAGCACCAATCCAACTGACTAGATCCATTTAAAGATGCTCAATTTGGAGGAAACAGGCACTTCTAAAAAGGACATTTACTGTTCATAATGAAATGTAGCGTGATTAAAGTTTCCATCATCCATAATTAAGTAAATATCAGTTGCGTAATTTGATTGAATTAATGTTATTCGAAGTAACCGGTTACTTCCACAAGTGATGTACTCGGATACGACTAGCCAGTCAGGAAACGTTGCAGGTAGCGTAGAATATTGTTTCCAAAACACAACGAGAACGTGGAATCATCGATTAAAGTATTCCAAGAGTGTCATAGGTGAGCATTTGAAGTACTAAGTAAATATTGATGATTCGTAATTTTTTAAGCTGTAAACACGTTTGCAAAACTTGTTATCGCCTTTACTGATTAGCGGGGAGAAGACGTATTGTATGTAATTCTTTCTTTTCCGTGGTAGACTCCAAAAGAAAGAGCCAAAACCGGGCACAATTAAACCAAGTGATGGTTTGCACATGACATAAGGGCACGAGGAGCGTTTGCTTTCATTGCATAAAGGACAACATAAAATTTCGAAACATTGGACTCAATGTAAAGTCTTCTTAGCTAAAAAAAAAATCATCCTTTTCCGAATAGGAAGAAACAGTTTCAATTTAGAACTGAATGCATTTATTGCACAACGTCCGCCGAGCTGACTGCTTCTCCGGCCTTTAGCTGTAGAGTTCTGTTGGCTTAGCAATCCCGATAGGAGGCTAATGGAAAGGGGGATTTGATCTTTACGCAAAGCAACCCATTCAATACGACGTCTTATTTTATTTTTTGATTTTTTTTTGTAGAAGGCGAACATCAGTTGTTTGTTTAGCAAAGCAGGAATTAGAAAACCATTGCATGCAGTTTGCGTCAATCTAGTTGCTTCCATGAACAAAAACAAAAAGTAAATTCTTCTATGATCGCTAGACTATGAAATTGCTGTCCTGATTAACTTTCACCCTTCAGTAGTTACGTGAAAAAAAAAACGAAAAACTTGTCACCACATACGCTGTGAAACGCACCATAGGAGAATCATCTCCATTTAATATGGCGTCGTATGCTAGAAGTATTCGTCAGAGCTTTCATTGGTTTGAACTGATGAAGGTTTGAACTCAGCCCGTTATTTTTCTAATTTTGTTTTTCTTTTCTGTTCCTATCGTCTTATTAAATCAGAAAGCTTGCAAATGTTGTATATCAAAATGAAATCGAGATTTAAATGGTATTCGCCAAGGTTTAAGTGTCAATTTTCTTTGTGTCCTGGCTCAGTTATTATTGTCATGATTATTATTATTATTATTATTATTATTATCATCATCACGAATAAAGTCAATAATTTTCTTTGTCTAATAACACTTACGGTATGATAAAACGGGCAACAAAAAAAGTGCAACTTCTTTGGCGACTTTGCTACAAAACGAGTTAAATATCGATGTCGAGCGTCTTACCACCCTCGGAAAAAACCTTGCAACTTTTTTTGGCGCAAGACAGGTTCGAACGTGGGTGGTAATGGTAAGCAATATTGCAAAACAAGTTGCCATTTTTTGTTGCCCGTTTTACTGAAGCTTTAGGGATTGAAGGGACAAGAGGAAGTGATTCTCTTTTGCTAAGGACAAACCAGGACAGAAACAAAAACAAAATATCAAACTAGGTTGCAACAGATTAGCTCTTGATTGAAGGCTTTTTAACCTGAATTTCATTAAGTTTTTGAACTACAACACAGACATTATCATTGTGTTTAACGACGTTTGCGAGTCATTCTTTGCATTATTAAGTGGGCTTGATTTTCGCTTGGAGTTTGGTCGCCTGTGATAATAACGGGTATCCTCGATGGAAAAATTTGACACCCTTAAATATTTTTTAATTTCTACCGCCTCTTGGAGAACAATGTCACAAAACCAAAAAATTAAGATGATTCTTTCGAATAACCCCTGCTCATAAAGTTTTAGGCAAGTTTAAAAGGGATCGCTGGAACTTTAATAGTGGTTATCTTAGAGTTTAGCACTCGAAGTGGTACACACATAGTTTCGCCCTCAAAGGGAACGAAGGCCACCCCTGTCATATTATCCGGGTGCAGGGTCATAACACATGAGAACAAAGCCATACATTCATTAGTTTTACAACTATTACGTAACAGCCCCTATTCGCTTAAAATAAATGTTTTTCTTACTTACTTACTTACTTATAATCATAAGCGGCAGAGCAGGGGGAGTGGGCAGGGGTTCCGTAGCCCCCCTCAACACAAATATGAAGGGGCAGAGCCCCTCACGTTTTGGTACGGAAAAACACTTTTACGGAGGTATTTCACAATACCTGTGACATCAGCGACTTCAAAGCGCACATTTTCAGCCCTCAGACGACTCAAGAACTACCTAAGAAGCACCACGAAGCAGGACCGCCTGAACAACTGACTACGGACACACTAGATACTGTGAGGATTGCAAAGAGGTTTGCATTTTGGAAATTCTGAGAAAGGGTATGCGTATGGCTGAGTGGAAGATGAGTCCCACCCCACCCCCCGCCTCCCCCACTTACGTTTCAAAACGCTCCGCCGTCTCTGTTGATGAATATGATAATTATATCAACTGCGACTATCATATCTTTATTTAAATTACTTCCAATTACTTACTTACGTATCCACTTAATAATCTTACTTACTTATGTCTACTAACTTACTGAGGAATGAAAACGTGATCTTATTTCTTGCCTCTTGGAAGAATTGAAGGTGTACTTGTCGCCCAACACGCAGTGTTTGACTGATGCACTCGCCTGGGCTTAAGTTTTTATCTTTTCATGGCGATCGCTTACATTGTTTAACTTATTAAACTGTAATTTGCTTTTTCACACAGCGACACGAAGAAACTGTACGAAGAGTTAAGAGAGAAGTTATCCAATTTAAGCCGCACAATTAAGAACCTCGAAACAAGAGCATCCAAACCGAATTTCTCTACAGACGAACTTGCTTATCACGTGAGTATTGATTGCTTCTCGAATGTACTTAATAAGATTTGTCCTCTTACACAGGTCACATGTCTCATGTGCCTCATACCCTTTGCGCAATTGTTATTTTAACATCCAGAGTGCATGCTCCGTTGTACAAAAATGAACGGGGGATAGTACATCTAAATACTTGTAAATGCTATAAGATAAATGATTTTATTAAAATGAAGGCTGTTCTATGATGTATTTGCTTCCATAATTCTATCTCACACTCATTTAAGGAGAATCTGGAGGGAAGGGACCCTCCTTAAGAGGAATTCATTGGAGAGTGAGTGGGTAGAACTCTCTGAAACAAAAACGGAAGTCTTGAGTGTTTATTTTTCAGATCCGAAAAGTTCCCTCTGCTAAGACTTACAAAAGTGACCAGCGGGAGGAAAATGACGATCTCTGTGTGGGAAATATTCAAGATGCACAGACAAAACTTGAAAGGTAACTCATACATCCTTCCATTAGTAGTCCAAAGCATCTTCGTTTGTTCTTTGTAAGAATTTATAATTGGAATCGGAACATAGGAGATCACCTATCAAGAGGTTTAAGTTTACTATGATTTGATTCATTGAACGCTTTTAAGATATTTGAGATCCCTAGATGGAAGTGACATGAAATACATCTTTTTCCTCCAGGGCATTGGAAACACTGCGAGAATTAAAGAAACAGCAAGACGGCAGAGAATCTAAGATTCAAGGAGCTGCTGTGGGCAGAAGGAGGAAATCGAAACGATGCTTTCAGTTTGAAAAAATTGACGGCGATGTTACAAATTACATGGTAATTCCTAGCAACATCATTAACCCATAGGAGTATTTTGAAATTTAATAAGGAGTAACGAAGTTAGTATGTAAAAACTTTCCAGTGTTTTTTAGGCTAGGAAAATAGTGTTAAACGTTATCAGCTCCAATCTCAGCTTAATTCCTATTAATTCCACAGCTGTCGAGAGTAAAAGTCAATATTTGTGCTAACATGTTTCTTTGTGGCTACACTTGGCAAAACATCCTTAATTTTTACAAATTTAACGTGAAGAAACCAACACAACAGCTGACAAATTCCAAGTAAAAAATAAAAATGTTCAGTTTGGAAGGTATTTTGAATTAACTCAGTCGATGCCCTGAGACAATGCCTGGTACTAATTCACAAAATGTGGCAGGTACAGTCAACATTTTGCTTTGTTTGCTTTTCGGTCATTATACAGACCTTAATTGGAGACATATTAACTGAAGTGGAGCAGGCAAATCAAGTCAAAAGATTTGGAAAATCAAGTTTACAAGAAGGAAAGATTCCCAGAAATAAAGAGGAGAAAACGAGACAAGAACTAGAGGCATTTAGCTCTCGTTGGAATGGACTCGGTGAGGAAGTTCTCAAGACAGCCAACAGGTAAGAGAACGTAAAGTCTATCTTATCTGAAACACAGCGGGGGCGGATCTAGGGGGAGGGTGCAGGGGGTGCGCACCCCTCCCCCTGAGATGACCTGCGGTTTTCTAATACAACTGGTATTCTGAAAAAAAAAAACTATGTGGTTTATTGGTGTTAAAGTAGAGCAAGAGACGAGTGCACCCCCTCCTAAAAAAAATCCTGGATCCGCCCCTGCACAGCACATGCTGTGTCCCTTGGAAGTCCATGTCCATTGGAAGTCTGTCTCCTTTATGTAGTATTATGATGAAAAAAAGAAAAAAAAATTAATAGACATTAAAATAAAGGAAAACGTAACCAAAAAGGAGAGCTCGAGGATATAAAATTGTGAAACGCAACTAAACGTAACTGGACCAAGATCATATATCTTGTCACCAAACATTTAAAGGCCAGGTTTACACAAGAGAGAATGAGCTCATCCTCTCTTGGTTTACACTTGAGAGATCTTTTTAGGATTTTGTAAATGTGTCCGGATATATTTAGGGTATTCGGATTTTGCAGGCGTTCAAACACATCCTTTAATCCCAGAGTATCCATCCATCGTTTAAATTACATCTTTTTGTCCTGATCAAGAGGGGGTTGTCCAGATACCAAGTATTGGTTTTTAGTTCCAAGATTTAACATCTCCAGATACGCGACCAAACCCCGATTCAAGCATTTACGTCGTGTAAATGGCAGAAAGCAAACGTTCCAAAACACCTTCCTCCTCCTCCTCTTCCTCGTCATCATCGTTATCATCATCATAATTATCATATCCTGTCTATCCTTTATTTTAACGCGATAAAACTCAAAGCTCAATGTTAGTGGAGTCGTGTAAAATAAGCTGCAATAGAACAACAATAGAAATGAGAACAAAATTAGTTACAATACACACTTACAGTAAATCTCTCGTGTGAACCTAGCCGCCTAACTTCTATCGATTCTGATACCCTGCTTTGAAAAACCATTTTTGTTTACAGCATTGAGACGTTTGTATCAGAGGTAGAAACGGAATACTCCAAGTTAAAGCTGTGGATAAGTAATTCGGAGATCGCAGATTCGTGGCTGATGGAATACGAACCCTATGCTGATAAACCGGAGAAGCTTGGAACGACCATTCGATTAGTGAGGACGCAGCTTCATGAGAATCAGGTAAGTACCGCAGCTTAGATATATGTTGTAGACAGATATTCATCGCATGCGCACGGTCATTAGACTAAATTACTCTGAAGTTTCCTATCAATACCATACTTTTAAGTTGAGGAGGGTCAAGAAACGCTTTAAGTGAAAGTATGGTTCGTTCGTTTTCAATCACCTGGTCCGCAGCTATTCATATTTCGTGGAAAAAAGGACAGCTTTTACATGTGGGAAAGAGCTCACGGCGGCCGATTCATTGTTTTAGTGCATCAACATGGCCAACGTGAAGTCATATCAAAAACAATCTGTAAGATAATTTACCTAAAATAGTTTCCATCTACAATAGTAACTGTGATTCTCTGAATTTACACCCGATCTAAATAGGGACATTATTTTTTTTGTCAGGGTCCACCTAACCCTTCCTCGCATTCCTGTAGACAAAATGCACCAACTCCAGGCTTTGGGTGGCATAATACAATGCTTTGTATGTAATTGTCCATCCAAGCCTCGGTCTCGCCTTATTGTGAGGGCTCACTCGAGCGGAATGCTGGGAAGGTTTTTCGATGGTATATTTTTCTTCAGAAGTTTAAGAGATCATGAGTCAAAAGATGATAGAACATCGTCGTCCTGTGAGCTGCACCACAAAAATTGGTTTTGATTTCTCATTTTAGACTGTCTTGGAAAACTTCAGAAAATCGAAACCCAGATTGCGTCATATGTACGACACAGCAGTTGAACTCATGAAGAGCGGTCTAGTGGACGAGGCAGATGTCGATGAATTAGAGCGCGTCATCAATGTTCTTGTAGCGAAATGGGAGTCGATTGACAACCGGTTGAATGCAAGTCGGGATCGGTAAGACCTTAGAAGTTTGTTTCAATTATCGTTTAGCTCACTGGTTTTGAATGTGCTTACTTAAAACATCAGAAGTAGAGCACATACCTGAAGTTTGATCCTTTCCAAGCCATTTTACAAGTAACAACATCTAATTCTGAGCGAGAAATGACTAACAACGCAAAAGGCTCAACTTTGCTGGACTGCAAGTGTTTTTTTCTGAAATGAAACTTTACCTTTTGTCTATATTAACAAACTATCCGCTTAATTATATCACCTGACAACTAATAATCGTGAAGAAAACTACTAATTAATTGCTCTTTTCGATGGAAAACGGTGATCTGGGTTGAGTTTGTTGTTGGTTCTTTTCCGTGCTCTGGGTGGTTTTTCTCCGGGTGCTCAGGTTTTCCCCTCTCCTTGAAAACCAGCATTTCCAAATTCCAATTCGATCAGGAACGCACGGACACGTTTCAGTGAGTGCCTTAGAATTCGTAAGTGCTCCGTGGGTAAACAAATCATAATTACAATTTTCTTTTTAGGATTTACGCTGAAATTGAAAAGCTAAGAAAGAGAAAGGCAAAGCAACGGCCCTCTATCGTTCGGAGATTTAGCTCTAGAAGAAATTTATCTTTTCGAAGAAACAGATCTCTTAGAAAGAAACGTGAGGGTGAACAGGATAAGGAGGTGGCGCCTAAGGTAATATACTTTAACACTGTTTTTCAGTTGCAGTTAAGGCAGGGATCTATTGCCTGAAGGAAGTTTAGAGCAGTCGATTTTGCACAATATGCTGGTGCAATGGTTTTTATTTAGGTTTACTCTACACAAAGTGACACCACGTCACGTGATATTTTCTGTTTTCCCGTGTGTTCTTTCTAGTGTAGTTCCTTTGTCGTAACACCACTGTGTGTGATCAGGTTAGGTTAAATTACATAGTAGTTAATAAATTCTGTTCCTCGAAAAATATATATTTATCAAGAGGATCAGAGTTTCTTAGGAGTACTAATGTTAAGCTTTGACTCAGCTGGATTTTGTCGAAAGATGAAAGAGCAGACACATAATTCGTTGGTAACTCGTGTGGCCTTCGTTAGTTTGAGAGAAAGTCGGAAATTCGGCCTTAGAAATATCAAGTGCATACTCGTTATTGCAGAGATAGACAGTAGTGTAGTTGTAGTATACTTTCAACGATCACACCATTACTCTAATTACTGTGTTTCCTGCAGGGTGCACAGTCTTATAAAGTGTACGTTGACGAGCAAGATAACTTACCCACGCCGGAAGTCGTTACCAGCACGAGCTCCATGAACGTAAATGCCTCAATGGATCCCGTGCACATTCTTATGATGAAAAACAGACAACCCGTGGAAGAAAAACTGAGGTATGTTAAAAGAAAACAGTCTAGATGTTACAACCAAAAAATAATTTTTTCTTCTTCCACGATCAACTCCTGGGAGAGGCGGGACATCACGCCAGAGAGATTATGGAGGAAAAGAAAACTTTAGGAGATGAATTGACTAGCTAGCCTGAAAAGGAAAAACACCCATTCTCACATATGGGACTATTTTAGGTAAATTACGTTACCATGTATGAAATTTGTGTCCTTTAATTTGGCTGTTTCACATTTTTCACGGTTTTCGAAACGTAGGCAGAATTTGTAATTTTCGGGTTTTGCTCCATCTCGGTGACAGTAGAAAAACTGGGTAAGAAATGACTATTTTTTCTGGAGTAAGAGTTCTTTGAAAGCTTTTTCAGTCCTTGTCAAGGACTGGAATTGTAACAGACTTAAATAATATAATTGAAGGCATTTTTGTGACCATTGACCAAATATCCTTTCAGGTTGCAGAATCAAAGGAAAGCTTTCCAAACCTTTACCCTAACTCTCGAGGCATGTGAAAAGACAATTCAGGATCTCCACTCGAAATCGCTGGAGAAATTCTCAAATATTGACTCAAACGCGGAAGAGATTCAAAAACAACTTGATGACATGTCGGTGAGTAGCTATTTGGCGTTTGTCCTTGCGGTTTTTCTATACAAGGTGGGTGATCAAAAGCTCTGAAACCCTAACTCTCCTGTTTCAGACCATAATATATGATTTTCCCAACTTTTGTTCAGTCCAAAATATGTGATTTTCCCTACTCTATTTCAAACTTGAACCAACATTTTCAACGCAACTGATCAAGCAACATGGCCATTTCCAGACCCTCTTTCCTTTGCAACAAACCTCAGCCTATTGAAGATATACGGAAAGCTGTACCCAATTGAAGACCAAAAGGACTTGAGCACAATACCCCGGCGTTGGGACTGCACATACACACAGTGTATGCAGCTCATTAAGCGAAAATTCCCTCCCCGGGTCTTTGACACACTAATGTTTTTCGCACCGGTCTCTGTTAATCCCAAAACGAAGAAAGCCAGGTTGTTTAAAAATGGAAATCTTTCATCTTAGCGGTACCTCAACATACAATCATATTATATCTGGAGAAATTAGAATTTACATGCCACTTTGGGCCTGGGAGGGTTTCGCAATTCTGCATGAGTAGTTTATTAGTGTAGGGATTTATCTTAATACAACTGCTATATTTTAACAGGGGCTTGAAACAGATTTAAAGAATTCAAAGACTAAATTTCAATCAGAAATAGAGCGATTCGAGAAAGCCAAGGGAGAAGGATTGTTTAGTGACAAAGACCAAGCAATTCTTGAACAGAGGGTGAAGAATCTGCAATCTTGCTGGGGAAAATTGTGGGAAGAACACATAGCGAACAAGAATCGGTAAGACATAAAAATCCATCGTGAGTGACAATGGAAATAAAAGCAAAACGGTAATAATGATGATGAACATGATGATGATAATGACGATGAAAATAATAAAAATAATACCAGTAATCATGATTATAAGTAGAATCGCTTACCTTATAATCGTACTCCGAGTAGGGTTCGAAAATTCTGCCTTTTACACTTAAATGTCAACTCCGTTACCTTTTTCACAACAAAAATTTCCCATTAATTGTAAAATCATTGTATAGTTAAGGCTCATTTTCGTTTGCTTTGACATCATTTTTGCTAAGATTATAGAAGAATGGAGATCACTGCTTTATAGCCATTCCCTGCCCTCCTGGCTACTTCGCCATATTTTATTTACTCAATATTATTCATCAACATGTGACTGATTAAACTCTGTAATGAAACTTCATCTAACAGGTTGGAAAAACAAAGGGATGCCTTCAAAACCTTTGACTTGTCTTTGAAGAAACAAGAAAATACAATTAACGATCTCGACACGGAAGCGCTCCAGAAATTTTCAGCTGCTGGTTCAAATAGACACGAACTTGAAGCGCAACTAGATGACATTATGGTAAGTAGTAAAAATACATGATTGGTAGTCGTTGACTAAATATTTCACCTAAGTTCATGAGGGTAACAATGACGGAATGATCTATTGAGAAAGTCTGGGGGTATGGGAGAGGTGGGAGCCTGCTGCCCTCTACAGGACTTTATAGTCTCCTAAATAAAGCCATCATTTTCCGAGTAATTCGAGTATTCTCGAAGAGTGATCTCCTTGAATAAATAGAAATGATACTGTTATTCCAATAATTTATGTTTCGCCACAACGAAACTTCCGTTGTATGAAAAAGCAACGTCATTAACAAGTATGTGGAAGGTACATTAGATTGATTTGTTGCCACATTTTGTAAAGGATGTCTAAAAGACATTGACGAGATAAGCCGTTAGATATGTTCTATTTTCTGTTTTATTTCTTCCAGCAATTTGAGTCTGATCTAAGGAAAAAGAGATTTGAGTTTCAATCCGAAGTGGACAAATTTGAAAAGGCTAAAACTGAAGGCCTGTTTAACGACACTCACAGAAAGATCCTTGAAAAGAGAGTGGAAAATTTGCAGAATCGATGGGACGAACTGTGGAAAGAACACATCTCCAATAAGATTCGGTAGGAAATTAGTTTAAACCTGCTTTAAGTATTTATTAATAACTTCAGACAGGTACAGGGGAGGGTGTGAACTTTCCCTTAGGGCGTTCAAGTTGACACAAGTTATTTAAAAATCTGGCCAACGGCAAATGCTAGAGACCCACTAGTTTCTCTATGGCTTTGCAAGCCGTTTGCGCGGTGCATTTATGCAAAATTCAAGCGTCAATAGGTCCCAGGTCTTAATTAAGTTAATTCCTTGAAAGGACTGTTAACACTGCTAACATTCCCAGAACCTGCGAGGATGTCATTTTGAAGTGAAGAAGTAAAATGTTTGTAGACTTGTAGTAAAAAGCAGTAATATTGTTTTGATAATAATAATTTGATGGAAAATCTAGAAATTTCAGCGTTCTTACATAGTTTAAAGAATAGCAAAAAGTTGATTATTTTGCGAGTTTCGAGAGAGTTCATTGGCACTTGATAACAAGCACAATTTTATTTGTGTTTATGATTCAGTAATGATTGTTGTGTTTCATCACAGTATCGTAAAGGCCACCTTGGAGCACGCCCACAACTCGATGAAGAATATTACTGAAGATTTTGATAAAATCGAGAAACAAATGAATACGCCTGAAGTCTATGACGATGATGACCGTCTTTCCTTGAAAGAAAATGTTCTAAAACAGAAGGTAAGAATATACCTTGGAATGCCAGCCGGATTTTGGTGATCGACAAGGGGGGGGGATGAAGATATTGAAACTCGAAGCTTGAAATTTTAGCAGCCCCCCTCGCTAGCGGTTCAATTTTTTAGGAGCCCCCTCCTTGATAGTCGAAAAAATTTCAGAGCCCCCCCCCTCCTCCTTCAATTCCTTTGATCCCCTGAATAAAGATCGCTAGACTGTAGTAAATATATTTACCGTTCTTGTGTTCAATGGTTTATACTATGACAAACTTGAGATACAGTTGTGACACAATTTTCTGTAGCATTTTTGGGATGAACAAGAGTGTAATAATTACTGAGACTACATTTGTTATATCTGTAAACCACGTGATATAGCTGAGTTGCACAGGTCATTAAATTGTTGAGTTGAAAACCATCCGATCTGTATGATGATGTCATGTGTTGGTTTTCAAGTATACAAATTTTCGGAGCCCCCCCTCCTAGCGCAACATTTTTTTCAGAGCCCCCCCCTTCGGGTGTCTAAAAATTTTCGGAGCCCCCCCTCAATATCTTCATCCCCCCCCCCTTGTCATATTAAATGAACTTTCCCTAACCTATCTTTTTGTCCTTTTGCGAGGCTAAAGGAGCGGACACTTTTGATACTAAAGAGACGCTTTCCATTGAACCCAAAATTCCGGAAATTTGGTCAGAAATCAAATGGAATTAACCATTTCGATTCGGTCCCACGGGAATATTTGACCGGTGCGGTCATTTCGGTTGGTCGGTCGGACCGAAATGTCCCTTTCCACTTAACGAAATGGTTGTCTTTAGTACCGCTCTTCGTTTATCTCGCGTACAAGCACAATGACCAAACGCGCGGTGGCTTGGGTCAACAACTGGAATGTACCGTTCCATTCCCAAATGTTTTTAAGTGGAAAGTGTCCAAGTTCTCTTGTTATGTCCATTTAAGTTGGAACATTCTTGAAGGTAGTCTTTTAGCGACTTACCTGCTGAACATTTACTCCTTTGAGTGAACTGTTAAATCCTTCTCTTTGCAATAACAAGTACTAGTTTCAATAATTACAATGTGCATTTACTGAAGCGCCCAAAAACGTAGACATAATGGTACTAACCCAAAGCCTTTGTCCGTCAGAGACTCATGGAGGATTTGGACCAGTACGATGACCCCATACACAAAGTGAGTCACATAGCAGACAAACTGTTGGAAAGAAATTTGGTCGACGATCAGACGTGTGCTTTCATCAAAAGGAAAACAGTTGCTCTCATTGAAAGACAACAACAGCTGAAAAACAGTTGCAAGGAAAGTGGAGACAGGTTAGCTATTCCATGAAGCAATACGACAGCGTAAACCGATTGATGAATACATGTAAACTGGTTGATATATGCATCGCGATAATTGGCGTTTTGTTCTCGTGACAACTTTACACTCATGAAATCGTTGGCTTAAACTGTTTGCTGTACCAAAATGACCTCTTTTTCTTCAATGTTCCGACGCTTTCACCTCGTATTCATGCTTACATATTTAAAGCAATAGCTCATGTATTAGCAGCAGTAGAAGTGATTTTATTAAGCGAGGGTAGCATAATCTATGATAATATCAACAACTGATTACCTACTGGCCCTCGAAAAATATATCAACCGGGAATTTTTCCTGTTTCGCGTCTGATCATTTTCAACAATAGATTTCTCAAAAAAATCTTTGTTTCAATGACTGTTCATTCGATTTTGGGCAATCTAATTGTGTTTACGACGTAGCTGTTACTAGTGACATAAATCGTAGGAGAATGGAACGCCCCGTTTTCATGCTCGTCACTTTTTACCTTTGAAGGTTTGAAATGGAGCTTGAGCTACATAATCAACAAAGTAGTGGGTCACCATCAGAGGTGGAAGAAGAAACTGTCAAGATTAGTGATGATTACGCTATGCTCTCTCAGTCTCTTGACGATATTCTTGCTGATGAAGGATTTGCGGAAATGGATTCGTCCAAGGTACTTGCAGCTTTAAAATTCGTGCTTTGAAACCTTTTCTTTTTCATGTTTGGCAGAATGGGTCATAATAAATGCGTGAAAATATTGCTTTCATAAACCTTATCGTAACCGATGCTCATACCATTGTTTTTTCTTCAGCGGAACATCAATGTCCCTTCAGCCTGGGGCCTTCAGATGACATAATATCAAATGTAGCGTGATAAAAATTTCAGGGCGATATTCATGCTTAATGTATTATAAGGTTTCAAATAATGAGATTCCAACAAAAGTAGATCAGGACAGTTTCTATTATAGAACTTGGAAGAAGCAAGTAAATCATTGATAGCAGCTTTTTGATACGGCTATAGGGCTGTATCAGACGGCTGTATATGCTCTTCATGGATTAAAATAACATTACTACTGACTCAGCTTAACTAGACCTGAATTCAAGGACTGATGCTCCTTTTGTGATACTCAGTTATAGCCAAGTACAATAAATCCATATTCTCATATCATAGACTTTGTTTGACTGTGTGACTAGTGTCAGAGAGTCATTTCAGAAAGTTAAAGATACTATTCCAAAAAACAACAACAACAACTATTTTATTCCACAAAGGTACATACAGTAATTACACACTCAGTTAATTAATCACAGGTATAAGAAATCGGAAAAAACTTTCCCACTGCTAATAGCATTAAAGGCTAATCGAGGCGGGGGAAAGATGAAGACAAACTTAAGGTAATAAAACAGATCCAAAAAAAAAAAAATAAATGAATAAACAAAATAAAAATAGTTATTTTGCTTTCCAAGGCTAAGATAAATTGCTAAAGTAATTGAGCAATTGAGAGACTTCAATGTAGTCATTCACAAGCTCTAAAGTTTCAAGAAGTATTTGTTCAGTTTTGATTCGGAGCCGGGATGTCAACGAAAGAGCTTGTCAATACGTATTTTTTCTAAACATTATTTGATTATCAGTGATTTTTTCTATTTTCTCTAAGTCGTTCCTGGATGTGAAGACGACCAATTTTGATAGAGAGGTGCAGTTAATGAACAAGTGGATGACTGACTCTCAAAAGTTAGTGAATTCATTGCACGTGGAAATGGATCCGAAGGAAGTGACAGGGACAGTGCAGCAAATTAAGGTTGGATTGCTTTGCACATCAATTCAAAATAACGTTTTAGACGTTGGAAACCGTTTGGATTCTTTATGTAAGGTCAGATAAATTTGTACACAGTTATACTTATCACTTGAGACGTTGTTGCAAGGGAGCTCCTTTGGCTGGGTGCCAGATTTCGTAGCGGTAGGTCTGGGTTCGATTTCCGATCTATCAACTCCTTTGGGGTCTCATAAAAAATTAAGTGAGTAGAATGTGATGTCTTTGTTTTGACATGGGAAAATGTTCCTTTAGCCATCCAGTGGTCTTCTCGAATAAGGACAAAAGTAGTATGTCTCGTCCCACAACTCTTTTCTGATGTGACGCTTGTGTTAGATAAAGGAACCACTACAGACGCAACAGTCTGTTGCAGTGACTACCCTTAGGGCTAGTGTCTATCTCTCCTGGGTTGTGGGATTGGGAAGGGAGGTGTGCATCACTGTTGGGCAGGTCTGCACTCCCTAAGACTGATAAGAGTTACATATAGAATGCAGTGACTTAAAATGAATCATACCCTTGACTCTATGATGTCACTGCTATTTAAGTTATCGAGTCGTCAAGTCTTTGGCCTGTTGCACTGGTATAAGGTATAAACCACAATTTCAGTATAAAGGTAAATGCAACGCTTCGGTCTGGGTGGAACTTTCACTTGATAAGACAATGCCGTCCTCTGGTCTCTGACATTTTCTGACCGGTCGTTCTTACATGAAGACAACAGCCTTTTGTTCTCCTGGAAGATAAACGTAACGGTTGCAAAGTTTGCCACCATTAAAGCTGTTGACGTTGCTGAAGTGCCAGACAGGCGCTGGCGGAATAGAGAGGAATCATCAAGATAGTATTAAGACAAAAATTTGTATTTTCTTTAGGCTCTTTATGAAGAGATAGAGAAGAAAGAAGCTAAGATGAAAGCAATCAATAAACTTGGTCAGGAAATAACGAAAGAGTCGTTAAACATAACCACTACGGAAACAGTTGAAAAGAAACTGGAAGCACTGAACATAAGGTGGCAAGAGACCAGGGAGATGTTGAAGGACTTCTGCAAAAAGGACGATGAAGACGCTGCAGAATATCAGGGCTGTTGTTGTTCACGAGTAATCACTAGAATGTTTCATGCTTGTTTTTATAGTTAATAAGTGCAGCTTATCTCAAGCAGTATACGTATGAAATCATTATTTTTCGGATGGCCAACAGTTGTGGAAAAGAAACTGGTCATGATTCCAATGGCCACGGACGTTTTCAAAGTGTGATTGAACTTGCGCCCAGGATCGTGTTTTTAACAGATCTGACATTCAACAATTCCATCATTCTCGGAGAAAAAAATAATCCCGTTATTTACCCTCGGCAGTGTTTATAGCACCAATGCTAGTGGGGCCGAGCAAACTCCTGAAACAAATAATTTTAATCAAACATAACAGAGTTAAGAATCCCAACCGGTTAGAGGCAAACCAGTTGGCTATCTACAAGCATGGTCGAGGATTTGAACTCGGGACTACCGTGAAAAAATTCAGCTAGCGGTCAGCGGGACTTCAAATCGGGGCCTCTGCATTGCAAGTCCAGCGCTCTAACCACTCGGCCACGCTTCCTCCAGACAAAGCGAGCTGGATCCTTTTGAACATCTCCCGAATCGTTATATGAATTTGGATATTGTTAGATAAGGTTTAAATGGGGTACGTTTGGGCCCGTTCGAAGCGACCGTAACACCTTGCAACAAATTTAGCCTGCACTGGAATAACATGACAGATCCCTTCAAACGAGGACATGCAGAAAAGGAGGACTTAATGTACCTCTGCCGAACCTTTGTGCCTTTATAAATGCGATTACCAAATTCTCCGTGCTACATACGTTTTAATAACCAAAGGTTTAGTTATACAAAAACAAGTAAAAAACAACGCGGGCAAGAAATGGCGACGTTTCGGTGTCATCTTGACGCCATTTTCAAGTTCAAAATGCTTGCTGATAAACTTCTTTGACGGTTTATCAGCAAGCATTTTGACCTTGAAAATGGTGTCAAGATGACACCGAAACGTCGTTCTTTCTTTCACGAGTTGTTTTTTACTTGTTTTTTTTTTGGCATAGGTTTTGTCTTGTAAAAAGATTATGTTATAGACATGTGTGAATCATTTTTATACTCTCTATTCTAAGTGAATAGCTACTTTTAACCCTTGGACTCCCAAGATCTGATTAGTAACTCTCCTTTTTGGCGGCTATACATTTTATTGTACATTGGTCAAATAATTTGGGTTTATATCAAAAGTGCATCCTCTAGCTGATACATTTGCCTATTCTTATCACCTTCCTCCTGGACAATGTAATGATATAAAGGAGAAGTTAGATGCTAATCACTTCTGGGAGTTAAAGGGTTAAAAGGTCATGTGTGTAATTTTCTTCGTCCAAAAATTGTACTGAATCGTGCAGATTTGTTTTAGAATGAGGGATGTCTGATACATCCAATAATTTACTTTTCTAGATGTCCGTTTGAAATTAAACCTAAGATAGAATCGACAACCCAAAATAAGGAAAAATAAATGGTAAATGTGAAAAGGCGTAAATGTTATAACTTTGTACTAGCACTATATTTACGATTGCGAATATTGACGATATATGAACATTTGTTTCGCATCTGCAGAGTGTTATAAAGAGCGTTTTCATTCACGTAGCCAGCATCTATGCCTATTTGTTGAAACAAAAGAAAGAAAAGAGTTCAAGTCTCAGAGGATTTGCTTGGTACTCCAGCATGGTCGCCGTCGCGTAAAGTGAAACGCTGCTCTCTATAGCAAACAAAATGCTCCAAAGCATCATCCTAAAATTAAAATGGGAAGGAGTAATTTAAAACACCCTCAAGCAATGGTCATGAGAGACTCTTTGGAGGTTACACTCATGCACACATTTCAAATATAACTTTGGTTGTTCACCTCGCGATCGTTTCCAAAACCTATGGCGAGAATAGCTCGCCCCTTGCTGACATTGTATAACAGAATCACCAAGCTGAATGGTTTTCAATAAGGAATCATCAGTTTTGACAACAAATCGAGTTTGTCATGCCAGACATTTACCGGATTAGACGCGTGCAGTTAAAGAAGGGCGAGGACGAGAAACCTCTTTGCTGGAGGCAGATGTTCTTCTGTTTCATTGGCAGATATCTACATGCAGGCTGAATAAATTGCTTTCCAAAATTTAATATCACTGATAAAGCCGAAAGTACTACCGTTGAAATAAGAATCATTAAAAACGCTGCCAGTTTCCGACCTATCACAATGAAAAAGACAGTCGCAATTACCACATCCTCATTAAAACACGGAGACTATCTAATAAAACCATAAACGAATATAATGTAAGAACTCAGCTGCACAAGAGTAAAATTAAAGCTACAGTCCTCCTTCAGGTATGAAACCAACATGACTTCGTTTCTTAGTTTTCACACAGGAGAAATTACTGCATAAAACCAATGGGGCTCACCAATAGGCTGTTGTGCGAAACGAGACCTCCAGTTCATCAAAATACAATCAAATAAGCTAGTTTTGTTAACAAGCCAAGTTTATTTTAATTAAAAAATATTTATTTCCACTTGTATTTTTTCCCATGTTTAGATCACATTTACAAACACTGGCAGATTAGAAGCGAATTGGGCGAAGTTCCTGCTTAAAAAAAAAACACTGCCCGAGAGCAGATATATCCCTGGAAAGTAACAGGCTTCTTTCTAAGATCATTTAGGCTTTTTTTGTCAACGAAAAAAAAAAGAATAGTGAATAAAAAAGAAACTCAAATTAAACAACCTCTACGCAAGGAGGCGGGCAAATTTTAAATGGAAATTAGCAAAACGTTTAGCTTAAGATAATGACCGTTACTTGGTAATATTTTGTCTGAAAGGTATAAATTTGCTTCAAATATCAATACGTAGGGATATATGCAAGGGTCGATAAGTTGAAATTCCCCTTTATTGCTCGAGAAACAGTGAAAAAAATGAATTTTTCTTCAAATTTCGGCTATATGAGTTCATACGATATCAGCTATTTTTACTGTGACGATAAAGAGATATCGTCCACAGCCAAAATCGGTCTCTTGGTCTTCTACCTCTTCATCATGTTTATTGGTTTGGTTGGAAACTTGCTGATAATTCTTATCGTGTTTACTCACAAAGAACTGAGAAAAACGACCAATTGGTTCATTGTAAACATAGCGGTTTCCGACTTTATGTTCTCATCAATATCCACTCCAGTCGGCTTAGCGGAGATGGCGGAGAGCTCCTGGCCCGACAATGACACTACAGGTTTGGTGCTGTGCAAGCTGCAAGGATTTTGCACAAGCGTCTCCCTTTCTGTCTCCGTACAGAGCATTTTTTGGATCGCCATTGATCGTTTTGTGGCTGTGGTATATCCAATGAAAGCCCATTTCATCTCGTCTAAATCTCGCAGCATTAGTATCGCTTCCACTTGGCTCGTGGCGATGGGAGTGAATTCAGTAGAGTTGTATTCTTATCAAGTTCTTGAAGTACAAAGCAAATTCATATGCACTAGTGGCTTGGATGATTCATTTGAAACTGACCGAATATATATGATTTATTCACTGTTATATACTTTCGTATTCCAGATTACACCATTCATCGCACTGACAGTTATATACAGTGTTATAGCTTTGACTCTAAGGAAACAAGACAAACGCCTTCACAGCGATGGGAAGAAGGGAACTAGGCCGAACGTGCGTCTAAGAAGACAGCAAGCAATCAAGATGTCCTTTTTTACTATGGCTGCGTTTTACACCTGCTCTCTTCCATTGCTTGTTTCGGCGATCATTTGGGAATTTCAAATTTCAGTATCTTGCTCATTTGAAACGACATTTTGGCAAATCTCTATGGTCATGGTTTGCTTATCCTCCGTGGCGAACCCTTTAATTTGCTTAACCTTTGTTGGACGCTATCGCGAAGGCTTGAAAAACATTTTAAGGGTACCTTGGAGGAGGCAGTTGAGAGCAAACAACATGGAAAGCAGCGTCGGCGGAGGAATAACTCTTCATCAGATAAGAAATACGTTCGGCGAGAAAGACAATTTGGCATTTCGTTAAGAAGAAAGAACCATAAAACTGAAACTCAACGAGTAGTTGCTTTTGACTCTTAGGATGATCTTAAAAAGTTTCAGGATGAACACCCACGAACCTGCTAATCAGCTTGACCACACCACATGGGTAAGAACTGAACCCAGGTAGTATAAAATGGCCTTTTACTTAGCTACGCGTAAAATTAATTGATTGTTTAAGCTTTATTCAGTAATTTACTCTAAGTTTCGTAGTGATTACAAGGTCAGACAATACTCTACGCGAGCTGCCATTTTATAATCTGAATCAAGATTTTATCAGAGCTACTGGAGCATGGGCTCATTTCTTCCCAAATACGTTATATAATTCCAAAGATCTGTTACACGACATAATAGACAGGAGAATTATGTCGTCACGTTACCATGGTAGTAAAATTTCTGGATCACAACAACAACGACGACGATAGGCTGCGTAGCAAGCGTTTCCTCGCGAGGTTCGTAGAAAACTGGGACAAGAACATGCCTTGAAAAAAATTTGTATTCTTAGCTTCTTTACTGCATAGAAGCTATTTGACAAAATTTGCGAAACCACCGTCAAAAAAAAAAAAAAAAAGAGAACGGTTCAAACGCAATAGGTATATATTAGCAAAACAAAAACTTTGCACGTGCATCACGCTTTTTTGTACTTTCTTCGCCGTCGTTGCAAGATTCCTAATTTCACACACCAATTTATGGAGTAGGTGAACACAAAAATTTCCCTTTCCTTTTTCCAAACATCGACATGGCCTTTTGGATTCAACCACCCAAATTTTGCCAACAATTCCACAAATTAAATGAAATTTAATATGATGGATAAAGTTTGAAACAGTGCCAATTTCCTTTTTTTACGTAACGTTTTCGGTTTGTCGTCATCCAATAATTATCCTACCATGGCAACGCGACGTAACGACTTCTCTCTATTGCAAAAAAAATTCGGACTCACAGAGCTTTTCTCATGAGATTTTTTCAGAGTCAAAGTTCATCAGCATTAAACAATCAGGGTCTTTCTTCCAACACTCCAAAAACAAAAACGGATTTTCCATACTCCACAGTAATATGCGTAGAAAAATGTATTATGGGCTCCTGATTATTTCTAGAGCATATCATCACCGCCGTTAAAGAACCTCCCAAAATTATTGCTATCTCTAAAACAAAGCTATGCATTCATAAATATTATCTGCGCTAATGCACATCCACATGATAATAAAATAAAAATAATTTCATGGTACAATTTAGTCTTAATAGTTAGAACTTAAAAACAACTTGGAAGCTACAATGTAATAGGTATGCTCATAAACAGGAAAAAGAGTGGCACCACGCCAGCCATGACCAAATTGATCTATAATGGTGCTTCCTATACAGATAACAAGGAAATTACCCGTCAAATAAATCCGGGAATAAATATCCATTTCATAAATGTTGGTAGTAATCATTCTGAAAACCTCCCGCTGAGCGATATAAATCCCACTAAGTACCTCGATCAGTCTTTTTCAAACATATTTGTACGGTGCATGAAGTGCAGGAAACAATAATTGGACTAAGGCCCTGTCCACATGCACGTTTCCGTTTTCATTTGAAAACGCAACTTTTTCTTTACGGATACGACTTCCGTCCACACGTATCCGATGAAAACGATCAATGAAAACGGAATTTTTCCCGAAAATGCTCTACAGAGAGGGACTTTTTGAAAACGCTGTTTATCGCGTGTACGTGTGGACAGACGAAAACGGAACTTTTCGTAAACGCTGAGGACACATAATCAGTTCCAATTCACTCCGCGCAATATTATAAACTTATTCAAGATGCCGGACGGGCGTTTCCCTTTCTTGTCTCTTATACTTGGGGTTATTTCTAACCTAATTGCTTGTTTTCAAGCAAATTTAGCTTTGTTAATTCTTCAAGCTGATTATTCCAGGAGGCGACAGAACATTATCACGTTACTTTCGCTACCGGTGTCAAGAGAGGGAAGGTTGGATCTCTCTTAAGTTTGACTTCGTTTTTGCCAAGCATGCGCAGTCGGGTAAGTTATTGTTTTCAAATCGATTCATCGTGTACGTGTGGACGGGCGAAAACGCTACGAGTGGGCGCTAATGTTTTTGAAAACGGAGAAAGAAAGTTGCGTTTTCAAACGAATACGGATACGTGTGGACAGGGCCTCTTTCATAGGGGTTCCCTCAAGATGTATTAAACTAGCATGTCCTTTTATAAGTGAGGCACTTACCACAATCTATAATCCGTCCTTACAACAAGCAACCGTCCCCAATATACTTAATATCAAAGATAACCCCAATCCACAAGGGGGGCTACGCAACCGACCCTGCGAATTTCTCTATCAGTTCTTTCTGAAGTATTTGAAAAATTGGTATTCAAGTAACTTGGTAACTACATAGAAAAACATATTCTTTTCCAATACCAGTTGGGATTTCGTAAAGGTAACTCAACAACTTAGGACCACGGCTTAGGACATAACTGAACTCACTGACACTCTAAGGAAGGCATTGATAGCAGGTGTTTTTCTGGATTTCTCGAAAGCATTCGATACTGTAAATCACGAAAGTTCAATCCAAAAGCTAGCACCATACGGTTTTAGAGGTCTTCCTTTGAAATGGTTCAGTAGCTACCTAACAAACGGGTAAAAGTACACTGAACTAGGAGACACAGAATCGCTTATACAAACAATGGGCTGTGGAATTCCCAAGGGTAACACACTTGGGGTGCTTACCATTTGACAGAAAAATCCGGTTGGGGTATCGAAAGTATAATGGTAAGCGATTTACCAGTTTACCGTAGAATTGCCACATCCGTTACGGTTTGAATCCAAAAAAAGGGCGAATTTTGTGGCGTGAGTCTGGAACCGAGAAGGAAGCGAGAAATTGGTTAGTGGCAAGCAACATTCCGTTTGGTTCGTACCAACAGGAAAGAAAGGACTACCTCAAAACTACTCCTCAATTTTCGGTTGGAATTTTCGAAAAGTGACCTTACCATTTACCTTCCACCCGGAATTTCCGAAATTTTCTGTTAAATGAGCACCCTAGGACTACTACTGTTTACCCCACTGCTCCAATACGTTAAGCTCAAGCTTCAAAATTTTTCCTGATGATACCAACGTATTCGCCTCGACGAATAACCTGCCCTTGAAGCTCTTGTGAACTCCAAACATGAAAAGGTGAAAGAATGTTGTAACGTAAATAAATTGTCTACTAAAAAAGGATATGCCAGCGAATGTTCAGATTAAAAATAGGGACGGAACTTGCTACTTTCTGGTTTGCAGGGACCATATTAAATTTTTACGGGTAATGATTGTAGCCTGCGTAGCAGGCGCTTGCAAGAAAGAACGGACGCGCGAGAGGGAGACAGGCTTGTCTGTCTCTCTTTCACACTTAAGATTGGGCTTTCCAGTCAGTAGGAAACAAGGAGCGCAATATAAAAATTACAAGGTGTTTACTCATACAACTTTTCATACTACCAGATAAGAAATTAATCAACCTCCTCATGTTTGAAGACCCAAAATTATTATACTGAACGGCAACAAAAACAACAACTTGGTGTGGCTCAAAAGGGGGAAGTGGGAGACAAAGTGCTCCACTGAAACTTAAAAGGTCAGCCCCATGTATTCCTGGATTTTGTGAGCTAAAGAAAACCTACCACCAGGGTGGTACACACACTGGTATGGAGGAGGGAGTTGAGCCTCCTCCCAGGGCCGACTGTGACCGTTCCTGGGTAAATATGGAAGATGCACAGACCGATATAGGGAAGGGAGTTGGGCCTCCCCTCAGGGTCCGCTGTGACCAATCGTAGGCCTCCCTAGGGCCCCCACTAAGCTATACGTACATTCCAGGAGTACAAAATGTCGAGGCTATGGGGGCAACAGTGTGACGAGAGGAGCACTTCATCCCCACAAATGCAAAACATAAGAAATTAATAAAATTACAGTTTTAAAATCCTGTCTTGTTGTCGATTTTAGAGAGGTTTGAAGCTTCTTCTCCGACTGTGATTGGCTAAACGTTCTTATGAATTAACAATGCGATGTCAAAAACACAACCTTACAAGTCTGATTACGACACGGGTGGCTAACAGCTTCTTACAGGTCATTCACAGCTTGATGACTCAATACAGCTATGATGTGACAGGGAATTATCTTAACTATCACTATTTAAATACTTTTCACGGAGTTGGAAAAAAACAATTTCCATTGCTTGCATTTTTATTGTTTAACAATTTGCGCTATAGAAATGAGTAAATTATTCAACTATTATTAGTGTTATCTTTAACAATTGTTGGCTTTTTTACTTGGAACACAAAGTCGGTAGATTGCTCCTGCAAAGAAAAAAATACCACAACAATTTTCCAAATTGATACAAACTGAACACTTACAAACAACAAGAGACATAAAAAAGTGAAATTCAAGTGAAAGTTACTTAAACGTTGGTCTTTCCATGGTAAATTGTACCGGAAGTAAATAAGATCTTGTGGCTACTTGAGCTAAACTTGAGCTATAACTACGAAGTGCGCAAGAGTGCGCAGGCCTTATTGGTTCCGGCCCACCCAGGCCAATACCAAGAGTCTCTTCCGGTAACCCAATCCTTCCACCATGCTTGGGAACAGTCAACTGGTTTGCTCCTATAAGATGGGCTTTTTTAAATCTTAGTTTCCAAAATTTGCTCAGTTTTACTATTTTTGCTTTGTGCCAAAGGCAAATAACTAAATGCTGAATTGTGACAGTGTGATTCGCAATAAATAAGGTTATCAGAGTTGGTTTCCTTTCCGGTTGATTGGAGCGAACAAGGAGCCACGATGGTCGTTAAGTTTCTGTTTTAAGAAAATTTGGGAGATAATTGCCTTCTGAATGGACGTAGCTCTATTTTCCACGTTTAGTTTCACAGCCGCACCCAATCGCAACAACATTGGTAGTTACATGGAAAGTGTTCCTCATGAACCAAAATATTCAACTGTAGTTTTAGGGAAAGTTTGGGGAAAATGATAAACAATAACAGACACATCACGAAAATCTAGTTCACCTGTAAAGAGTACACTTCACTGCGGCAGAATCTCAGCAAAGACTTCCATTTTCAAGATCAAAATTTCCAAGATCTGAGGTAAGATATCAAACATAAAATTATTCTAAATATTTCCAAAATAGTATGTACTTAGTAAACCAGTTAAGTCACAAATTTTACGTTTTTTGCAAAGCAACGAAAAAATTTTCTCCTCCTTTTCTATAGACCAAGACGTTATTCGTTTCATGCAAAATAGATGGTTCGCAACTATGACGTAAAAAACCTCTTTAATTGACCTCCGCGCCACACGCAATTTCTTCTAATAATCTCCACAATACTCGATCAGTTATAAAGTTACCAGTGCCTTTATTGGATCTTGATAATACAATGAAGAAATTAAAGCAGTTTGCATAAACAAAGCTGTCTACGTTATGGAGTAGCTCGCAGGCTTGTAGAAATGATTATGTTCAACAAAAGTTAAAACAGCATACAGCCTTTCCTAACGGCAAAGAGCGAGGACAGACTGGTGTATTTGCAAGCTAGAACGTTCTTAGATGTTCTCATAAGATTACCTAACAGTTGATAGCGGTTATCGTTGCTGATCATACTCCATTGGTTTACTACGTACTCTCCATTGGGTTGCTAAGTAAGAAAATGGAAAAACAGTTTGTTCTTTGTTATTAAACATTACGTGAAGCGTGCGGACACATTACCCTGAGTACTAGAGTACTTCATGATGGAAAAACTTAGCGACAAATCCCCAACAACGAGGCATTGAGGGAAAAGACCATCCAAAATGGGGGCTTTTTTAATACCGCCGACACATCAGAACAGTCCTCTGAGTTGAAGTAAGGGTAAACATACATACATACATACTTTATTTAAGGTATCATAAGAAATAAAATACAAATTATACCCTAAAAAGGAAGTTTAAGAGGTTGACCCTATGAAAATAAACTTCCAAAAATAAAAATTAAAAATATATGCTTATGACTAAAATCCAAGATCTAAGATGGATAAAAACCTAAGAAATACGCATGTACGATTTAAGAGCTATTTTAAAACGTCTTAAATTTCCTATCTCAACAACATTGGCGGGCAGGTCATTCCATTCACGAATAATTTTAACAAAGAAAGAGTAAATGTTAGTTGGATGACAGCGTTTTAGCCTGCTATAAAATAACTCCTGACCAAAATCGCTCAAAAACATATTTTAGCTTGTATGTTTTATATTCTCAATGAAGGTCTCAAGGGATTTTGCCCCTTATGTGTACAGACAAACGTGAATAAAATGGATTGAAACAAACATCGCTCTGGATGATTATCATATGACCTATGTAATATAAAAGATCCGCCACAAAGGCTTAAAATGCACACGGTTTATTCTGGCAGCCTAACACTCATTGACGACACTCAGTTAAGTATAGAATTAATTTTTAAATTAAATTAAAAGTTCGAACATACTTGATAAGTCTGAGGAAACGGCTTGATGACAGCCACTTTTTTAGCATCGCATTCACCAAAGGTACTGGCACTAACAGTAGCATTGGTACCACCACCACCCCTGATATCACTGGACACACCTCGATCACCAACATAACCATTAACAGTTGTAGCACCAAGACCATCATCATTTGTATCAGCAATAGAATTACAAAGATGATCATCAATGAAACCACTATCATTAGCATAATCACAATCATCAGATATTCCATCAGTGAGCACTTCATGTGTACCATCAGTCCCCTTACAAATACTATCAATGGCACTACCACCAACACTGTTATCATTACCAGGGACACAACTAGCAGCACCCCCAACATCACAACTACCACTTTCAGTGGCATCAGCGGCAAAGACAGCATTGGTACTGTCACAACCAGTGTCAATGGTATCATCAATAGGACCATCTGTCATTACACCAGCATAAACGACACCAGTTCCACTACTACCACTTTCAGTGGCATCAGCAGCAAACACAGCATTGGCACTGTCACAACCAGTGTCAACGGTATCATCAATAGGACCATCTGTCATTACACCAGCATCAACGACACCAGTTCCACTACTACCACTTTCAGTGGCATCAGCAGCAAACACAGCATTGGCACTGTCACAACCAGTGTCAACGGTATCATCAATAGGACCATCTGTCATTACACCAGCATCAACGACACCAGTTCCACTACTACCACTTTCAGTGGCATCAGCGGCAAAGACAGCATTGGTACTGTCACAACCAGTGTCAACGGTATCATCAATAGGACCATCTGTCATTACACCAGCATCAACAACACCAGTTCCACTACTACCACTTTCAGTGGCATCAGCGGCAAAGACAGCATTGGTACTGTCACAACCAGTGTCAACGGTATCATCAATAGGACCATCTGTTGTTACACCAGCGTCAACGACACCAGTTCCACTACTACTACTTTCAGTGGTATCAGCAGCAAAGACAGCATTGGTACTGTCACAACCAGTGTCAACGGTATCATCAATAGGACCAACTGTCATTATACCACTTTCAGTGGCATCAGCGGCAAAGACAGCATTGGTACTGTCACAACCAGTGTCAACGGTATCATCAATAGGACCATCTGTCATTACACCAGTGTCAATGACACCAGTTCCACTACTACCACTTTCAGTGGCATCAGCAAAGACAGCATTGGTACTGTCACAACCAGTGTCAACGGTATCATCAATAGGACCATCTGTCATTATACCACTTTCAGTGGCATCAGCGGCAAAGACGGCATTGGTACTGTCACAACCAGTGTCAACGGTATCATCAATAGGACCATCTGTCATTACACCAGTGTCAACGACACCAGTTCCACTACTACCACTTTCAGTGGCATTAGCGGTAAAGACAGCATTGGTACTGTCACAACCAGTGTCAATGGTATCATCACTATGACCATCTGTCATTACAGCAGCGTCAACGACACCAGTTCCACTACTACCACTTTCAGTGGCATCAGCGGCAAAGACAGCATTGGTACTGTCACAACCAGTGTCAATGGTATCATCACTATGACCATCTGTCATTACAGCAGCGTCAACGACACTAGTTCCACTACTACCACTTTCAGTGGCATCAGCGGCAAAGACAGCATTGGTACTGTCACAACCAGTGTCAATGGTATCATCACTATGACCATCTGTCATTACAGCAGCGTCAACGACACCAGTTCCACTACTACCACTTTCAGTGGCATCAGTGACAAAGACAGCATTGGTACTGTCACAACCAGTGTCAACGGTATCATCACTAACTGTAACTGGATAATCCTTCCCCAGGCTTCTTGGCCTACATCGATTGGGTACCAAACCATGACGTTGTACTTCATCTACCAACCTTAAAGTCTGAAAAGAAAGAATTCAATTGATTTGATGCATTAATGAAAGAAAACTACATGTATATCCCAGTAATAAACTAATCTAAAAAACATCTTACAATTTGCCTGAGATGTGAAAATTTGCATTCGTCACCAAATTGATTTATTTTAAACGTCTTTAAGGTCCTCCAACCCATGCCCCATATAGTGTACATGTGGCTACTGTTAAGCCCCATTTGACAGATGAATTTGCCTGGTTTTTTTATGTACCTACATGTAAGTTAAGTTAGTCAAATGGAAAAAGGGAATGACTGTCATCCATACTGTCAGTGATTTTGCTTTGAATAATTAATTGATAATTATATATAATTATATTATATTATAATTATTTTTTCCATATGCAGTATAACTTGTCCTTCTTAAACAATGCACTTTAATTATTTCTGGATTAACGGTACAAGAAGATGAATAAAGTCTTTCTTAAGAATAATTGCACAAACTACTAAGCTTGCTTCTCCAAATCCACAAAAAGCAAGAAAAAATGATTATTACTTCTAGGTTACAACAAATACATTTATTGTGAAAAAAACAAGGTGACAAAATTTTACTTGGAATCATTTGACCAAGCTAATTTGCATAACTGACATAGGTCGTGTATTCAATAACACCAAAAGTTCAAAGTCTCAAAGTACTTTTTTTTAGTTCAAAATACTTTTATATTTCTCTACTTCCCAGCATCTCTTAAGTTGATTTAAATAACAAATCAAAGCATGGGGTTCTCCATTTACGAAATATTTGCCAGCAAAGATAGGGGACTTAGCTGCGCTTTTTAAATGACCTCTTATACAGATTAAGTACAAGTGAAATTAATTTTAATAGACACAGTTCAACAAAAATCAAAATTCACACGCTCTTCACACTGTTAATAAACAGTTCATAATCATTTTTTTCTCCCTTTTTGTGAATTTAGAGATTAGCAAGCTTAGTATTAAATTTGTGCAATTTTTGGCTTTCACCAGACGCAAATTTGGGGCAATCAACAGTTTGACAGTTGGGTGCTCTTAAATCTGTATTTTGAAATATTTCCCAAAACGAAAGTCGTTTCATTTACTTACACATGTAAGTTGATTTACTGGGCAAAGTTTGACTGCAAACTATTTATTGACCCTGAGTGCACTGGACCGCTTTTACAGACACTGACCAGATGCCTCTTAATAGAGGAGTTCACGCTCATAGTTGCATCATGGGTAATCAGGGCAAGATGGCGGGAAATTCAAAGACTTATAATTATTAGAATTCAAAGCCAGCTAATTCTTCTTGAATTCATATATTTAATGCTTTCTCTTTGAAAAAAGTAACTTACATCACCCGAGATCTGAAAGAACATTGTTGTCTGGTTGACTGAAGGATGAAATAAAGAGGTCTTTAATTTCCCACCAAAACAAGTCACTCTTAAAGGTGCAGGGTTAACAGCTACCCTACAATAGACATGTCTAGCATTACAGGTGAACAATCACACTGAAAAGTCTAAATAATTTATTAGACAAGTTTGTACTGTAAATCACTTATTCATTGTGGAATTCCTACCTTTGAGGAATAAAGCCAGTCGATGCTTCGTGCCTACCAAAAATCAAGAGTGTTTGACAAAAATTTAATCATTTTCACGTAATCCTTTTCCCTGCTAGCAGGCAAGTAATCCTTTAGTGTTCATATGATTTCTGTAGCTGTTGTTTAACGACACGTTATTTCCTTTAGCCTTAGTAATGTTGTGCTTTTCCATAGAAGAAGTGTATAATTTTTATTTCAGTACACTGTACATTGTAATGTTGTCTGTCTTCAGATCAACTGTCTTTTTCCAATTTAGAAGAAAACTGTATAATTTTTATTTTTTCGATGAGTCCCAGTATGCTACACTGTACATTTTCTGAGATAATATTTTATCCTGAGGTTTTTGAGTCTGTCTTCAGATTAACTGTCTAAAACAAACCCCGCCACAAACAATTTCAATTTAGGACTCATTGTTTTTCAAACTGGGACTCAATGGTTCTTGACTGTTGAGACACATGATTTTTCACAAGATGAGTCCCAGTATACACACCATAACTGTTTGCAATAAAATCACTACTACTGAGTCCCATAATCCACATGACAAGCCCGACAAAGACACAGACAGTTGGGATGAGATGCTATAACATTGTTTCACTGAGCCTAGCTCATTTGTCATGTTGGAATCTTGCTTGTGCAGAAGTTTTGTATGACTATACAGTCGCATCTTACCTTTTGCGGTGTTTGGGGAAAGTTGCACACTGATGCCATTGTCTCCTCATCATGCTCAGTTGGACTTCGAGCACCACAGGATTCCTCAACACCGAACTTAAGATGGTCTTCTTTATATTATCCATGCAAGAAATCAGAATATTATTTTTAATGAGTAGACTGAACTCTACTTATTAATGTTTGGCTACTACCGCAACACTGGACAAGACTATACAAGTATAAAATATTCTGTACATACATGTACATGTCTAACACAGATATGCATTTAATTATAGGACAGAGAAATAAAAATTTTTAATTATCAACAACTATACAAATGTAATAATTAAAACTGTTTAGCATGTACTTAATTATAATTGAGTTATGTAAGCATGTACAAGGGTTTGCTGAGTGCAAATAAAGCAATATTAAGCTTTTCTCAATGTAATAGTCAAAAAATGACAGCTAGCACACCCGCATGTCATAAATTTTCACAGAATTGAAAGCCGTGGAAAGTGGGCCCTGTGAAAAGAGGTTTTACAACTTTCCCCTTTTTTCTCTCTACGTACATCTGGGTGAAAACTGTCACTCAAAAAAGGCATCTTAAAGTGCATTTATAAAGGCGAGTTAATTCAGTTGATGAGCACAAAAATACAAAGTCAACACAAGAAAACACTAAAGGTACATTATTTTAACCTTAAAAAGGAAACTTAAATGTTAATTGATACTTCATGCATTTACAGAGCAAAGAATGATTCTCATTCAATGCTTTATATAATATCATTGTTTAAGTAAAAGAACACCGTAATTTTTAAAACCTTACTGAAATGAAAAAGGCTTCAGTTGTCAGAAACATACAATGTAGATTGGTCCTGAAGCGTGACAAATTGCAAGCTTAAAGGAAACTACAGTCAACTCCCTTGTAAGCGACCACCCTTGGTGCACGACAAAGTGGTCGCTTACGGGAAAAATCAAGAAAAAGAACTCACATTAAACTGATTAATGTAATTACGTAAAGTTATTATCTTACAAGCAAAAAAGAGGCAAATAGAGAACTTCTAATAATGTTTAACTCGAATAGTGCTTGGAACTGATGAAACTTTGTACATAACATTATGCATGAATGTGACAATCCACTGTTTGCCTAGAGATCGTATTACAGACATCTTTTTTGTAAGTCAGCTGCTATAATCTGTCAGCAAACTTGGTCAGCACTATTCAAAAATTAACTTTTGTGACATTCGAGCAACCGTTTTCTTACAATCACGCGTGATCATGCCGGGTGGTTGCTTTAACCGGAAATAGAAAACAAAAGAATGTATCAAAATAATTTCTGGCCCAAAAAGTGGTTGCGGTCGCTTTGGAAATTTAGGTAGTGGTCGCTTACGAGAGAGTTTTTGAAACTGACTGAGAAACAAAAGGATTATTTGTAAAGAGGTCGCTTACGGGAGGTGGTCGCTTACGAGAAGTGGTCGAGAGAGTTGACTGTATTACCTTTAAAAGCTTTTACTCAAGCTTCAAGAAGTTTTACAGGAGAGACTGCATTGGTTAGCATTTGTCAAGACAAATTCAAGCAACATATATATTATCTTTCCCTTCCAGAGTTTCCCCTCCCCTACCCGTTAAGTCTGGATGGAAGTACAGAAAAATGGTGATGTTATACCCAAATTTTCTCACATTGTCATCAATTAGGTTTCCAATATTATTTCTATAGCAATTGGAGGCTCTGCTAAAAACTCTCAGATACACCACCAAAAACCTCTTATTAAATTATTTTTCTTTTGAATTAATGTGCACTTTTTTTATTGCCTAACCCGTGAACAGACTCCCTGTTTGGGATAAGGGTGAAAAAATCGCAAGGGGGAAAGGGGGAGAGCCTGTAGACAAACCTTAGGACCGCCACCCACTGTGCATCAGATTCTGATGCAAGCTCCTATTGGCCAGAACACTGATGATGGTTGAAAGGTTTGATTAACATCGTAGCACCCATTGTAAACCGTCTTCTGATCTTTAACATGGCTATTTCAAGTGCTTGACAGATGAGGTTATAATAGCCATGGTTCATACAGAATTTTTGGGAAAAAAATCAAGGACTGTTTAAGGACTTTTCAAGGACTAAAATTATTTTTTTCAAGGACTTCTTTTCCCCAATAACTTGAAGTAAAGACCTTTACGGTGGAGGGGGGTCCCTTATTGCAATTATACCTTCCTTCATTAAGGCACGGTTCCTAGGGTACAAATAACGGAAAATGAACTATGCTGGGAACACCGAGATCATAAGAAAACACTTTCATGATCACCAAGAGAATTTGTGTATTGCTGTGATTTTAATCATTCCTTTGGCAAAACAATTTGTTTTTAAAAAAGGTTATTTTTATTCAAGGGAGCTTTCAAAAATATTCAAGGACTATGTGTGGAAAATTCAAGGACTTTTCAAGGATATCCCACAATTTTTCAGTTTTCAAGGACTTTTCGTGGACATGATTGCTTTTTCAAGGACTTGTCAAGGCCCGTGCGAACAATGATAGCTTTTGAAGAGCTTTACATTGTATGTTTCAAAAAAGCTAAAAAAATGTTCTTGCATCAGTAGGGCAAAGCGCACCATCAAGAAACAATGACAACTTTATCCGCAGAAAATCAATATGTGTGTCACGAGCTCTTAGTAAATTCGAAATGAGCAGAGAAAATCACATATTTTGCTCAGTCAAAACGTGACTCTCCAGAGCATAATCTACATGTACCCACCAGAGAAAAAAACTCATTGGAACAAGCAGAATTTCGGCACGATGTAAAAGTTGTGTGTTGTGTACTGAACCTCTTTTTACATGTGAAATTTATTACATTCCAATGTACCCTTGGAAGTAACATCTAACGATAATGCTGACAGATGATCGGAAATAAATTACAAGGCAAGAGGGTGCAATAGCAGCCCCAAATGTTTGGCTACAGGCTCTCCACCTTTCCCATCCCTTGCGATTTCTTCACTTTTTCCCCAACTTGTTCAAAGGCCATTTAATTGTTGCTTTACTTTACATATACATGTAGTTACCAGCATTAGACAAATATAATGACAGCTAGTTAACAAATAAATTGCCAAACCTGCTCGCAGAGGGGCAAATCCACCCATAATTTTGTTTATTAACCAGGATGTGAGAAATTGAAACATATTCCACAGAGGCTTTGTCACCAGAGATGGCGATGAATGTAGAGGTTTCATGACTTTATTCAGTCTAATGGTGACCTACAAATTATATTAATATATTAAAATTAAAATTGCAGTGAGTGATTGTGAGCATTTCTGCATACAGTAGCATGAAGTGTATGTAACATTAAGACAGGCATTTTCACACACCACAGTGTTCCTCTTGGGGGTTATGTATCGGTCAAATCAAAGCTTCAACATTCCCCCCCCCTCCCACCCAGGCATTTGACACCTTTGCCGTCCCGGGGTGGGGAATTTGAACTGCACCGTCGATTTCATGTGAAATCTCTGGCATGGCGAGCTATCATTGGGGACGCAGCATTAGAGGATTTTCGTGGAAAAGATTGTTCCTTTATGGCCAATTGGTTACAAGGAAAGGGCTTAAACAAGCTTTGTGCTGTATTTGAAGGTATTTAAATTTTTATATTTTTAATATTGGATACAGGCTTTGAATATATGAATGTATTAAGTTGTGTTTACAATGAAATAGAATACCTGTACTGGCAATTCAATGCAACAATAAAAAGCTCAACAGAGGCAAGAGAGAATGACAGAGGTCAATTACTTTGACCTGCCACATGTGTGTTAATTAATAAGGTGCGTGATAATGCATGTCAGTGAAATGGACATGATGTAGTAATCTCAGAAGGTGGGATTTTTTTTATACAACGCTTTGTATGTTGCATGACACACAAAGAAAACCTCTTACTAAATTATTTTTCTTTTGAATTAATGATAACCTGAATGGACCCTAGTGTGGGCATTTGAACGGCATTTTGGCCCGGGTAGGGGGAAATTTGAACTATAATATTATAAATGCCTGGGGGGTTGCCTGGGGGGGTGGTGAGGCTTCGATTTGACTGATACAATATGTATGTCCCTCGTCTGAATTTCAACACCAATTATTTTGTATTATTGAGGAGGAAGCTATGTTGCTGTTGGTATTCTACAATAATTGTATTTGTTCTTTTCTCTGTCAATATCTTGGTTTCAACCAATCTTTGTGTTGTTTTTCACCATTTCTGCTGTCCTATGTCACTGTTTCAAGGCCATGTTGCTTGTTAGAATCCATTCCAACAGAGCCTCAGTGTATGCATGTCTCCTAGTTACAGCTGTTTATCAGGATGGTTTTAAGTGGGGGATACATTCAAGGCTGTGCTCTAAGGAAAACTGAAGGGAGTCCAGTGCTCTGAACCTGTAAAATCTAGGATGCCCAGCATTTGATTTGTATGAAAAAAATAAGATTTTCTAATTGCCAGATGCCAGGGGCCACAGGGCTCTGCTAGAGCACAGCCCTGACATTTCTATTTTCTTTCTTAACCACACAAAAAGACAGCTTTCAATAGGAGTTTAAAACAAAATGTAGATCACCTTGCAGTGACATAATATTTCAGGTAAACCATTACATCGTACGTAGGCATGTCTGAGCGTGTCGGTTATGAGTAAGGTTTCGATGATAAACTTTTTAAAAAGGTGTGAGAGCAAGTTAAAGTTCTGATAAAGTGACAGTTTGAGACAGTTCCACTAAAAGACACTTAGGCAAAGTAGGTGTTGATTTCGAGAGACCTAACAGGTGGTTTACTATAGCTCGATTTACGAAAGCATTAGTGTGCTGAAAGTAAAACGGTTTCGTTACTTTTAATAGACCCTATAGCTCTAAAGAGAAAAACAAGTACGTGCACGAGCAAAATGACGAGTTTAGAACGACGAAAAAATAATGTTGTGTGTTCGAAAACAAAGAGCGAATGAAGTGCAACTACTGGCCATTTCTGAAAACACCTTTAGCCACGAACCATGAATTTTGCAGTTGGGAAATTTGTTCGTTTGTATTTTTTGGATTTTAGATAATTTACCGTAGATTCAAGCGACAACAATACAGAACATAACTAAACAGATTCATATATTTTTTTCTCGTTCCACTTTCTACATTTGGCGTATACATTCGTCACGTTGTCGAGTAAACTCGTCAATTTGCCCATGCATTCAGTTATTAATATGCTTCTGTATTATTTTCGTTTGAATCTCTTAACGGTATTTCGACCTGCACGTGGAATGTGAAGAAACCGCCGAAGAAAATATCTTATCTTAAAAGCGCCTTTTTAATGCTTACGTCTTTAAAGATCTTACCTGTTACTGTGCTCTCTCTGGAAATCGTTTTGTGTCCGATAAAACAGGGTTGTTTTGATCAAACTCGTGCACGTTTCGTTGCAAGAAAATTAGTGAGCCGTGAACTTCCCGGCGAACTGACGATCAACCAATCAAATCGCTTCTCTCTGTGCGCTGTGCCCTGTGATTGATGGGAAGGATTTCGTGAGTTGTGTGTTTTCATTGTCTACCGATTGTCTGCCTCGTTCCAATCTTCATCAGGTCACAGAATGTGAATGTCCGGAGTGAACTGGAACTACAATGATAATAATGGCGGACGAATCGGTTGCCGTTCCAGTTTGGTGCGATGTTGGTGTGAACTTGAATGCAGTTTCTTTCGTAATAAGCTTGGGATGTTTTACAAAGGGAACAATAACATGTAGTTCAAAATCGAAGCTAATTGTTCGAATCTGCTCACGAGAATTGAGCTGTTGCTGTTACAAAACTGACGACAAGACATGGCGAGCTTTGGAGAACACGTTGCAGTTACCAGGTAACGAAGTCCTACTGCGGTTCCTTCAGCGAAGCTTTAGACTACAGGGAAAACTTTTCAAACGAAAGCAATTGTTACAGTGCGACTACACGAACCGAGGCCACCCAGACAAAAATTCAGACATTTTTAAAATTAGCCAATCACAAGTCGAGATTTAAACAATGAAATTTCGCATAGTTTCGTACTCAGAGCCAGTTCAAAATACGCTGTGAGCCATTTTTCTAAAGGATATACAATAACAGAATATATATTTTAGGAATCATGACGTTTGTGTAAAATCAAGGTGAAAAATGTTTAGTCAATGCCTAGGTTGGCTGAAATCAAAGCCAACACCGGTAAAGAAATTTTGAACAATCCAACCTAAGGCGACGGCCACTCACCAAAGATCTTATTATTCGAAGGAATTACTATCTTGGCAGACCTCTTAGGAATCAGATGTTTTCTCAAATGAGTTGCAAAGGTCATGCTTTGTGATTAGTGGATTTCGATCCGAAGTTGTTTCTGTGGTTGTTTACCATTTACTAAAAGTTTCCGGAGAATCTGGGTGGAAAGTAAATAGAACGCCCCTTTCTGGGTCATTCCAGTGGAAAATTTCTGGGAGCAACAGAACATGTGAAAAGTCCGTTTTTCCAGATGCAATATTCCAAGTGGAAATTTGTGTTCCATTTCTTCAAAGCCATCTTTGATACCAGTTTCTGGCCTTCATGGTTGTTTTCTGGTAAATGGAACTGGTTTGTACAATAGTAAACGCGATTCTGGGATGAAATTTATAAGTACTGAAGTTTGCGTACCATAAACCATGGACGAACTGGTTTGCCAAATGAATGTCAATAGGACAATCACATGACTTTTATACCCGCCAACTCTCACGCCTTAGGCGTGAGTCTCATGCCTGCGGGTTGAAAACTTCGATCTCACGCCGGCTCACGCTTGCGGACTAATTTCTCACGCCTGATTGAAAAACGTGAGTTGTTGCTGTCTTGCTTGACACAATTTCCAAAAATATGTTAACTCAGACCCATGTAAGGAAGGAAAACCATGTGTAAAATGAATAAATGACGATACCCTCCTCGCGATCTCTGATTTTTGAAGTGAAAAGCACTGGGAGCGAGCTCGCGTTTAAACGCGTCGTAAGACTGGGACTCGATAACTTCGCCTTCGGCAAACTTCGGACGTCTTCGAAAGACTTCGGACGTCTTCGGAACACTTCGGACTTCTTCGCACTTCTTCGGACTTCTTCAGAACTCTTCGGGGATTTTCGGAAATGATCGCGTCATCTTCAAAAATCCAAGCACTCCCAGGATAAAAATCTCACGCTTATATCTCAGAAAAAGTTGGCAGGTATAGACTTTTGGACGGATCCTCTCGGGCGCAAATGATGCTATGAGGGGCATAAATAAACTATATGCCTGACAAAAGTTATGCGATTATCATTATTATCAATACACAAGGCCAAATCATGCGAATTAATTTCATATTAGGAAAGATTGTTTAACATGAATCATGTTGCGGGCTGCAAATTCCATTTATAGCCTGCACTTTGCTGTTTGGCCCGCGAAAAGGAGCGTTTTAGAGAGGGCAGTTTGTCATTTGGCCGCATGTAGTGGTAATAATGGTAAACAACCAGTGTTTCATTAGGTTTGTTGCTTGTGATCTTTCGAGTTTGGGGCGATCACCGCAACTAGTTTGCTTTGAAGATGTTTTCTGATGTTTCTCATTCTTGCCACTTGCCTCGTTCCCTGGACAAAAATTCCACTGACCCTGGCGGTTTCCTTCGCTATTCTGTTGGCTAAGCTGGGCGAGTGAGTATGTACTGTAATTTGCATTGCATGTAATCGGCCCCATATATTTGTTGATAGTGCTCTCAAATCACAGACACTATGATTTTCTTGCTGAGCACCATTTGCCACCTTAAGTTCGGATTTCTCAAATTTTTTCTTTGGCTTTCATCAGAGGGCCAATCCTGCCCACCAGAAACAAAACCCACAGAAAATCAATGTGTGTTTCATGACCCCTCTGCAGGCTTTTAGCCAGACATTGAAAACTGGCTGTCCAGACAGCATGTTTTCCCATAAAAGTATACGAGATTAAGTGAATGTTCCTTGTATTTCTTCCACAAATGGATGGCTGGACAGCTGGACACCCCTCTGGCTAAAACCTTGCCCTTCTGTGTGAAACAAGTGGCAAAAATCACATTGGTAACTCAGAACTGAGAACCTTCCAGAGCATAATGTAGCTGCCAGAAGAAAAAATTTTATTGGAACAAGCAGCAGCATTTTAAGCATTGTAGTTAATTCTTTGACTTTGTCTGTTTCTTCTTGTAAGCAGACTTCTTCTCATGGCTTTCTTGCGGAGGGAAACAGTATTTGAGTCCTCTTCAGACAAATTATCCGCTTATCCTACGCTTGCGAGTAGGAATGCCAACTTCAATTTCTTGAACTGGAATGCACTCATCAGGCTCATCTAAAATACTGATGCCAAAATCTAGACACCTGTAATTGTCTCTCGAAATGGACATGTTGAATATTCACCAGTTGCCATTACAATGCTCTGCATTGTTTGCTTTGAGGCAGTCAGCTGTGGACTTAATGACGTTTCAAACAATAGATTGAAATGAGCAGACTTCCCAGGAATTAGACTTCCGTTTAATTACAATCTCTAAAAATAACTTAAGTCAGTGAAATTCACACATCCCAGCCAATACCTTTAAGATTCCCTCTCTGTCCCATTATGGCTCTTGCCAAAACATATTCACAAGGAAAGTCACTGACATTCACATTCCTGCATCCCTGTATTTGACTTCCTGTGTCCCTGTCCCACACGTCTCAGGGTTCCATACTTGATGTCCCCAAGTCCCTTGTCTCGGGTCCCCAAGTCCCAAGTCCCCACACACGCATCCCAATGTCCCTGTCCCAGTTTTATACAAAATGTACACAGCCTTTGTGTAGGTATGGGCTGCTGGGACACTGGAACTCTTAGCCTATACCATACCTAGTTGGCTGAATTTTGCTACCCTAAACTAGATGAAACTGCCAAAATCTGTCCCTATCCTAGAGTCACTATTTTCCAGAAATAAGTTGAGAGGACTGAGTTGCAGGTAAATAAATTAAGATTTATCGATTTGACTTATTTTGACGTTTTAAAGCTAGTCGAGCCATTTTCTGGTCACTGACTACAAAGAGCTTTTAAAAACACTTAATACCATTACATTTCTACATACGCTTCATGGCTTTCTTATTCAGATGCAGAATATTAGCTTTCCAAGTTTTGGCATGCAGGGGTTTAAAAGGGACACCGCAGTCTTTTTTCTTTCTACTTTCTCTCCTTTCCTCTTCTTAAGCTTTTCTTGCCTTATTTTGTGGGAACAGTTTTAGGGAATACTTGATATGACTTCTGATAAACTTCTAGATTTCCCATCCAAGATGCCTTGTACTTGCTCATTGTACAACAAATGGAGAATTTAAAGATTACAGTAAAAGCCCACATATAAGAACCTAGAATTTTCGAGGTCAGGCTAAACAGGTTGTCACTTATATTATAGAGTAGTTTTTCTCAATTCAGGCTGATTAGATTCTTATTTTTCAGAGGTTGTCGTAGTGTAACAATTGGCAGAAGTATTGTACTACTAATAAATAATGGTTTATGAGAAAAAAATTTCCAGTGAAAGTCCAAACAAGTGTAAATCAAAGAAATTATATACACCATAACTCTTTGTCAGAAGTTTCTCACACAATTAAAATCCAGAATTTTAACCATCAAAATTGGAGTGATTTGTTTGTCTAAGAAACTATTTTTCTTTTCTGGGCTGAACAGGTTCTTATATTTTTGTGTATTTAAATGCCCAATTTCAGCCTGTAGGTTCTTAATTTACTAGGTTCATGTATGTGGGCTTTCACTGTATATCAAAAGCCACTCAGGACCTTATCCCACATAAGGCTGTACCTGTTATTATTTGTTTAATAATTTATTGATAAACAGTAAAGGTTAACAAAAGTAATAGATAATAACTTGTACCTTCTAGCTAGATTCAGCTTGATTCCAAGGTCATGTACTGGTCTGTCAGCAAGCTCAGGAACTGAGATTCAAATGAGGCTTCATTTCCAATATTGTAAAAGTGATTCCCCAGAGAAAGTTTCAAAGAGGCACCTTTTAAGGGAAGAATTGCAGGAATTAAGGAGTGGATGCCACAATGTTTGCTGCCGAATGTGTGGATCTGCTGTGTTGTCACCAGAGAGGTAGGTTGATCTCACTATTCTAGAGGTTCAATAACAGGGTAAATAGAGTAAGAACTTCAGTATCTTATTGAAGGTCAAGCAAGCTACTGATTGAGTACAAGTGTACTGCAGTCATGATTATGAGTTGTGAATGGGTCAGCAGAGAGATGTCGTGTAGCATTTCTCAGAGCTTGGTTTCAATAGATTCAAAGTTGCAGTGAACAAATTGCAATTTCAAAATCTCTCTGACCCATGGATAATCACCTTTCTTGGTGAATATTATATTTTTAAAACGATTCTTCTCCAAGGAAATTAAAGAGAGTTCTAGAGTTACCATCAGAAAATTGGTTTGAGCTTGCTCAAGACTGGTGTTGCCATGGCAGCAGTCATCTGACATCCCTCACAGGAGTTCTTGACCCAAGTGAAGATGACTGCTTTGTAGGTGAATACTTCATCAGGGTCCATCCTGCAGCTGCAGAAACTAACAACTTGAAGATCTTTTCTGTAAGTAGAGATAAATAATATAATTAAAAACTGAATCATTGGATAATGCAATTCTAGAGCTCTGATTGGCTTAGCCATCATGGTATATGAGCCATTATATCATGCTCTCTAAATATGGTAACTGTATGCCCCTGCTCAAAATAAAAAACAAGCTGAACATTGGTTGTTTTTACAAATAAAGTCAGGAAGAATTCTCAATATTCTGTAGGCTTTTTTAATGAAACAATAAAAAATTATTATTTCACTCGTGCTTATGATTATTACGATGATGTATGATGATCGTAACCACTCATATCCAACATGCACTTGTGGAATAATCGTTGCACTTCTAAAAAAGACTCACGTGGTGGTTGGATGGTTGCATCTACGATATGACTTAATGTGACTGCGTGATGCAGTTATGAGTCATACATGCTTGTCCTGATTTGACTATGTGACTGCGTGATTCAGTTCTAGTCAAAGTCCCACATTTCACCCTTGCACGCCATGGAGTCTCCAGTGGCTCAGTGGTTAGAGCATCTGACTAGATCACGGAGGTTTGTGGGCTTGAATCCCATCTGGGGCTTGGATTTTTTCCAAGTTTCTACTTGATGCAAACAATGTATCATGTTCTACTTTTACAAAAAACTCACTTGCAACTTTTTTTTTTGTCCAGGAAGAGGAACATTACCAAATCAAATGTTGTCGATGCAATTCTGTACTAGGAAGTGGTAGTACAGAGGAAAAAAGTCATAGTTCATTACATATGGAATTACGTGATTTTAACAGCATAAATCTTCATAAACACAGCATCAGCTTGAGACACAGTCACTTGTTTAGGTACAGTATGCTTAATGTAATTTGAGAAGAGATTAACACAGATTCCATCAGGAAATTAAGTTATTTTAATTTTCTGTGGTCAAAAACCTTGTACCAGAATAATTTAAAGAATAGTGCATTCCTTTTTACATTTTTCAAGGGCTATAGAATGATGTAATTAGTTATGTGTAATAACACCAAAGAAAATTTCTTATGGGAGCCCCAGAAAATAAATGTCAACTTCACAAAATGCTATCTTGCATATGAAATTTTCGGAGTTTGCCCTGTGTTTTCACAATTCTTGTAATAACAGATAACTAATCACATCTATAATTACATCTATTGCCGTTGAAAAATGTAAAAAAGAATGCAATATTCTTTAAATTATTCTGGAATGAGGTTTTTGTCTGCAGAAAATTAAAATTACTCAATTTCCTGGTGGATTCCATCTTAATTTTCACACTGCAGAAAAGAGATACATTGTATTGTTTAGATCTTCTATTACACACAAGGTTGATGAAGGGGTGGGGGGCAGAAGATTTTACCCTGCTATCGTTCTAGCTGTTCAACCTATTAACTGCTGATATAGTTGTACCAGCAACTTGAAATCTCAGGGACAGCCCTGACATAACAGGAGAATTAATGCATAAAATGTGTATGTGTTGTAGTTAATTTTTACCTCAGGTAATTTTTGTTTTTCTTTTGTTTTTAGGTATGGTAATGTATGCTAATGAAGTTGAAACAAAAGAAATATATAAATTACCTGAGATAAAAAATTAACTACAACATGTACATCCCTACTTTTAACAATAATTGGATGAGGTAAAAAGGGTACAAATGTATATTATGTATACTTAATTTTTTATGCAATCTCTGAGGGCAATACTTGTGTTTAAAAGGTTATGGAGGATGAACAATTCAGCTTAGAGAGAAAGGCAACAACAAGAAAAACGGAAAGCGTGAAACATCTTTCCTCTCTTTCAAGATCTTACTGCATCATCTGCTCACCAGGGAGGTGTCTTTGTACCATGTGACTGTTTAACTGCAAAGGGCCCAATAGTGCCGCTTACTCGAATCAATGCTGTATCGGACTTGTATCTTTAACTTGCAATGTTGACGAATGCCTATTACGTTTTTTTTATATATATATATTTTTTATTTTAGGTCCTATTGTACTGAAACTTATATTTCTAGTTGTTTAACCTCAAAGTCAAAAGGTGCTGTGAACTTCAGGTTTCTTGTTGAAGAGTCTATGCAGAATGGAGAGAAAAGAACGCATGCATGTGTAAGTTATTCTTTGGGAAACTGGGTGAAAAATCTGTGATTTTGCGTCCATAATCCTTCCGTCCCATTCGTTTTGTTTGAATATCAAACTTAGAAATGAAGATGATGTGAACTGTGGTAAAAGAAAACGAGCGCTATCAATACTGATGACGTGTTATTACCCAGATCTGGGTAGTGCTCCTGATTGGTCGAATCAAACTTTCCTTGAGGCACGACCAATCAGAAGCACAACCCGGATCTGGGTAGTGACGCGTCATCAGTATGGAATTTCCGCGCTTATTTCTCAGACGTCATTTCGCGGGAAAACCACGCGTCGAGCTGTCCGCTGTTTCCTCAGGCCGGTATTTTTGGGTGAGACACTGTCGTGTTTTATTTTTGCCTCCATTTGTGGAATTTACCGAGGCACTTCAAGGTACTTGGTCCAGATAACTGTGGAAATGGCAGTTCAGCCAGAAGCAAATCAAAGGAAGTAAAAACAGTGGCCTCACTTAATACCTGGTGTAATGCTTTTTTTTCATTCTTGCCTCTTGTTACCACTGTTGTCCACCAGATGGATGTCTTTCTCCTTGTCAAAGTCATCAATCATACTTAACATTTTGTTTTAACATTGATTTTATTTCAGCTTTGGCTTTTCAATCCAGATACCGCTGTGGTCACAAATATTGAAACTTGCAACTTCTATTGTGGAAAAAGACCTCGTGAAGGTGGGGCATACTCCATCACAAATACAGGTAAAATGTTTTTTATTAAACCTGTAAATGTATTGATCCATTGTAAATTCTATAAAGGGAAAGACTTTGAGTCAATACGGTTCCATATTCAATGTATACAGAGGATTAAAAAGACGATTGGAACTACAGGAAATTCGCACGGCTGAAACTGGCTTGCTACTGCAAAAGCCTATAGTCTACTTATGCCTGCTCCTCCTCCCAATAGTTCGCACTTTTGTTCGGTTTTTCTATTTGTAGTCCTCTCTTGTGAATTGCTGGTTGTATTGTATACTTTTTTTCTGCGTTTATTTCCCTGCTTGTGATTGGCTAAAACGTTGGTGCCATTTTCTATGTCAAATTCTGCCGGTGTTATAGGTGAGGTTACTTATAGGTTTTATTTCCTTTCATAATCAAGCAAAGTTATCCCAGTATTCCGATATATATACGTGACCCGAGGGTTTCCGAAATAATGGGAGTAGATTGTGCTAAGATCATTTCATGTCAGTTATACCGTAATTTATCTGTCATTCTCACAGCAAAGTACATGCCCGTAGTGAAGATTCTTTACAAGGCAAGACCACTGGTTGATGACAGTAGCTGGTACGTACAATAATTTATCCTCTCTGCATATCTGTTGTCGCATCACGACATACTAATTCATGTAGAGGTTATTTACCTGGAAAGAAGGGGTATGTGAGATATTCACCTGTTGTCCCCCCGAGTGTGTAGCCTGAGGGGCGGCAACAGGTGAATATATCACATCACGCCGCCCAAATATATGACAGGAGACGGCAAAAGATCATAATCGACCCCGATTGCCGAGAACTCTGGTACTGGTAGAACGCAGGCATGTTACCGAGACGCGGTCATTATATATGCTGCCAGAATATTTTAAAATTCTTGCTTGGCTCTGAGGCTTGAGGGAATGAAACAAAAGAAATGTATTGTTCAGTGCTGAGCCTCAAGATGATTTCTTTTGTTTTATTCCACTAAGTGTCGGAGCCAAGTATGAATTTTAATATATTGAAATTGGTCTATTGGTTTTACCACTTTTATGAGCAAAACAACAGCTCTGTACGTGCATCACTGCGCTTTTTAGTATACATGTATTTCCTTGACGTCCACTGCTCAGCTACAACGCGGAACTTCCTTTTGCGACCTTTTCTGGAGGACGTGAACACACGAAGGCGAATTTTCCTTTCAGTTGTTTAGTTGGATACAGTCCTGTGTTCATTGTCTGCGTTACTACAAATAAGTAGTATTTTTGGTAAACTTAGTCTTTCGCACAACGTTATCTTTTCTATACTGGAACAGAAACCAGATTCTAAGTTACTCGAGGTACAATGCATAGATAAATATATGTATACATACTTTTGCAACCACTTCATGCAATTTTTGGAGACTAAACCGGAATTTTTTGTCTAATATACACAACAACGACTGCTTAGGTCAAAAGTAATTCAAGTACATAAAAAGTAATTACGGTTGTTGGTCTGATAAGAAGTTCTGGTAGAGGAAGGACTGTGTATCCCACACGAACATCTGACCTTTGATTTCTCTTTCCTTATTTTGCAGGAAAGATGAAGTATCTTCCTGGGAAGAAAATCCCTCTGTTGAAGTTCTTACGTTCACAAGGGAGATTTGTTTACATCTTATCCTGCTTCTATCACAGAGTACGAACACTATAGCGCCGTCTTTGAGAGATATGAACGGGTTTAAGGTATACATAAAACAATGCATTTTGAAAGCTTCCATTGATTAGGTTATGGAGAAACCAATCAGTGCCGGTGGGGCGCATGAAGTAGGGATATTTATAACGATCTGATAACCTGGTACACGGGGGTCCATGTCCGTATATGAACGTCCTGTATAGTGTAGCTATTCTTTTGAGTAATAATTTGAATCTCATTAACCTCTCTCAACGTTAGTTGTATGCTTTGCCTAACAACCTATTCTAATAAAAGTTTTTTTTAAATGGACAGTGTTATGAGAATTCGCCCAAGTTTTTGCCCAACACGAGCGTGAGAAATAAGATTACGTAAAAATACGTAACTATCACCTCAGTCAAACTTTTGAGCGTTTTTCGTTAGTATTATCTTGAAGCTAAAAAACGTCCTTCATGACTTTTCGGACATTTTTATTTCTCTTGAAGGTATCCGCAAGGCAAAAGATATCGGGCATGTTAAAGCACGTCACTCCTTTTCCCTTCCCTCTCCGCCTAGGTTTCGCGGTAATTCCTCGAAACACATATTTTTTAGAAACAGGAGGCAGCGTGGCCGAGCGGTTAGAGCCCTGGGCCCGCTTATAGGCCCCGCCCTGACCCGCCTATGGCTGAATTTGTTCTCGGTAGCCTGGCCCCGGGTTTTCAAACGTTGGATAGCGCTATCCACGGGATATATAAAAATCTATCCATTGGATAACGCAATTGGTTTCCCTAATACCTATCTGCGAGATAGTGATTTATCCGGTTGGTAGCGCTATCCAACGTCTGAACAACTGGGGCCTGGTGATCAACCCCTCGGCCAACTGGTTTTCCTCAGGCTGGTTGGGATTCTTAACTCTGTTTCATTATCGCTGAAAAGCCCCTTAAGGGGAGAGGATAATCTTTTAATATGATATTTTTTCTCATTTTACCTTTCTGTGTTAGGTTGGTTATTTGAGAACAATTGAGCCTTAGCCACGGATTTGGACAGCTTGGCGAGTCTCGGAATAGTTTCCAATAGACCCGGATTGGTCAGCCGTTGCTGATTACGTTTTGAAAGGAAAGGAGATATGCGCCTCTATCACCGCTCCAGCTCAGCAACTGGACCTTTCGAGTATTCAAAACAACGTCCAAAGTAAATCAGGGACACCTGTACAGTACAGTATTTGCCACGTGGATATAAAGGAGATTCCAGCGCGACAGATGGAGTTGACAGTTTATCTTGTACCGGAGAGTCATAAAGACGAGAGAAAAAACGTTGACTGATAAATAGTTTCGAAAATGGCTTGCTGTAACTACGCAACATGACGAAAACTGGAAATTGCGCAATTATACGCTTTATCCTGTAAAAAAGGAAATGTCTTTCTTTTAATACAATAAGTCACTGAAAGTTTTTGAGAGGATATCTGTAAACTCTTATTTCTTGATGGCAAACTTAGAAATAACATTCATCTATAAAGACCCTTGTTGCAAGGAGACGATCAAACTTATATCTTTACATTGATCGAAATACGATCTTAAAAATTTTTGTTTAACTGGATTATTTCTTGAAAACTGGTACACAGTGTTTAATCCCTTTTCGAAGACTTTTCGAACATGAAGCTACTTGCCAACGGACGCAACAACTCCCAACATTGTTGGCCCTAGAGTGTTGTTAGTTCTTGCGTCCGTTTGTAAGTGGCTCATAAGCTTGACCGGTTTCAAACTTTGCGCACTTTGGGAATTGTTGCGCAAAGTTTGAAACCGGTCAAACTTATGAGCCAACAATTCCCAATTGCAACATTTTGTTTGTTCCGTGATCGCCGAAGCGTAGCGCAACAATGTTGGATCCGTTGGCACAATATTGTTGGAGCCACGCACGCGTATTACACATGGTCTCTAAAGTCTTCTAGGTTGTATCCTTTTCACGATCCACTGCGGGAACCAACATTGTTGGGAGTTGTTACATCCGTTTGCATACCACTGTTAGCCCAACAATGTTGGGAGTTGTTGTGTCCGTTTTCACGTAGCTCTAGAATCGAGGGAACCTCCCGCACAACAGACCGCGCGCCAACTGACTGTGCTTGTTCTCGCTCCTTAGTAGATATTAATACAGTTTTTCAGTGTACTGTAGGTGCTGTCAGAAGTATATAAGCTAGTCGGAATACCAGACATTGGTAAATATCATGGTCGTAGCGTGCTGTATCATGAATATATATACGTTATTGACCAAGTATGACGTCAAGATGGCTGGATATTAGCAAGGCCAAGTTCTTTTGTTTGCGTTTTTATTGTCGAGGTCAATTAAAAGGCAAAAAAAAACGAGTCAACTTAGTCAATAAAGGATTTATTATATGACCAAAAAGGGAACGTTTTCGCGCGGAACCAACTTGGGAAATCCCGAGCAGGCCTCTCGGGTAGCCAATCAGAACACAGTATTCGATATTCGAAATCCGCTCGCGGATTCAGTCAAGTAATCAAAAGAGCTGTAACGTCTTTCCGTACACTGTGTGCCTGGTTCGATAAAACCTCTCACTACAACTAGTATTCTACTCTTTTCAAGTCCAGAATGAGAAATTACAAAATAATGTAGTTCTAAAACTGATTTACACTTGCAGATAACAATATTGTAGTAAAAATTAGCTCGCACCAATTTCATTTATTTCCACCTGTTGTTTGTGTTTCGTAAAATATTTCTGATGAATTGGAACTGTCAGTAAATGAATTTCAACGTAAGCTTTCCAGTTTGGCTATAGTAAGCTCTTGAACGCTCGTCTGCTTCACACGTCACTTCACAATCACTCAATTTTTCTTGCCATACAGCAGAAGAAGAAGTTGAATTATCTTGACTAGAACTTACATTTGGAGCTAGATTTTGACATTTACATTACACATCGTTTAGTCTATCTAGGCTGTTCACAGTCTCCTATTTTTCCGTAGGATCGTCGATCGAGATCGAGCGCTTTGCGTTACCGGCGGCCATCTTGGATGCAATGCGAAGTGTCAAATCTAGTTAGGAGGCGGGAACCCTAACCCTACCCCGAAGCTCTATTTTTCTCGCCTCTTTTCTACCACTGCTACAAACCCCGACGCCCGCTCCTCGGTACATAAGAAACCAAGGTGGCCGCCCGTACCGAACAACGCTCGTTCCTGACTATCTTACGAAAAAGTAGGGGTCTTTAAACAGGCTATATTTTATCATGCTCACACTGGCAATGGGAGAGATTGTGCTTCGATATTTTCTAATCATAGATCATGGATCTCAGAGAATCTCTGAGGTCAGAGTACCTCCACAGGTAAAAAATGGGATTTATGCATGAGTTCAACAGTGAGAAAGTTGTGGACCACAGATACAAAGAGTTATATAGGCTGCCGAGAGACTGATAGAAAATGGTGACCGTCAATTTTGGAAGGACACAAATTACGAGAATTACAAGGACAATAAACATATCCATAGCAACTTTCTTCTCGCGTTTTAGTACTACTGACAACTGCTGCTGTGGAGCCGAAACAGCATCTACTACTTGGCGATTGTGTTTTCGAATGGCGAATAACATTGCAATGTGGTTGCCAATTAGCAAAGTATTAACTAATATACCAAGTGCTAACATAATAAAGAAACCCAGATTTGAAGGTAAAATTAACATGCAAAGTAACGTTAAAGCGGTCCAGCCCAGTGAAGTGGTGACAGCAATCTTTGTGACACCTGAAAATGTGGAGATAAATTCTTTAAACTTTGTGTCTTAAAACATAAAGTTTTCATGCTGTTCCCTAAGATTCTACGAAGTTTTTCTTTCTAGTTTTGACTGGTAAGATTGTTATCGTTATGACTATGTCTGTGTTAAAAAATAAACAAATATTTATTCTAATTAAACATTAATCAATGTTTGAAAAATATTTATTTATGTATACCTTGAATAGGCTATTTCCAAGTTCAAAAAACTCTCACTTTTAAAGCGAGGTTAGGTGCAAAACCTTTCTTGTGAAGATGAGTTTTATTTGCAGGAGAATAACAAGAAATAATAGTAATGATGATAATAATAATAATAATAATAATAATAATAATAATAACAATAATAATAATAATAATATTAATGGCTTCGCACTTCACCTCGCTGTGAAACAGAGGCTTGGGCTAACTCGGAAATGGCCCATTTACTGATAAATTATTAACTAATTCACGAGTGAACTCAGAGAAAATGGAGTGAGATTGTTTTTGCCACTCAAGAAAATAATTCATTTCTTCTCGTCACCACTGTGTAATATCCTTCATGTAATACTTATGATCGATTTAAAATGTCAAGATTTGATGAAACTACTTAATCATATATACTTAAAGTAGAATCTTTCAACGAAATTTGTTTAGAAACGTTCTGTATTATTTTAGTTCTAGGCAATATAGGCTTCTAGGGTTTCTGATGCTTGTAGAGGAAAGTTTTTAAAACTCTGGGAAGACAGAGCCGATAGAAGGAGAAAGGCTTGGGTTGTTACAAACATAGCAAGGTCCGCTCTCTCTGTAAGTTCAAAAAACTGAACGGTAAAAGAGACGTATTAATTTGCGTTTGAAACATCGCTGTATAATTTATTTTTTACGGTGGCTAGATGGAACAGCATAAATTGGCCTGACTTTAGCCCGCAAACAACGTCTCCGTGGCGCTCTGGCGGCGGGGCGGGAAAAGGACGGAGAGCTTGCAACTACGTCTCTGGAATTTGAGTCTCTGCATCGAAAAAGTCGATGCGAAATGCTGATTGTACGCGGAGATGACATCAATAATGACGCCACTACCCTTGGCGCGTACTATTACGTGCTTTGCAATGTTGGTGTACATTCGCTCTAGTTTCCGCTTCCCGCTGATTGGCGGAAATCTGACAGTTCAGTCGACGGGGAGCCACAGGGGAATTGGAGGCAGAATTCAAATTCCAGAGACGTTGTTGCAAGCTGACTCCTTCTTTTTCCCGGCCCGCTGCCAGAGTGCACCGAGGAGCTTCCTTGCGTCAGTTAGTGATCCTAAGCAATATCACAATCAAGCACCGTAAGCATCGTGATCGATTTCCGGGTTCTGTCGTAACAATTTCAAAATATCGCAATATTTTCAGTGAGTCCAACTTAATTCCAATTGTTCTGTCCTGCGTGACTGTCTTCTTTATTTTTGTTCTGTTTTGCATTTTCCCTATACTATTGCTTTTGCAAATTGTAATATTTTTCGTTGTTTATATATACCGTTACTGGTTCGGATATTAATTTTACTTTAGGGCTAAATTGTTTTTCTTAGCAGGCTTGCTTTTTTCAGTTTCAACAGCCCTTAATCTCTCTTTTGAGGTGGTCGGTTAATTTTTTTTTAAGTAAGTAACTTATGGTAATGCAGCTACGAGTAGCCTCAGAGGAAGAAGTATACACTCACAACGCGCTCGAGCTGTCGTCCGGTTGTCATGGCTCTACTAGAGATTTTGCACACAACGTCCTGTCACAATAAGCAAATAATATATGTCGAAATAATAATACTATTTTTTTACCTTCCTTCGTGACTTTTGCGCGATAGGCGAAAGGCCTGGACACAGCGTAACAGCGATCGGCGCTGATGACTGCCAAGTTTGTAAACGATAACCCTGTCATCAAGATATTGGACACACTAAAAGCAGTGCTAAGTTGCTGCTGAGAAGAACAGGTGTTTTGGACATACTGGACGTTTATCCACCATACAGCGAATATTGGTTGAACTGTTACGCCCGCCAAACAGTTTGCGGTAGCCAGGTTGCATAGCAGAATGTTTGAAGACCTTTGCAGAGATGGTGTTTTGATTACAGTCACAATGATTGCAAGGTTACTAAGAAAGGCGAAGATACCGAATGGTATGTTCGATACAGCGACTGCAAGGTCAGTTATCGAGGTGGTCGAATCGTTAACTGGAATAGGGACCCAGTCTTTAAGTCCACATATGTCGTTATCTTCTGTTGACATTGACATCGGTACCAGTTTTAACCCGTCTCAGGTACACATCCTGGTGTCTGTTCAAACATAACGAAAAAACATATGTTAGCGAGCACATCGGCTTTCATTGCTAGGTACTGGGAAAGTTCTGCGCATAGACGCGAAATTCATTCTGGTCGTTTGGTCAGGATTAAGAGGGATATTGACCTCGCTCTCTCTTTTGCGTTTTATGAAACAGAAATATTTGTTTTCTCCGCCTTAATTTTTTTTAATGGAAGTAATCAATAGCAAGCGACCACTTTTTGTGGGAGAGGCTGTTACCTTTATTACTTAAATTCTGACTTGTTTAAGGTCTTTGGATACCGTTTCTCGGAGACCATGTCGATGTTTTTCAATCGCCTTAGAAGTGATTTTATCCCTGTCGATCGCCACAAAATTTTCACCAGTGATTGACTATGAACAAGAGAGGATAAAGGGAACAGAGAAGGCATCCCCCCATACACACCCTATTCCATAGGTAATTCGTCTCCAGTTATTTTTAAGACCACAAATCCCAAGGGGGATTAGACAACAGCCAATAACATAGCGTGAATGTGTTCCGCGTGAAAGACCCACGCTCAGAGCCACGCGTCCTTCACGAATTGACACAGAACAAAATGGCGGAAGACGCGGAGAGCGATATTGCTATACGTTTTGTCGACGAAAACGACTACAAAGAGATTTCTGCTAAAGCTGTGTCAGCGAAACCGAAATTAAAAAAGAATCGCCCTTCCTCGCTTGTTTCTAAACACTGTTACGACGTTGATTTGAGCTAGCGAAGCTGAGAGTTCTAGCGAAGAAGATGAAAAAGTCAGTGCAAGCGAGGAGGAAGCTGTAACCGAAACGGAGCGTGCCGATGAAAACGTAGAAAGCTCCTATTCCGATGATAGTTCAGCAGATGAAGCGGAGAGAAGGAAAAGTGCAGAGAAGCCTAAACCTGCGTCTTCGAATTCGACCGTCACCAAATCAAGCAAAAAGGCGCCGAAGAAATCAAATAAACGGAACAAGAGTCTTTCGGAAGAAGAGAAGGAGGATTTATGTGGACAGTTGGAAGTAGTCATGCGTAACCTCCACGAAACTTCCACGCAGCGCCCGAGGTAACTTTATCCCGATTCTTAAAATAACTGGAGACGAATTACCTATAGAATAGGGTGTGGGATGCCTTCTCTGTCCCCTTTATCCTCTCTTGCTAGGAATTAAAGTTTGTCAAAATGCAGTTTTTAGTAAAATCGATATCACTATGGCAACAATAAACAAAAAACTTTTAAAAACTTTGAAATCGACAGCTGCGCTAAGACAGGTGGTGAGAAAACAGGTTAGTTTTCAGGATCGCAACAAAGAAAATACACCAAACTTTCCATGCATCGAAATATAATATTGAGCAGCCTTCTGACGCTACTTTATAAGATTAATTTGAGTTATTTAGAACTTTTTTTTTAACAATTTATCACGGCTATTGAAAATATAAGGTTTGAAATATATTTAAGTTTTATTTGAATTAAAACATACAGAATTTTTCCCTCCTCACGGAGGTAATTTGCTAAACACTACACTTTAACGTCCTGGTGTCGGATTTTCAGGAGTAGGTCTAGATCGCGCGAAATTCGGATTTAAACGATTTTAAAGTTTTTTGTTTTTATTTGTCATAGTGATATAGATTTTACTAACAACTGCTTTTTGATAAACTTCAATTCATAGTCAGTCACTGGTGAAAAGTTTGTGGCGATTGGATAAAGATGACTCATTTTTAAGGCGATTGAAAAACATCGATATGATCTGCGAAAAACTGTATCGAAACACCGCAACAGACCACTGGAAAAAAGTTAGGAAACGAAAAAAGTTGAAAGCCTAGTAAATATAAAAGTTCGGATATTTTAAGCGTTTTTAACAACTTCTTTTTTTGCGTTTTAAAACATTTGCTTCTATTTTTTCCAATTCATCAGAGCTCTGTTCCGCTGCTAGTTTATTGTAGTGTTGTTCAAATAGATCATTACTACGTGTCTCAGTATGAGCTGCCGTCTTTCTTCATAATCGACGTCTGTTGTTTAAATCATAAAGCTCAAACTAATTTTATGTGGTAAAAAAGGGAATCATTAAGGTTGCAAAGTATGAGGAAATAAATTTTTGAAACCTTAATTTTAATCATGCAGGGTCTATTTTATTTGTTTCGACTATGAATACAAATGAACTCCGGAAGAAACTGTGATTCTCCCTGTTACAACATTAACATAAGAGGTTAAAAAAGAACCTTTTTTTTCAGTCAAAGGCTTACTAGGTTGGTCTTTAAACTGCATGGACCATGTAAATCCAAATTCACTTAAATTTCGTTCGTTCACCGCTTTTTATCTTATCTTTTTAAGAATGTCGAATTTTATCCTGAGAGAAACGGAATCTGAAACTGATTTCCCACTTACCTTGACTCTTAAAAAAAGATGAACTTTTAAGATCGCTGTTACCTTGTTTGGTCTCAGTTTTTCGCAAAACTTTTCAGTTTTGCTCACTTGGTTTTGTTGATCTTTTTAATATTTTATGCTAAGGTACTGTTACAAATGCTAAGGTCTTGTTTTATACCGCGGGAAGCTGCATCTATGAACCGAGAGGATAATTCTTTCAATAGACCTTTGTCACGCGGCGGCTATTTTGTCTCAGGAGATTTCAAAAGCTTTGTTTATACACGGCTAGCCTCGTTCTCTCTACGAGGCTAGCCGTGCATAAACAAAGCTTTTAAAACTCCCGAGACAAAATGGCCGCCGCGTGACAAAGGTCTATTAAAAAAGGGAATATCATTTTAACAACTACTTGACTGCTAGCTTAAAAGCCGATTGGAGTAACTTCCAGCAATCTACCTTTGATTTAATTGCACCCGAAGCACTAAGGAAGTAGTTCAATCAAAGGTATAGTCTTGAAGAAAAAGAAAAAGTAATAAAAAATCATAACCACAAAAAATATTGTTTCATAACTTCCAAGGATTTTAATGTAAAAAATAATCTACTAAAGCCCAGGAACTTGAAAGCAGCTGTCGATGACCCACATCAAAACAACGATATTTACAATTCCATTTGCAAGTGAATGATTTTGACAATTTTTTATTTAGGGATGTTTTTCATTTATCGCAAAAGAGAAAATCACGTAAAACGTAAACATAAAATATTGGAACGCAAAACCTAGGAACTTTGTTCAGGTGAAAGTGTACTTTTCACTCTTAATGAAATTTAATGCCAAGTCATGCATAGACTGGAATAAGAAATTTGTTGTGCATTAAATAATGTCTTTGAACAATGTCTTTTTCATTTATTCATTTTTTTATTTGTTAAACTTCCGACGTATTTTTTGTCAATGCTGACCAGGATTTCCCTTGAATCGGTCATAAACAGAGGTTTTTGCTCATCTACTTTTGCATTTGACTTGACTTGTATTTGCCTGTGTTCTCGGATACTTTGTGCTTTTTTATGAATGGGATTTAAAAATAGGAAAAATATGCCAAAAATAGACTGACTTTTAGAAAAGATGCTGTAAAGTGGCTCACTCTCCAAAAAGCTGCTCATAATCGAAAAGGATCTGATGATCTGATCTGTCTAGGCCTATATGAAAGCGGTTGGGGATTTCGAAACGTTCTGGATTTATTTAAAATACAGTACATTTACAGCAATAAAGAGGATGCAAAGTTATAAACTAGGTCTCTGAAAGGGGACCCATTTGTCAATAGAAGGTAAAGGAAAGAGGTACCTCTTTCCGGTCAAAATGGTATATAAAAGAGTATAAGGCGTATAAAACTTTGTTGAGTACCCCCCGGGATCTTTAGTCGTGGGTACATGGTTTTCGCCTTCGCTCTTTGATTCTTTCTTTGGTTTTGAAGAAAAAAAGTAATAGACTAATTCCAATATATAAAATTCATACTTGGCTGCGAGGCTTGGGGGAATAAAACAAAATATATCATCTAAAGGCTCAATAATGAATAATACATTTCTTTTGGTCGATTAAAAAAAAATCACCGGACATGTGACAACAGCAACAGTAGGCATTCAAGAAGGTTACGATTTGGGACCATGGAACTCATGTTTGGCACTATGTATTCGAAATCAAAATCTACATCTACTTTAAAGAAGTCTCGTATAACTTATCTTATTTTTTTACCCTTTGATCATTGATATAGATAAAAAGGTACTTAATTACTTAAACTATCTCTCGTAGAGGAAGGAAAGCCACAGATTTTCCTTCTTATTCCCTATCTCCACGAAAAAGCTTCACCAGGTAAAGTTACTTAAAAGGAAGACCCTTTTGGTCCTCCTCTAGTCCTAGCAACTGAAAGGCGCATGCGTGGAATCCTGGGTCACTTACCATGTTTCCTTGTGGAAATCAGGCCAATACTACATTCCAAAAAAAATTCTCTACAATGTAACTCATGACAGTGATCTTTGGAAAAAAAGAGAGAGAGAGAGAAAGAGAAAAAGAAAAAAAAAGTAGTTGCATGGTCAATAAATAACTTATTTTTCTTGGCTTACCAACAGTCTTTTTATTTCGGAAGAAAAAAGGATAAAATTGACAAAATATGGACGTAATGACAAACAATGCCACAATGCCAATCAACCAATGTCTATTACCGCGTATACGTACAAATTAATACAACAGTTAAACATGAGAGAGACAACTGGTTTGCTTTTGTTCTTAAGTTAAGCTTTTCAAGTTCGGGCTCTTTACACTCCATGCCACTATTTAATAACAAAAAAATCCTTTCACTTTTGGCAAACCGAGAAAATATATTTTCCTTAACTTTAAGAAAATCTAAAAATATTGACAGCTGACTAAAATGCATGATCACAAGTGGCATCGGTTTTGTACCAGTCACAGTTTGTCTTGCTTCTCAAGTCTTCCAGCCTAAAAGTCCGACGATAAATAACAGTTTTATAACTTGTTAAGTGAGGCAAACCTATTTTGAAACCCAAACGGTCTTCAAAAATTTTGACCTGTTGAAGTTATCACCAGGTAGAATTGATGAATACAACTTTAAAGACCTGTAACAGCAAATAGTGACTTATCAACAAGACAAATAACGAGAAGATAATTTTTGAGTTTACATAGTTCACCGAGCAACTAGCCAAATTAATACGTTCCTCTTTGAATTAACAGAAGAACGTTTTTCTTTTACAGCTTCCCTTACTTCTCTGATCTTCCAACAATAAATTAATGGGTTTAGCGACGAGTTTAAGAACACTAAAGTACTGGTAAATTGGCGAGCAATGTAAAAATTTAAAGGCACCTCTCCTTGAGGTATTAACCAAGCTGACGTTATAATTGAAGGCAGGTAACAAACAGCCAATGCTACCTGCACCCAAAGTACACTGTTCACAGCTTTTCTGTATCGAGCTCTATTCAGTGGAATTGTTTGGTTCGGTTGTCCTTGAGAAACGTGGTTCTGAACACGTATTTGGTTGTGACGCAGGGTGAAGAAAATTTTTATGTAAGAGAATATTGAGGTGACTAGGCATAGACTACCACCTACCCTTGGAAGCCACCACATTATTTGAATTCCAAAGAAATTTAACGAAGAAAGAAGCGACAATAGCCAAAAACCAATCAAAGTTATACGTATTCTTTTCAAAGTTACCACTTGTCTGTATCTTAGCCCTAGTAACAGAGCAAGAAGTCTGTCCACGCTTATTGCGGTTACAGTGTACAAAGACACCGAACACAAAATATAGCTTGAGATGGGTCCGGCCTTATGTGCATAAAAGCAAATATGCCACTGCCTATTCACAACAGAAGTCCAGTAAGTCACAGCCAAAGGCTCCGCAACCATACCAACACAGAGATCTGTTATCGCTAGGTTACGATACAGCAGTTTGGACGACGGGTGTGTTGAAGTTTCCTTGTGTAGGGCAACTAGGATCAGTGTATTCCCCAGAAATGCTGCAATGGACAGGAAAATGTTAAAAGCTGAAAGAAAGGTTAGCTGGCCATGCAACCCTCCAGTGACTGTCTCCGAGCAGAACAGTTCTTCGACCACTATCTGGTTTTCATTTTCGGTAACATTTGTCACCTCCATGGCATCTCTCTTTGCTGCCACGATATGTTCAAGCGCACGCTGTATTAACTTTAGATTTCCATTTATATAGGTGTCAGGTGCTATCTGCTATCAGTCCATCTTGTAATTTACTGACCACTAATTTCTATTTCATTTCCTTTGTTTCAGTCAGTTCATGCATTTTTTAAAAATTATTTACCCGTTTAACAACAGAACTGAACAAAGTTGTGTTTTCTTCTTAAAAGCTTCAGTCAAATAGGAAAATTAGGCCAGAGGGGAAACAAAGGTTCAGCACGAATTGTCTAGTAAATTTCAAACTAATACTGAACTATGCATGACGGTGAGGTTTTCTAACACCTGTCGCACGTTTGTAGCTATATTGCCTCACTTTGTTTTAAGACCTGTCGCACTTTGTATTAACAATGGTCGTAATTTGAAATAAAAGGCTAATTTTCGCACTTTGCAATAAAATAAGCTTCGCACGTAATAATAAACTTGGAAATAAAACTCTTTATAATTGGTGCCTATGTAGAACAACTCTAATAACAATAATTATCATCATTATAATCAACTGATATTTGAAAAACTTAATACCTGTCGTACTTTGTAATAATTCAATCGTACTTTGTACTGTAATTACTGTTGAAATTTGTCATAAACCGTGTCGCAAATTGTATTAACTGTCCCTCGTACTTTGTAATAAACTAAACTGCTACCAAGATTTGCCGGCAAATTTTTGCTACAGCTCGCAATCCTGTTACATGTCATAAACTAATTGAAGGTTAAAACACAGAGACAAAAAAATCCGCCTTCAACAAGTAATTGATCTTTGATCAAGAAGTTTAGTATCAACAGTACATGTGGAAACGGCATACAGGAACTCCTCGGATTTTATATTTGAATCGGAAGTGCCCCAAGGCGGCCCGGGATTATTCTTTAAAACACTTTATTACAAAGTGCGACAGTTTACTACCAAGTGCTATCGACAGTTATTACAAGTTGTGACAGCACTTTTATTAAAAATAGCGAAATGGTTCGTTATAAATTGTGATAGGTAATATAAACTGCCATGGTTATAACTAACTACGACAGAATAGCATGTATTTAATAGCGCGACAAGCTAAGTTTGGTTACAAAAATGTCATGGGTGACATACAAAGTAAAACCATTGCTAAGACCATCGCACTTTGTAATCAGTCGTACTTTGTAGTGAACTTGAAAATAAAACTGTTTAATTAGATGATGGGCATGCAGACTAAGGCTTATAACTACCACTATCACTCATTCGCATCAAGAAATGGTCTATTGTACCGGGTTCAATTCACCAAAACAATAGCCTTTTCTCCTAGGTGTTGCTTCCGAAAACAGACCGAACAGTCTGTGCATAATCGTTTTATCTTCGGCGTTTCAATTTTGTAATTAAAGGGGTGGCGGCGGGAGAGGGGGGAGGGGGGTAGGAGGAGATAGTTTTTCTATACAAATTAGTCCTCTCGGCTATCTAAAACGTGGGAGGAGGTGATCATATTGTTCCGTTGTTCCACTACAGGCTTATTGGACACTGGTTGCAAAGGGAATTATTTAATTGTTAGTTTCGATTCTAGACCACGACAAAATGCAGTTCAATTTATCATAGTTTTTTTACCTCTACTCTTGGAAAAGGAAAAGAAAAAACAGAACTTTTTGGCTCTTTTCTAGTGAGTTTAAATTCTTGCGGGCTTATTATAATTCAATCCTCGTTACAAAAACACCTCTGCTTTTTTAACCTGGGAATCTGAAAAACAGCTCATATACTTTATTTGCATGAGCTGGCAATAAAATACGTATATGTATTTAGAGTCTGAAAAATATATTGGAAAATGTAAATAATTATTAAAGGTTGTTAATTCACAGTTTGTCTTGCTACTTATGTCATCCAGCAGTAAAAAAATCTAAACGCCCAGGCCATAAACTTTCTTCGGACACCTTTGAGCTGTTAAACTTATCGTTTGTGTACAGCTGATGAATTTTAATTCAAGTATTGGTCAATGAGCGCTAATGGCCTTGTTGATATATCTTACAATTTAGCATTTTTAAATGCTGAGCGCTAATGGCCTTGTTGATATATCTAACAATTTAGCACTGTATTGTTAGATATATCAACAAGGCCATTAGCGCTTAGCATTTAAAAATGTTAAATTGTTAGATATATCAAAAAGGCCATAAGCGCTTATTGACCAATATTTTTCAGAAAGGACACAATTTTTTGTATTTATATGGTTAACACCATGCAAACAACTGGCCAAATTAACGTGCTCCTGTTTTTCTATGAAAAGCTTCGTTGAGAGTCAATTTTTCTTTTACAAATTACCCGACTTCTCCGATCCTCGAAAAATAAAGTAACAGGTTTCGAACAACGAGTTAAAATACGCTGAAGTAACCGTATATTCCCTCGCAAGGTACGAAGCCAAAAGCCTTCCGTTTTCAAGGCGTCAAAGCTGACGCTATATAAAATGGCTACAGCTATGAACTATTTGAGAAAATATTGGAGATATGCCACACTGTTCCTGATCACAGTAATCCATATGATTACTGCCCGATACTGGTGAACAAATCAAGGGAAATAGTAGCACCCTTTCCAAAGTGAGGCTAAAAAAGTGACCCTCCTCCAAAATACCGTTGAACCTGCAGTAAGAGACCACCCGAAATGGAAAGGCTTGGTGGTCGCTTATGGGAGGTGGTCTCTTACGGGAGTGGGATGACCGCAAGGGCGAAATTTTTTTATAAGTCAACCTAGAATGGAGTGGTATATTTATTCTAAAAAAATACTGAAAGTTTTCTGGTATTTTTATTGACAAAACCATTAGCTATTCTATGTGACACACATTAACGGAAATGTACTTTCAGAAATGTCCCTAAAACGTCTGACGAACAAACACTTTTAAGTGTTTGTTCGTCAAACTTTTCAAACTGAAACCAGGAAATCTATGTCTTTTTCGTAAAGGTAAGGGTTAATATTGTAATTATAGATGGAACTAATAAACACAGTAATAGAGGAGTAGACAATAACGACAGCCAAAGAATAAATTTCTTTTTGTCCGTTTTACAATGTACTTCACTGTCTAGTAAAAACATGTGTCAGGTGGTCCTAGGGGGAGGTTGAAAACAATAGAAAATTCTAAAACTGTCAGCCCAAAAAGTGGTCGCGGTCGCTTGCAGGAGGTGGTCGTTTACGAGAGGTTCCAGTATAAGGCTGTAACTGAGGACATTTTTGGTGTTTTGGGAAGGTTGTCGCTTATGGGAGGTGGTCGCCTACGGGAGGTAATCGCACGTGCTGGTTCCACTGTAAAACAATTATTCCATTCGCGCTTGCTGGATATGAGATGATTATAGCCAACTTGGCGCTTCGCGTCTCCTTGCCTACCCACCATCTCATATCCAACGTGCACTCGTGGAATAATTGTTAAGTATTCGGTGACGCTTTTCGCGAGTCTGAAAGCAAGCATCCTTAGGTTGTAAACGACCAGAGACAAATGAAATGCCTGATAAACAGTAAAAAAGTAGTCACGTGGTCATTTCTGATCTCTGATCTCTGAATACTTCACATAAGACGAACGTAGTAAGTTATTTTTTTCGCTCATTCGCGTTAGGTTTGGCTTATTTAAGTACGATGTTTGACCCTGGACTTAGTTCTAAGGGAAAGAAGGTTTATCGCTAGAAATGAGAGTTCAAAATACCCGTTAGAATTTGAGCCATGTAGAGTTTGTAGAGTTTTTATTTGATTTCTATTTATTCTACTTTCCAATAAAGCATCTCTTTATAGCATGTTATCTGTCGAAGGTCCCAATTCCTGAAATATAAGTAATAAAATAAGGAAAGTTTGTCAATCTAATGAGAAAGAAAAAAAAAGAGGCTATCCCCAGATATCAGCACAAAAGCAATTGTTATATTCCTAGAATTTCACTCAACTAAACAGGGACTGCCATTGGTTGATTCTTGGTCACGTGGCCTTGACTAAAATCAAATGTATCCCGATCGTGATACATTAAACAATGTATCCCGCTCGGGATACATTGCAGCACGTGATCAAAGCATGGTGGAAAAAGAAGGCGGGAAAACACCGCCAGGTCCTATTTTTCCCACAACAACACAATCACGATAAAAGCAACGATTTTTAAAGTTATCCCTGAAGTTCCCAGAAGAAAAACAGCTGCTAGTGGAGGGAAAAAGACTCAGGACTCAGGACTCTCGGGAAAACAAAACTAACTGTTTCCTTGGGATCTGACATTAAGTGTATAATATAGAAGAAACCCTACACGTGACTTCTCCTATAATTAGTTAAGCTACATCTGTTGCATTGGGTTAGAAAAACATGATCACCAGTAGGATTCAATCAGTGTTTCTCGCTTTGTCCCACTGGTAAGTTAAACGAATCCATATAATTTTGTTCATGTATTTCTTAAACGTTTCCAGAAAACACAGCAAATAATTTCCTGTTAGACAAGGATATAGGAATGCGCATTTCATTTCTAAACAAAATATATTAAGAGCTTCTGCTGAATCAATATTTGTTGCGTTTTTCCAAAAGTGGGGCTAACCCATCCCTAGAAGGGTTGTTCAGACCGAATTTAAGTACTTTCTATATACATGTATGTTTATACCAAACTCGCCAGATAGTCTACCATTGGTGACCACATGATTTAAAGATTTTGTTTTACGCAAATGAAGCAACCGAAATTTACTTAATGATATTTTTAAGACGAAATCTATCAGGAAATTGAGTAATTTTAATTATCAGTGGACAAAAGTTTGAAGAAGAAGTTACCTTTACCTCTATCAGTAACAGCACTGCTTGCAACTGCCTGTTGCACTGCCGCTTGAACAAGCACTACGACAGACGTCACACGGGTCACGGTTCTTGCCCGGAATTACCAGTCGTTTGTCGTGTGGGTTATTTGAGTCTTCAATATAGTTCTCATCTCTCCCTAGTACTTCAAAGAAAAAACAAAAGAAAATACAAACAAACAAACAAAAGGTTTGTTAAG